CCTGGGACTAATCGTGTTGTAACGACCAGATCAGGGGTAGGATTTGCCAAAGATGGGAACTTCCGAATAAGAACCGAAATGCTAATTGTAATACAGTTCTAGAGATACTGTAGCAGCCCAAAGAGCAATTGTGTCTCTTCGGTCCGACGCCCTCAAAGGGATCGTCGATCTAACTGCTACCGCTTTTCCGACGCCCGGTCGCAACCGGTTGCCACGTCGTACTCAGGAATATCCGCTTGCGCTGCGCAAAGCGTTTAACACCACCTATGGTAGGGCAGTGTACGATTCTAATAGGACGGAGCTCTGTCTAGCTGCCTAAGAGCTAGTGATTACAGAGGTGGCTTCGGGGATGTGGTATGGTAAAAGTTTGTGCAAGTGCACGGAAAAGGGTTCCAGGGGTCCGGGTCTTGATGCGGTAGAATGCGGTAGGGTTAGGAGTTAGGGTGAGAGTCGGATGTGCGTATGGGGTGGATCGTCGTGTGGAGATGGGTGATGGTTGGTGTGGGAGTGACGAGGATCGTCGTAGGGCAGTTGGTGGAGACTCGAGCTAATGTCAGCAACTAACAATCCAACTGGACTGAGCTACGACAAAGCTGAGGAGACAGACGAGAGGAGAGTGAGTGAGGAAAGACCAGCTCGAGTCTGGCTTGTTATTGAGCAGTACAGGCTCCTTATATACATGTCAGAATGAATACCTAGAATATCCTACGAATATACGGAGGTGTATAGAAAGTGAAAGAATACTATGGAATCCGGGAGAACCATCCGGATTGTGTAATATTCATGACAGTAGTAGGCCTTGATTGTAGTCCATGATGACCACGTTAAGCCGCTTATGTCGTCTTTCCCACGGCTAGTATTACGTTATGGGATGAGAATGCTACAGTAGCGGCTTCACGTTCGTCAACGCTCTTTCGTGGTCGCCGGCGCCGACAGCGACCAAACCCCGGAAATCTGCCCCTAGGAACCACATAGCCCAGCACATGCATCACAGCGCAGCCTCAGACGAAAACGGTACCGACACCGGTTGTGGCCTGACATACATCTTAAACAGGCTGTGCCGCAGTCAAGCGCCAATATTAGGCCAAGAAGCGCAGCGCCTTTGCACTGGGCAGCTCATATAGACAGATTGATAGGGCGTGAAATCGCCGCTGTCTCCTTACCCTTTCCCCTCTCGCATCTTTGCCCACTACACCATGATCATTGAGAAGGCAGAGTTCCCCCCTGAGTCAGAGGTTCCGTATGTGCCTGAAAAGACTTTTGGCGTACGTCTAGTCGGGCCGTACGAGACTGAACTATGGCACTCACTTGCGAGGCAGACGCAGGGTGTCCCACAGCTTCTGCAGGAGCAGCCACCGCCGTACGAGGGGGGCAGCCGGTCTGGTGTCTCTAGCCCTGCTCCTACTCCTACATCCCCGCGCATACACTCCATCTTCCAGTCTGCATCGCAGCAGCACGTCAACTTCATTACGCTCGAGTCCAAACACAACGAAATCTCAGGTAAGCTCTGCCGTATCTGCCAGCAGTCTCTCCTACTGATCTCTCTCTCGCCTAGGATCGTACATTGTTAACCCCGAAATCCCAGGGTCTGCTGCGGCTCGTACGCGTGTGCTTGACAGACGCGAGCGAAAGAAGCTGCGGCACAACATCGTTCCCAATGCCTCATTTAACACTAAACACGGGCGTATCAACCTGAACCTTGCAACTGCTGGAAACACCGAGCAGCCAGGAAAGGCATACATCCAAGTTGTTACCCGCGATGGGAGGGTCAATGTCAATTTGGTATGCTCGAGAGTATATCAGGTGAAAATATCTGCTTATCAGCCAACCTGTAGTTCGCATTGCAAGCGAATAAGAATATTTTCCTAGAGATTATCAGCAAGCATGGCAAGTCACGCCCATCTAACTGCGCGCTTTCCAAAACTAAACGGTCATCTAGGCTCAATCAACCTCCTCATCCCCCCAAGTTTCAACGGGCTCTTTCGTATCTCCACCTCCAGGCACGGCAGAATCCAATTCCTGCGGGAGTTCGCCGAGCGCGCGCGGGTTATCTTTGCTGACGACGAACATGCCGACGTGCTCTTCGGCACAGGCGACCTGTCGCATGCAGAGCCGACGAGCGAGGGCATTGACTACTGCTCACTCACGACACACAACGGCTGCCTGACCCTCGGTGTGTCGGGCGTCGACCCCATTGATACGAGCTCCCCGTCGAGTCTGATGAAGAAGCTGGGTGCGATGGTCCTGGGACCTGACCTCATGCGCACGGTCGACACCCTCCGCGCAGAGCTGCTGCGGGAGCATGGGACTCTAGCGACACCACATCAGACATCTGTCTAAGACCCTGCCATCACTGAGTACTTTGAGTGGTCGCACGCACATGGTCCCTTCGGGTATGCAAAATGACTCACGCTTTATCTATCCCCTCTCTGTACATTGCTCATGTCCGTCTTGTCTCCATAGTAAGTTGTCGTACTAATTGCAATAGTAACCTTGAATCTCGCTGGAACGCCATCTGCCGTTGCCTAGACATCGTAAATCTGCAATTCCGGTGGTATATTCGGCCACGCTGTTCTTCTCCGTTCCTGTGCAAGGGCAATCATGCCTATCATCTGACACCCCGATGACCACGGACTCAGCATAAGAAGTCTTTCATTGGCGGGAGGCCCGCCCCTTAGCTTTTCGCCGTGATCTATCCATACTCAGAGGCGCACAGACAGAGCACAAAAACCCGCCTTCCACGCACGAACTCGCGGGGCCCTACACGATTACCATGAAGGGCTGCTTTCAGAGCCTCTTACCCAAGATCAAAATTGGGTACCGACGTGCCGCACCAGCCGTCGAGCGCAGCCACAGCGACAAGGCAGAGCAGGATGCTGTGCCGTCGCCGTCGTCCGACGTAACGCTCAGAGACCCGTTTGTGAGCGGTCTCTCTCTCGCCGCAGGTCAAAACGCTGACAATGCTCGGGGCGCAGGCCAGAGATGTGTCAGACAGCGGCCTCTCCCTTTGTTGTGGGTCTTTTAAGCAGAACGAGAAACTGCCTGACGACGTCAACATGCTTCCCACGTACTCTTCTGACGACATGACTTATGACGGCACTCTCAGCGAAAAGATTTTCTTGACCGTTGCCTCTGTCATAGACGGCCTGCACGACGACTTGCGCAAGCTCAGTCTCGATATCTGGGGTGGGAAAACACGTACCACCGCACACGCTCCACCATCTGACGCGAATCCGTTCTGCAGAGCATCCCGAGGTTGGATATGAGGAGTAGTGAGTCCCGCTGCAGTCATGCAGAGGCCAAGGAGGACTCAATACAGTACCGTTGCAGTCATGCCCACGACACTCTCACGGCATTCATGGCCTGCCACGGCTTCTCCGTCACAACACACTGCCTCGGACTGGAGACCGCCTGGCGGGCTGAGTACACACACGGCAGCGGCGGGCGCGTCATCGGGCTGCAGTCCGAGATGGACGCACTGCTTGGGCTTGGGCACGCCTGCGGCCACAACCTCATCGCAATCTCCGGAGTGGCCATCGCCCTGGCGCTAAAGGCCGCGCTCGAGGCGCACGACATCGCTGGAAAAATCGTCCTCCTCGGCACGCCCGCCGAGGAGCACGGCGGCGGCAAGATCGCGCTACTCAAGCGTGGCGCGTACCAAGACATGGACGTCTGTCTAATGTGCGTTCCCGCTCGTCTCGGCGCCTAGAGCACATCCCTGAGTGCTGACGCCCCCCGCCCCCCAGGTGCCATCCGGGCCCCGGCAGGCCGAACGGGACGACCGTCCAGCCGTGGACGGCGGTGCAGAACCTTGAGGTCGAGTACACGGGCCGCACCGCACACGCGGCATACGCGCCGTGGGACGGCCGCAACGCGCTCGACGCCGCGGTACTTGCGTACAGCAGTGTCTCCGTGTTGCGCCAGCAAGTGAAACCGACACATCGCATACACGGCGTCATCGATGCGCAGCCAGACTGGGAGCCTAACGGTGGGTGCTCTTCTCCCTCTCGGCTTCTAGCGTGACGGCGGCGCGCCGGTGCTGACTAGCACATGTGCCAGTCATCCCGGGAAGCTCGAAGATGCGCTGGGCCGTCCGTGCGCTGACGTGGACGGAGCTCGAGTCGCTCCGGGATCGCGTCATCGACTGCCTCGAGGCCGCGGGACGCGCGTCCGCGTGCACCGTCAAGATTGGCGTCGGCGTGGGATACAAGGATTGTCGCGAGAACAGCGTGCTCGGTGCGTCACCGTCTCAGGGCCCTCTAGGGCCGCTTGCGGGGTTTAGCGGCAGGCTGACGCGTGTCCCGGACACAGCGGAGGAGTATGTCCGCGTCGCGAGGACCTGGCAGGGCCGCCCGGCCGAGATATTGGACGAGACGCTGCAAGCGTCGACGGATCTTGTGAGTGGCAGTGCGTGCCCCCCATGGACGGCGCTGACGAGACTTGTCATCCCAGGGCGACGTATCCTACGGTGAGTGTCCGTTACCTCCAGAACTGGCTGTTGGCGACTAACCGTGTATTCCCAGTTGTACCATGCCTCGAACCAGTGTACACCGTTCCGACTGAAGAAGGCGGCAGCAACCACACAGCCAAGTTCGCCGAGTCTGCGCGCACCCTCGAAGCCCATGCAGCGACGCTCGCGACGTCCAAGTGCCTGGCTATTACGGCACTACGCGTCCTCGTCGATGCCGCGTTCTATCAGAAGGTTAGTCCGGCGTGAGCTGCTCCGGCCAGGTGTATGCAGTGTTGACTATTTGCCGCGCGCAGGTCCGTGACGCGTTCGATGCCCAGCGGCGGCAGGAAGATCGTACAGGAGATAAGCAGAGGAATTGAGAGCGCTGGACGCTCTATTTACGTTGTCCACTCTTCTCCCTGGTTTAGTAGGTCTTGCGTGCTTGTGAGGCCGGGAACGAGGGTCTTGACTGAGATGCACTTCGTATCCAAGCTGGGCAGTCCTGTCAGACTGCATTCTACTCTTGCAATCTATGCTAATTCCTGACGGAGCTCACGGCAAGACTTAGCAGTACCCACGGGTGCTTAGCATTGTGGGAACATGAAGAGAGGAAAGTGATAGCTACTCCTACTGTAACATGAATGCTCAGATACAAGAATGCGTGGTTAGGATATATAAGAAATGCGTGGGAGTGAATGCAGTGGAAGCGGCTGGAAAAGAGCAAATGTATCGCAACGGAGGCGAGAGTCGTGCAAGATTAATTAATAACATGTGGCGGGAGGTGGGTAGAGGCGGGAGTGCAGCAAGCAAACGGCACTAGAACCGGTAGACGCGAGGGTTGGACGTGCAAGTGACGAGCAGCGGCTACTGGGGTGCGCGCGGGCTTACTTGCAGCCGCATAATGCGATCGTCGGACACCATTAGGATCTCGTCGCGCCCTGTCGAGGGACCTCGCGGCGCTGGCGGGTAAGCCTGCGACTGGGGCGAGCTGTACCCGTTCTGCAGCGACGTTCGTCCGTAGCCGTTGACCGACGGCGAGGCGTACTGGTTGTATGCGTATGCCTGCTGCTGATGTTGGTTATAATACTTGTTGCTCGCAGAGTTGGTCGTTGATGGAGGTGTGTCGGAGAAGAGACAGCGAAGGTTGTTGCCCTGGATGATCTGGGACATTGAGCCGGTCTCAACGTGGCGGATCTCGACGAAAGTTGGCTCAAACGCCAGGACATAAGGATAGTAAAGCGCTGAAATGATGGTGAGCCAGAGACACAATAGGTCGGCAGGGGATACTTACCAAATCCAGTTGGGCAGCCTTCCCAGAAGATCATGAAGTCCTTCCTCGAGCGACAGCCATTCTTGTTGACATAGAAGGCAAATTCTGCAGATAACAAGTCAGTAAAAGGTCACCCGAGACAGCCAGACAAGTCACCATCATAACACAGCAAGAACTCATTGTCGATGCGGTATATAGAGATAGGTTTAAGGCCTTCTCGCTTTCTCACAAATTCCAGAGATTGATCGGATGGATCGATAAGACCCTGGGTATCAAGCGATTCCAGATCGACAATCTCAAAGCCGTTGGTGCAGCCAACACAAAGTCTCGTCTTGAGGAAATGAATGGAGCTTGATTGCACAGGGATATAGAACTCCTGTAGGTAGCCGTTAGCATAGCCACAAGGAGCTGGAAAAGTTACCAACCTTGAAAAGCTTGAGCGTATCATTACCACCCTGCAAAAGTAGCCTAAATGTCGGTTTCCGTGCCCCACGGGTGTTAGTGTCGATAGGCTCCAGCGCTTTGATCGTACTTGACAGTGCACTTGTCTTGACAACACAGACCAGTGTCTTCCCAAGACATATGCCGACCTTGAAGAACGACGCATGTGATGCTATCCGCTTTGCGCGCTTGATGGCCGCCATCGGATCCGAAGGATCAAGTGCGTCCAGTGGGAAAGTGATAACTTGGCGCTCTGCAGATTTTGCCACCTCAGCCTCTTATAATCTTAGCAGACAAGAAGACAACAAACCCGATAAGACAATCAGTAGCTGGTAATCCTCCAGAACGTCTACCTGTGTCACATCGAGCAACGCCAGAACCTTCACGGGTTCACGGTGCGGTTCCCAGAGGTCGGACAGGTAGATACCGTCAGCGGTGCCGTATACGGCTCGTCTGCCTTGGTCTAAGTCCACGCAAATCAGAGGTGTACGAATCCAAAGTCAGCTGTGACATACCGAAGGGTGCAGCACAGCTGACCACGTTCGGGCCAACAAAGAACCCTTCACTGAGTGTAACGGTCTCGAATACCGAGCTTCGCTCACGCATCATGTCCTGCTGCTTTTGGATGTGCTCGACCCACTTCCGCTGGCTGACGTACGTACTCGCCCACAGCGTCATTTGATAGTACTTCCGGCCGAGGTGCACGAAAGTTATCGAGAAGCCGCCTTTCGCCTCTTTAACCGGGATGACAGGCGCATGGGGCATGTTCTTCTTCTGCTTGTTCGACCTCTGTTGCAAAGGAAATTCGTCTGGTGCAGAGACAAGAAGGAGCTCCAAGGGAATAGGCTGTGCACCAGCCTTAACGGAAAAGCTGCAGTCGAGAGATCATGGGGACTCACGCGACGGTAGACCTTGTACTGTTCTGTCTTGGTCTTCTGTTTCACCATGAGCAGAGCGTGATCAAACAGGAAGACAATCAGCTCGGCGCTATCACCTTGCGGGCCGCCGCGTTTCTTCAAAGCGCCCTTGTATACAAGCTCGCGGCCCTCTTCTTTCAGCCGGAGATCCTTAACCGCGGCAAAATTAGACTTTTTTCAGAGACAACACAGAGAATACCGCTTACAACTTCCTCGCCAGGTCGGAAGACAAGCTGCTGGTCGAGCTGGAGAAGGTTGAACCTGTTCTCTGCCTTACCCGTCTCTGCATTGACTGCCTTCAGGAACTCGCGAATCATCTCGACGACCTTCGGGAGCGTCTTCTTGTCCGGGCTGTCTTCTGGCGTATGTTTTAAAACTGCCTCGAGAAGCAAAGGGTATCGAGCCAATCGAGTCGTCGGCTTTGTGAGATATCCATTTAATTCCAGTTTCCGGGACTCTGGACGCCGCTCCACTTCCTAGGGGCGATAGACGGCGATTCGTATCAGAATATCAATGTGAGGTACAAAGGTGCGCGTACCTCCACGAATGCAGCAAACGCCGGGTTCGAACTCTTCTCCTTCTCGAATTCGTACTTGCCATACAACTGGTGCGCTCCATATGACACAAACGGCCCAAAGTGCGGTACGGCGTCCAGCAAGATATCGCCGATTTGCTCCACAATGGCGTACGACTTTTGTCGCTTGTTCAGGGCGTCGCGTAGGCGAGTGTTTACCGCTATGATGTCGTGCAAATTCCAGAAGACCTGCTCCAAGAAGTCCGTTCGTCGGGGCTCGGGTATGGTACCCAGCTCTTGCAGGGGCTTAATCCATGACTAAAGAATCAAGCTCGTCTAGCAAGGGCCGCGGAGAGAAAAGGGGGGTACCCACTTCCCGAAGATACTCCATATCCCGCACGAAATCCCGCTCTGTATAGATAACTTCGTTGATCGCTTCCTGACGCTTCTTCTCCTGATCCGACACGCTGTCCACAATTGCTTGAGGGACAGAGTGAATCCAAAGAGTCCCAGGTTCCTGGGAATGGTGAGTCCCTAGCCGACGACAAGAGAGTGACAGACCGTACCACTAAGTCCCCTAAGCTCTCTTTACTTATCTGTTTCTTCAGACCAGGTTGAGGTTTCATGTTCAGGCGCGCTTGCTGCTCTAACCGTCGAGGACACGCTATCGAATAGCAGAGACGGTCTCGTGAACATGTTGGCGAGTAGCAATCGATGAGAAGCGTGAAGACACCGGAGGGTAATGGGATGTCATCAGAGGATATTGACCCTTGCCGCGGCCTTATGGTAGGAGCGGTGACGACGGAGTCTGGAGGTGATGGCGAGCTGTCTCCCTGCCCCTTCTCGGTGCCGTCTTCAACAGATTGTGGAGGGCTGTCCTTGGCTTTGCCACCATTGAGAAGCGCAGGCAACTTGGCAAGTGACTCTCGGATGCTCTCGATCTCCTGGTCAACCAGCTCGCCGCTCGTAAATGGACTCGGCATTTTGGTGCGGAACTGATACAGGTCATTGACGCTGTCGCGCAGCCGGTGATCGTACGTGACGGCGTGGAAGAACTTCTGTGCATCCAAGGCGCGGCCGAGCAAAAGCGCAAGATTCCTATCCGTGGTCTTGATGATGTAGGCGATCTTGTCGACCGCTTCGCGCCCGTCGAACGCGTCCTTATAAGTCAACCCATCCTTCACTCTGTCCGCCAGCGTTATCCGCTCCTTGAACGCTTGGGCAACCTTCGACAACAACGCAGGGTAAACGATAGGCGTTCTTCGAGCTTGTGGACGATTGCTGGACATGGAGTCACGAACTGCTGGAGGCATAGAGGGCACATGCGGTCTCGGCACGCGCCCGTTCTCCACCATGGTACGGGCTTGAGAAGTTAGAGCCGCCGACATTGAACGTGCCCGATCCTGAGCCACCTTATCCCGTCTTGAATGGGGTCCAGGCAAAGTTCTCGACGATTCAGAGGAGCGCCTTCCCGAGGTCAAAGGAGGTGTCGACTGGTAGCCTGAGGGGGAATGGTCAACGAGGGTCGACGAAGCGGGGGATATACTAGGGTCCGCGCCGTGCGGGACATGAATGGCGGTGTCGAGCTGCAAAGGATACGGGCGAGAAGACGAAGAAGCTACGGGCTGTTCTGGTATTGCTGCGAAGCTTGATGCAATGGACGTCCTCGAGCGCACGCTCTCAGCTTGGGAGCGTGCTTGCAGCTGATATGTGGAGTGCTCCCAGTGGCCGTTCTCGTTTGCTACAGCATCTCCAAGGAAATCGATACCGAGCCTTCCATCGGAGGGCTGGAGGCTGAGTGGGATCTGTGGCAGGCCATCCGGAGCAGACCTGCGATTGACAGGGCGAGACTCCGGCTCGGACTGGGACTGCCCCATTGGGTTCTTCGTGTGTATGGCCCGGTACGCCTGCGCGGGAGTCAGGCCAGCCTGGGTCAGGGCCTCGAGACTCGGGTCTGGTGGCTCCTCTGGAGAAGGAGCGATTATTCCGGGAGAACGACCAATAGACCGCGCACGACTGCTTATGGAAGGGGCAGCCAGGGTGGCACTGCTCGTATATACGTGGTTTGCAGGGACTGGGGGAGGCGGCGGATAAGGCTGTTGCTGGTGCGGGGACGGCTGATGCGCGTAGTAGGCCTGCCTGTACAAATCTGGAGACACTTGAGGGGACCTATTTATCGATGGCGCGATAGAGGATGCAGCAGAGGTTCTGCGGTCGAGTTGTACCCTATACTGTCCGTTCACAGAGGCGTGCGGGTAGGCCTGGTGGATATACGGAACTGGCGGTGGTGTTGACTGGTGGTGGGAGGCACTCGGTCGCCCGAAAATCGATTCATATGCGACATTCCGTTTCTCAGGCTGGGACCGCGGGCCCATGGGCCTGTCCATCGCCGTTAAGGTCTGGCTGAACGTGGTCGACAACGAGGAGGTAGTGGTGGGAAATGAAAAGTGAGCGCGCGGCTTTGGGACCGAGCGATGCTTGTCCTCTCTTGCGTCGTGACCACATCGTCACCTCATTCTGTACCTGACCTCTTGACTCTCATCCGTTTTATTGAGCACCTGGAACTTCACAAAAAACCTGCTCTTGATGTTATGCAGAGCGAATTGCTGCTCTAATAGAAACAGCCTCAATCTGCTGTTCGTACGAAGCCTATCGGGTCCTTGGGCGGTGCAGGCCACGCCCGAACTACATATCCAAAAGAGTTCTACCGGCAGCCCTTGCGACCATCTATCACGTGTATACCGACACGCAAGACAAGAAGACTTGCCGGTGGTTAGAGCTCGACATGCGCGACGACGAGGGCGAGATGAAACACGCTGAAACCCCTGCAGCACAGGTGCGCCGCAGTCTTCGGCTCAGATGTCACGTCCACAATATATCCAGGGCGTTAGGTGAATTAGTAAAGCGGTTAGCTATCTGCTTGTCTACTCCTGTGATCAACCCCACTACCATACTCTACATGTCCATAGCCTTTCACTGAGTCGCTGCCGATGGCGCTTGAAGACGCTCATGGCGACGTGTATGTACGTCTGTCTAACCGCTGGCCATCCAGTCCAGCTAGGCTGTGAGCAAAGCACAAAGAAAAACTTAGGTATGGTGCACGACTGGCTCTGCGACATCTTGACGGTCACGGTATCATACATCATGCTTCTTCACTAGCCCTTTGTGCGCAATCAGAACAAGATAACAAAGCTGTTTTGCCTGGGCAAAGGGCAGATACTGTGGAGCGTCGCAGCGAACAACGCTATCAGTCACTCTCAACTTCTGCAACAGATTCCGAATACGGCTGGTATTTCCCCTTCTAAGTGCTCCAAATATGCCCGTACTACACCTTGATATGGCTCTTCGGATCTCGTTGTGATAGCGGAGGACCCCAGCTTCACGCAACCTTAAATCCCTGAGGGCTGTATAGCCGCCAGCGCGCGACGCGACAATCACTCTGTCCATCTTGCATGCGTCTCAGAGCAATGATATCATCGTGCGCTGTGCAAGCACCCACGGCCGGTATGCTCGGGATCAAATGAGCGCATCCTCATCGCCGCGGCAAGAAATTCTGATGGCAGCCCTTCTGGTTGTTCACGGGACCAAACGCGACCTTGCCGCGATGGAGCCTGCGCTAGCGCCAAGTCTGAAAAAGCAGGATAAGTAGTTTCTGGACTCGCCTGGCCGATCACATCTGTTGAGCTGGCCTTGCTTGCCGTAGGTGTGCCTTTGAATCTGGGATTTCCAGCCTTATTATGGACTATCTCTTAGGTTTGAAGTTAGCATATGGCCGCAACTGCTGCGGCGAGCCACGTAATGCCGAATGGCACTGATAGCGCACCCGCCATGAGGCCATTTGAGGTATGGTGCACTGGTGGCGAATGCGATCTCTACTTCGACCAGGTACGCTCCACAGTAACATCTTCCTGGCGAGTAGATTTCAAATTAGGTCACGTATTTCTATTCACACCACAGCGGTCATCGAATGCTACACAATCTGCTAGTCTGCCTGGTGTGTTGTCGTTATGGAACGTGTTTGCGGATTATTCCTTCGTCACACTCCCAGCCTGCGCAGATAAAGTCAACCATGTGAAGATTGTTATGTCAATGCGTCGCGGTTCGCTGTCGTTGAGACTCGCGCATCAACACATTCATACATGCGTCTTCCTGCCATACAGATGATCTAGCTGATGAGCGGTGATCACAGCAGCATCGTGGCGCTCTCGGGTTCGGGAGCTCATCTTACGCGCGTCTTCGGATGCTGTGAACCAATGCCAGAGCATGCGCATGCCATAAATACCCCACTTGCCAATGGCGAAGGTCTACGTCTTTCAGTTGGTTCTTCTACTTGCTGCATATCGGCCTGCTGGCTGAAGTCAGTTGAGCAGCGTGTTGACACGCCCGCGCCGCGGATGGACAATGGGCCCGAGTTCGTGCCGAAGAGTAATCGTAATTAGCAAATCGTTTCAGACGAAGCTGTATGCTCTCGGGATGCATAGCGGAGTATTTTGCCATTATTTTGGCGAGATTCTTTCTGTATGCCTAGCGCGACGCGAAGACGCCATCGTCTGACATCGAGACCATCGTCTGTTTGAGGGCCATCAGCTAGGCACGGCCTGCCAGATCCGGGATGGGCGCTAAGATGATATGGCCGGGCTTCATGGCGTCTATTCACGTGGCAGGTTGCGGAGTGCCAAGCGCCTGCACCTTTAACACCTCCATGCTCCCTCCTTTCCCCAACCCGCTCCGCGAGACCCCTCTAGTCTTGTCACGTCCTCGCTTTGCCCTTGCAGAAAGCGATGGACGACGCACGGTCGCGTAGGCCGAATTTAAGGCTCCCACCATCTTCACAAATCGAAAATCAGAGTCGCGTGCGCGGTCGCACGCAGCTGCGGCAGCAACAGCCGGCGTCATACGCAGCCATCGGCTCGCCGTTTACTGTCGCAAGCACAGATCCCTCACAGCCCAGCAGCAGAAACAGTAGCACTGGTGGGGTGAACAGGATTTGGAGTAATATGCGGAGATCGATATCGAACGGAGGCGGTAGCAAGAAAAGGGCGAATGACTTGGCAGTGAGTATGATAACAATTCGTCCCCACTGTTCTAAATGGGCGGGGTATGATGTTAATCCCTCTTTCATTTCTTCAGGCCATAGGCATGCATTCCACACCAGAAGAGAGCTTGCCGCCGGCGCCGTCGTCGCCGTATCCTTACCACAAATCATCAGTGACCAGCCCGACGATAGAACAAATTGCCATGGGCTTGCACATATCTCGTACACCTCACTTAGTCTCTTCCCCACGCACATGCCACGCCCGAAGTCGACATTCTGACACTCCTGAAACTCCTCGGTGCGTTTCAACTCCACCACGCCCGAGTCGGCCCCTACATTTCAGGAGGGGCTCAGCACCCGCAATCTCTCTCCCACCTCCACCGGCACGTTCTTCTCTGAAGAAGCCGGCGTCCATCTCAAATCCGCTCACTCCGTCCGACTCAAACGCGTCGCTATCGACGCTGACGTCCACGGCGCCAAGTACACCGCATTCAAACCGGAGCGCGTCAACCTCTACATCGCGCTCCGTGTTCTCGTCGAAACTGCATCTTGGCATGCGCTTACTCCTCCCAGGTAGGAAGAGTTCCGCGTCGAGCACGGCAACAACGTCGGACGATGGCTCGGCTTCGTCGGAGCTAACTCCGCGAAAGGTTGTCCGTTTTTCCGCCGTGTCGGGCGAGCTCGAAGAGAGGCCCTAGCGCATGTCCGTTGGTTTGTATCATCTATCAAGGGAGTCCCGTCGCATTGCATTACTGGTTTTTGTTCAGTAGGCTCATCTGTTTCCATCTTGTGTGTCTTACATCATAACGTATTTGTTCTTCATCCCGGCATTCTTCACTATATACTATACTGCACGTCATCCACGCACTCGTACAATCTTCTTGTCTACACCACGAGATATCTTTATTTCCTCATGCTATATTCCTACTTTTACGGTATGTCTGGTAGCATCTGTAAATTAATGCTTTGTGGCCTCAACTCCTATGACGTAAGCTGGATTTCATGCGTCTACCCTCGGCGGCAATTCCGCGCAGCTACGGTCAGAGTCTCGAATCAGTTCTAACGCAACTTGATTCATTACATTCTCATCCTATCCATCTCACTCAAAGTTACGTCTCATTTACCTGCTGTAATTACCCGTAATACTTCTGGCGTGGAAGAGTAGTCAAAATGGCCCCCGTCGAGACGGAATACTACGACTTGGTGCGTCGGTCCTTTGAAGTGCACAGCAGACGGACGGACTCAGCTTTGCGACCTAGTTGGGTGTCCCTACGGATGTCAACGACACCGAATTGAAGAAGGCCTACCGCAAGCAGGCTATCAAGGTCATTATACTCCCCTAGGACATCTTTTGAAGGTCCTAACGACGTTTCCAACCACAATAGTATCATCCGGACAAGAATCCCTCGCCAGAAGCCGAGGAGAAGTTCAAGGATATCAGGTGAGTGAAGCTGGGACGTATTCCAGCTCTCTGGTCTTATGTATTGAGTAGCAAAGCGTACCAGGTGCTCTCTGACTCAGTGAGATGCCCATCAGCCCTGTGCCCATGAAGCGCTTGCTGAGCATCCGCCACACAGAATATGCGGGCGGTGTACGACCGCAACGGGTCGAAGATGGTTGACAAGGAGGGTGGACTCAATATGGAGGACGCGGCCGGGTTCTTTGCGAACGTCTTTGGCGGCGAGCGGTTCAGGGACTATGTGAGTCCGCCGTCCCCCCACGAATGCGCACGCTCACGCCGCTCGCTCTGGCCTCTTTTGTACAGATTGGCGAGATCTCGCTGATGAAGGAGATGACCTCCGTAGCGACGACGATGATGTCCGAAGAAGAAAAGGCGGAGATGGAGCGCGAGCTGAACGAAGGCCGTGGGCCCGCTTCGCCGTCTGCCTCGTCCCCACCACACGGCATCATACCCACATCGCCATCGCCTCCCCCGGGCGGTACCACCGCGCCCTTCTCTGCCCCGACGCCTGCGGAGCCATCCTCCACGAACGGCAACACTGCCCTGACGCCGTCCCCGCTGCCCACGCCCGACAGCGAGCAGAAGCACTTGTCCTCTGCGTCGCCGTCACACAGCCAGAAGGAGAGGGAAAGGAAGAAGAGTAAGATCACGCCGGAGCAGAAGAAGAAGCTGCAGGAGCTCGAAGACGAGCGGCGAAAGAACATGGAGGAGCGCGTCGAGACGCTGACCAAGAAGCTCGTTGAGCGGCTCCGACCGTTCATTCACGCGAAACGTCCTGGGGACAAGGACGATCCTGAGACGCAAGCATTCGAGGCGAAGATAAAGCGGGAGGCTGACGATATGAAGCTCGAGAGCTTCGGTGTCGAGGTGAGCTGTCTGCATCATGTTCTACCGATCTTGTGACCAACGACTTGAGATCAGCTGCTTCATACGATCGGCAATGCCTATATGATGAAAGCGACAACGTTCATGAAATCAAAGAAGTTCCTGGGAATGTATGTGTCCCACTCTCGAGTGCTCATCTCATTCATCTCATTCTTTCATTTGCAATCAGTCCGGGGTTCTTTTCCCGTTTAAAGGAGAAGGGTGCCATGGCGAAGGAGACATGGGGTGTCATTGGAAGCGCGTACGTCCGTCGCATTATAAGCGCCACATTCGAGCTGACATGTGATACAGCATCGGTGTGCAGCAGATGATGAACGTACGTTACATCCTAATGGATGAGTTATCGATGTCGGTCTAATAACATATTTAGGAAATGGAGAAGATGCAAGAGCGTGGCGAGGTTCATGAGGAGGAGCTTCGTGCCCTGGAAGAAGACATCACTGGACGGGTGAGTTTTGCTTTCACTCAGCCCATAACGTACTTTTCCGACGCATATATCGATCAGATCATGCTTGCTTCGTGGCGAGGTACTCGCTTTGAGGTCGTGAACGTTCTGCGCGAGGTCTGCCTTCTCACTGCTGATTGAACTAGTTCGAATTTCTGACTGCCATCCCAGGTCTGCGATAAAGTTCTCAAAGACTCAACAGTTAACGATCAGGAGCTCTATTTGAGAGCGAAGGTAGTAAAGTCTATATCTCCGTAGTGCGTAGACTAACCCTCTCTGCAGGGTCTTATGATTATCGGAGCGATATTCAAGAATACCCAGCCGGACGAGTCTGATGAGGAGCGCCGGGAGCTCGAGAGGTACGTCTATTGTCTCGACTTTTTCCACTTCGTGCTCATCACACGTTTGCAGGATGGTTGCCGAGGCTGCCTCCGGCAAGTCGAAACACCACCAGCTTCGAGCACAAGCTAGGGCGGCAGAGAAGGCGAAGAAGCATGCATCGGAGCACGGACAGCACATCACTATTCCTGCAGCCGAAACTGCCGAGAAGGATAAGGCAGCATCCTAAAGCAATACACATGTTGGTGTTTCTGAGCTCATCGTCAAGTTGTGCTGGATGTCTGCTTCCCCTAGATCTTTCTTCTTGGATATGAACTCGAGTTATCGTGTAGTACTTTATCGCTGCTAATTGCCTTTTAATACCTCCCTTCCACTATCGTCGGGGCCTAAATAGCTGTGCAGTCTATGTCGGCCTAGATATACTCATTGAAAATGCTAGAAAAAATTCATGCAACCCACAGTAAGTATATCGACGAAAAGGTGCGCCGTTTTGGGCTTGTTCGCTAGTATTCTTCTTTAGCTTCTCTGGGAATTAGATAGCTGGTCATAGTTTTTTGTAAGCTATTGAAAGTTGCTGCTGGTTCAGGACGCGCAACGCAAATAGCGAGTCTACCCGCAGTGTCGATGTCGCTCACACGGTTGACAGCATAGTGGTGAGGGTATGACCCGTGATACAATTAATGCCATCCGGACGACAATACCATACTACTCCCCCCGGGATATTATCCTACTTTCCTCTTCGTCCTCTCTCCTCGCCCGGTGCCTCCGTCTCCGAGACACTAGTCGGCATCAAATCCGTGGTCGAAATAGTACAAATGCGGGTGGGTGTGCGGAATGGACATCGCACATATAGTCGAAAGAATAATGTTAAAGGTCGCGGCGTCTCGAGCGAAGTCGAAAGGGAGACGCGGCGACGGTGTGAAAGAAGTCGAAGAGTCATGAAGTCGTGAGGCTGGGCTGACTAATCGAGAGCCTGCATATTACGGGTCAGCGAGCGTACATCGCGAAGAAGCTGAAGATGCGTACCTGGCCGATGCGTCGGGTGCCTAAGCAATGACGCACGATGGGGTGCTGGTAGAGCCTGAGCCCGACTCGAGATCGCGGGGGATCTGGTCCTCAGGGACAGCGGCGGGGACGGGATCGGCGAGAGTGAAGAAGGCGTCCATGTCTGCGCTGAGGAGCTAAGCGGCGGGTAGCAGAGTGGTGAAGAGCTGCACGGGAGGGCTTTGCTGCAGACCGTCCTTCTTCGCAACAGACTTTTATATCGGTCGGCCTATCGCGCCTCGTGCCGCGCGCCGGCGCTTCATCTGGCAAGACACAATAAAGAGATCTGGGTGATTCTTACATCCCGGTCATTTGTTAGCGACGGCGCTCGGAACTAGGTCAATGTCGTCTAATTTGGCGGTAATGGCCACACGGCATGTCGCAGCTTTATTGTCTGGAGAACTACCATCTGTACGCGCCTAGTTAGGATAGAGTTTGAAGGGACGAAGCACCGTGCGCTTTCATAATGTGGCCTGGTATAGACGCCTTGCGAGGCCGCTTTTGCGCCCCACCCACACTTGGTAGCCATAATGGTCTGCATCGACAGGCAAAGTACGTCTATCAACTTCAGAGAACAACACAGACCAGAAGGTCAACAAAGCTGGTGTCTGCTGCACGTAAGCTCGGGCCGCTGTCTGTCCGTCTTTCGGGAGTTCCAAGAAGTGGATCTAGTGATCGCAGATGGCACAACAAAAAGGAGCAGAGGTACATGAAAAATTTCTCATACGATAAAGGCACTAAGATGTTTCGTTTCCACTAGTGAATGTGTTGCGGAAGATTGCACAGCTAACGCATGTTCAAATTTTCCCGAGGGGAAGAGAGGGAGACAATAAGACAATAGACGCCAGCATCGTGGCGCTGCCTAAATAGGGCCATCAGTCCCAGGAAGTCGGTCCGAAACTTGACAATTGTTCTTGTCAGCACCGAACCTTCGCATTTCGAGGCCATCTGAGGTGAGCAAACTCCGTGGGATACGATATCTTGTACAGCAGTGTATTTTCCAGCTTCTGTCACTCTTACTTCAGAAACCCGGCAGCACTAAGTATCAACTTGCCTTCAGCTTGCACACACTTGGAGTGTACTCTAATTTTCTAATCTTTTTCTGGAGTCAATGAAAGTGTTGAACTACGACCCATAGCAGTATCACGTTGCATAAATACTCGTGATTTGACGTCGCAACAAGCTTAGCATGTAGAATTTATATGGAAGGCAAAGCGCTCTAGAGATTTGGCACGTCGTCAAAAAGCCTACCTGCAAGAGTTCCGCAGTTCCAGCATACTCTTACGATACTTTTACCAATTTATTGCGACACTTTCAACGACATTTGAGCTGGCAAAGTATTTCTTCTACCTCTTGGAGTCTGGCATCAGCCGCTGACGTCATACTTGGCTCAGGGACGTGGTGCTACTGACATGGCCTGAGAAACGCACTTTTCGTTGCAACCACCATCATGTCTGTACCGAGCGGTAATTCGCAGGTCACACAACACTCTACGCTCGTCGAGGAGCTCAAGACTGAGGCGATATCAGTCGCAAAAACCTCCGGCAAAGCTTTGTCCTCACTCACTTGGCTCTGGCCAATACGGGGTATATTGTACGCAGTAACGCGTATGTCGTTCATTCTTCAGTATGTGGGTGGTTTTATGCTCATTCACACTCGTTTAGGCCCTCGCGTTATAATGTCCGTCCGAGGCACTCTCCTAAAATCCCTCGGATCGTCTGCCGTCCTCTTCTCGATTCTTGCATTCTTTACCTACCTGCCACAGGCCGCGTTTCTCTCTCTCTTCACAGGACCTCTCGGCCCAATTCTTGCGCTCTTTCTGCTCGGCGCCGAGTCTATCTTCCTCCTCACTTTCCTCGCAAAGCCTCTTTTTCTCGAACCGGCCCTGCAACAGGTCTTCGACCAGACACTGATCGACAACGGCCAGAGGCAGCTCGTCCAGCAGGGGAAGACGAAATTTTCTGTTACCTCGGAGAGCCGCAACGCGCTTCTGCGACCGCTGCAGGCCCTCTCCCGAGACGGCATCGTCAGATATCTCCTGACGCTTCCTCTGAACGCTATCCCTGTCCTCGGGACAGTGTTGTTCTTGGCCATCAACGGCCATCGCGCCGGGCCGAGCTGGCATGCGCGCTATTTCCAGCTCAAGGGCTTTGATTCAGCGACGCGCAAGAGCTTCATTGAGAAACACAGACCGGAATACACAGCGTAAGCATTCGCTAAGTCTATGTCACTTATCTTTGACTCATGTGGTTCTTCAGGTTTGGTGTCGCAGCACTGTTATTCAACTTCATCCCTGTCGTCGGACTCGTGTTCACCTTCACCAACACCGTCGGCGCGGCGCTGTGGGCTGCAAACGTGGAAGCAAACTCCAATATCATCGACCCCAACGCGGAGGCAGCAAAGAACAAGTAATTATGTAGCTCAGATCCTGCTTGTATATCCTGCGTTACCTCTGCAATACACGTCGCACGTTGTACCTCAAGGAGTCAGACCGAGCAGTCCCACCACATTATACATTGAATTGTGCACCGCCCTCACACAGCCCAATACTGATCCCTCCCAACAGCATCTCTGTCCTTTGAAACCGTGATCATACAACATATCCACTCCTACAACTCCTGCCGGGCCGGACGCCCATTAGCGACAAACATCGAAGGTAGTGTACTGCGCCCCTGGTATGCGCGCGAACGAAATCTTTGCGATAGTGTCGTTAGCGTCTCAGCTCTCTCCGGACGACAAAGAGCGAGCCGCACGTACCAGGTCATGAGGGACGTTACTTCAGGCGATAACACACGACGGGGTGCTGGTTGAGCCGGAGCCGCTCTCCATGTTGAGGGGCACCTCCGACTGCTCGGGGACGACGGGGGCGACGATGATGGTGGTGTAGGCGTCCATTTCTGATGTGCGGTTGCAAGATGCGAAGTGAATCAGGTCGCTCGAGGTGTTTGTGCGTGATGAAGACCTACCGCCGTCTCGTGGGGGGTATTTATACCCCGAGCCGTAGGCCTTCTCGTCCACTCAATGAAGCAACGTTCGAGTACACTTTGGCTTTGACGCAGCTCCGACAACAGGACGCTACCCCTATCGGGGCCTAGCGTGCAATGAGCTACAGCCACGGCGATTGCAGATGGCCCTAAACAAAACATGCGTTATTGTTCTCTGCAGTGTTCGGCTAGAACACCGCGTTCATGGAAGTACATATCCGCGGGCCAGTCCTGCGGGGGCAAGCGAACCTTGTGGAAAGTGTGTCCTCAGCGGTTTTGCCGGAAGAAGACTTTCGGGCATACCGTCCCGCACCGTCTGCGGACGGGTCAAGAACAACAGAAGATTCAGGCACGCGCTTTTGTGAGATCGACAGTGCGCTGTGCGACACGCCTAATAAACGTCACAGGTGGACCCACCGTGTTCCGCGCTTCGCACTTTGCAGAGCTGGCGGTAATGCCACTCCGAGTCATCCGCGATCGCTTTGCAACTCTTCGATCATAACAATAGCGGCGATGTGCCAGATTACAAACTCGCCTTGGGTATCAAAGGTGTCTCAGAGTACAGATCGTACAGCTCCGTGGCCGCCTTCTGAATCTCCTGGCAGAATGCTCTGTGAGAGGAAGCGGTTCGGGAGGTGATCGTGTATTGCAGGTAGTCGTCAAAGCCGGTCATGTACGCGACGCCAAAGCCATCTGGAACAACCTACAAGAATAGATCGATTAGCAGATGACACGGCGCCGTTGGGTGGAGCACGTACCTCTCCCCAGCCATACGGCCCAAAGTGCTTCGAGTAGATTGCAGACGTGCTGAGCACCCAGTAGCTCGAGCGCTTGTAAACCGGATCGTCGAAGAGCGTGTGGACTATGTGGCGATGTAGCTTGTGTTCCGGATCGTCCTGCAACTCAGGATTTCCCTTAGCCTGTTTACGGAGCTCTTCGTTGAGGAGCTTCAGGCCTAGGAAGACATTCAGCTGACAACCCCGTAATGGCAGGGCAAGACAACGTACCCAGCATGTGTCGATCGACGCCGCGCGCGCTACCGGCCTCTTTGGCAAGTCCGACATGCTTCTGCACCGCAGCCTGGAAGAGCTCCTTCCTCTTCTCCCTGCTGACGTCCGGGTCGTCCATGCTCGCGACCCACGCGTCGCTCTCGGTCGTGACGACGCGGATCGCCTCCGTGCGACCTTTGAAGAAGCGCCGGGTCGTCGCAGCCTCGTACGTTCCGCCCACGCGCTTCTTGGCCGAGCGCGCGAGCAGCCGCCGGTACGCCAGCTGCACGACCATCTGCGCCCAAGAGTCGGGGCTCACGCCGAAACGCTTGATCTGCGCCTTCCCGTACGGCGTTTGCACCACCTTGAGCATCTGGTTCTTGATCAGGATCCGCGCCCGCGCATTCGCGCTGACGACGGCGCGCGTGAGGCCCTCGTGCAGCTTCCAGTCGAGCGGCTGTGGCGGGGCTGGCGGCGCCGTGCCCGGCTTGCCTTGGTCGAAGTTGGGGTCTGCGATCATGTCGAGCGCGGCATCGCAAAGCGCGACGGTCGGCGTGCCGTCCATGACCGAATGCTCGCCCATGAGGCCCGCTTTGCCATTGTCATACACGATGAACTGCACAGGCTTGTCTACCCAGCGGTTACGCAGCCCGAGATACGCGTGATTGTGAAGTGTCTTCCGTATGCCACCGTGCCACAAGGCTCTGCTGAAGTCATGAATATTGTCCGGCTGATCGTCATCGAGAGAGAGGACAAAGGCTGAGGATTGGATTGTTTCAACGATATGCGCATTGTGCGGGATCTCGATTAAAGTCGCATAGTCCTACAATACAATGCTCAGCGTCGCGCCGACACTGCAGACGCATCAGACGCACCTTTGCCCAGACATCACGGTTCGAGACAGATAGGACACTGACTGACGGGTATTCTTTCTCTGTGCCGTCGACAATTTTCTTCAGCTGCCTATAGAGTGGATGAAGATGTGTTGTTGTATTATTCTTGGCGTACTCACTGTTCTAGTTCTTCGATGCTTAACAACCGTCCATTCTGCCATGGGTCAAGTCTCCATACTCGGCCCTTGCGGAACACTACGATGTGGCCGGAGGTGCCGTCGTCACCAGGCTTTGCATACGAGGCACTCCAGTCTAGTCCCTCTTTCCCGGGTATGCGACAGCAATCAAACATCCACCTGTCTCTCGCTTAGAAGACTGAACCGAGCAGAGCGTGTGTGTCTGACCTCCAAGTGTCCATGCAAATCGGACCTTCTTTGGTCGCTTCTGGCTTGACTTGTCCGAGCTTAAACTGCTGGCGGAAAAGCATCGTGGCGCGAACGAGATGTGCTGCGCGATTTATAGGTTTCTGCGGAAGGTGTGCAGGATGGTCGTTGAAGCCATCTACGTACAGGCATGAGCAACATCCTCATTGGGTTTAAAGGCAGCTTACAGTAGTAAGACACGTTTACGACGACCTGGGCGGCTGGTCAGCTGCATTCCAAGACGAACACAGATGCACTCACCGAATCCCGGTAACCCAAGTACGCCAGATCGTCCCACCATTCTTCCAGCCAATGCTGCTTTTCCCGGGCCCGCTGTAGCAACATCTCCTGTAACTGTGGTCCCGGTTTCTGGCCAAATTCGTCGATGCGCCGCGAAACCTTCTCCCACTCTTTCTCATCTCGCGCGAGAGGCCTGAGGCTCTCCTTGAGCTTCGCCAACGTGTCGGGAAGCTCTGGCACGGGCAGCTTTGGCAGCGAAGATTGTGCGGCGAATGTAGGACCAGGGTGGGGTGCCGGTGCGAGCTCTTTCCAGTTTGCCGGTCTGTGCAGGTTGTTGGTCATCGTTCGACGAGTGACAGAGGACAGCGTTCGCAAGGGTACGGCGCGTGAGTTGAGGGAGAAAAACATGAGAGCCCGCGGACACCTTCAGGAGGGTGCTCGGTTCTTATACCGTTGATCCTCGTCCGTTCCGCCGCTCAGCGAGGTTGCCGCATCGGTCGATGTTGGGACGGAGAGCCAGCCAGCAGCGCGAACTCAGAGTCGGCCAACGAACGATTTGCCGGGCTCGACGCGAACACGTGAATTCTGGGCGCTGTCTCGCCGCTGCCCGAGTGGCTCAGTCCACCGCGTCCATCCTGCTCTCCGCGACGTCGGCCGGAACTATGGACTAGACTACATATATGTTGTCAGCGGCCGTATTGTATGCTCAACTGCCAATCGCACGCACATTGACCCGCAAGCCGCTACTCTCCATTCAGCGTGGTTCTTCGTCTGGGTCTTGCTTCCGGCATCGAATAACGTACCGCAGCCGGGTACTCGATGCATGTTGTAGGGTTGAACGCAGTGGTGTGTCCGCATATGCAACTGTTTGAGCTTGTGCACTCACCGATGCCGCACAGCGTGGAACACAGCCCGCGTTAACCATTGAGCCATGGGTCGTCAGCCCTTAGACTCAGCGGAACATAGCTTGCTTAGATCGCCAATATACGCGCATATATCCAGCCTCCGACACCCCACAACGCCACTGTTTCCCTTGCGGTGTCGCATAAGCTCACCCCACGTTTTATAGGTATCTCGATCGTATGCTGAGGGGGTCCTTCATGCACCATGTGCGACACCTGTGCTGGCTCTCTCTTCTCTTCTTATGTCGAAGTCTTCACTCAGGCTCGAGGCTGTACAACGCGCATCTCGCAGCCCTGAAGAAGCGAATTTTCGCCAAAGCTTTGCCTCGTAGGATGACGGAATGGACGGCGACAATGACGGCTGAGCCGAAGCGCGATATAAAGCCTCAAGAGAAGCGGGAAGTGATGTGAATGGAGGGCACAGGCCTTGGATATGCCGGATTCTTATGTGTCGAGTCCTTGTGACGTCGCACAGACGAATGGAGAATATTAAAAATATTATAGCTTCCAATCTTTGCCGACACCCCTCTGCTTATACAAATCCGCACCCTCAAGTACTACGATCCAAACGTCCAGACACACACGTCCCATCCCTGCCCGAATTATTCGAGTTCTATGCTCATGCCTCTAGTTGGCAGGGCGAGTTTCCGTGATGATTAATGTCTAGGGCTCGGGACGCGGACCTGGAGATTACGAGTATGTCAGACGGCCCACGAGTATGAAGAGTTGTGTCGGGCGTACCTCGTAGACCTTGCAGGCCTTTTACATTACAATACAACAATATTGGGTGTAGCCTGCATTGTTGCCGTCGAGGTAAACGTCTTCGTCATCGTCGTCTGCTGCTGACGCGGCCCCGGGGCTTCTCGGCGTCGCCGCAGCGGGGTTTGATGGCGTCGCTGCAGGATTTGAGGACGTCGCCGCAGGGTTCGGCGTCGCTCTTGCGGCATTAGACGGCGTCGTCGCTGGGCTCATCATGTGCTGCAGGTTCAAGACGATGCCCTGGGCGAGTGGATTTCCTGAGCTCACCCTGTGTTCTGACGTGTATATGTAGATCCCGGCGCACGGGGTGCGCTGCAGCGGTGCGGGTCTTGTCCCTGGACCGGCGTGGACTACATACGCCACGCCCATAGCATTTTGAGCGTCTACAGTGGCCTCGGCTCGGCGAGCCGCTCGATGTGCATTGCATGACATAAGTTAAATGCGTGCTAATCATTCGTGCAGGATAAGAGTACATGTCGAAGGGACATAAGCCGGCCATGATCCTGATATAGTGACACCATTGCCAATTAGCTAGTATGCTTGTGGTAGTTGTTATGACCGTATATCACCCGCATGTAGAGCGGCTTTGTCCGTTGCGGTCTCCGCCATCGCCCGGCGGAGCCGCGAGTTTCTGGACTTTGAGGGCATGCTGGCGTTCATTCGCTGGCTCTGGCCGCTACTTACTGATTCTGTACGTTTTCCCTCGTGCTCCGCGCCGTCCTACACTCTTACTAACCGTAGACAGGCGACGACTCTTATCACACATCTAGCCCGCCCATGTGAGTTCTATTTACACCATACACCTATTCTTAACTTATATGCGCTAAGTCCTCACTCGCCTCAACAGGAAAGGAAATCCTCCACGTTAAAATGGCGGGCCCCGCCGGTAGGCCCTCTCGCCTTAGATGGTCCTAATTTAAGCCCCAATTTCAGGCAGGAATGAGCACTGTCTCCACTTTCTCAACTAGTCAGCCATCAACTTTCTCCGGGGGCATGTCATGGGCACGGGCCTTACGAGCTGGGACCTGATCTCTCAAGCTCCGAATTTCACTAGACTGCGCTTCTTCGTGTTTCTTCGCGTACGGCATCGCGAAAGAAGACGTGCGTTCCCCAACTCGGTGCACTAGTTTAATCCTGATAGAATATCTGAGCGGCTTCTGCTCCGGGTATGCGCCCATATGTAGCCTGGAGGTACCAACCTCACGGCGGCGGATATCAATGGGAGCAGAGAAGGGCGTCACTCTCCTGACCACCCTGTTACACTCCTCTCACGCTCTTTCTGATGCGTTTTCACAAATGATTTTATTCTGCAGGTTCTTACTGCGTGGCTTCAGGCGTCGCGGGAAACGGTTGGCACGGCGGCTGCGACAGACGCGCCCGACGCACCCGGGCTTCTCAGGTTCCCATAGGACCTGTCACTCCTTACGATCGCCACTCGGAGTCTGCGGCACCGGTTCACCGCAAGGTGGACAAAGTTTGACGACCTCGGCGATAGCCCATTGAGTGCGCGAGCATGCCCATGTAACCAGCGTGCTCATTAAGCAAGAAATCCGAGTGTACTCGCAGGAGATCGGTGCGACGAGTCGTTACGGGTATCTCATAGCAATGAGGCCTCCTTGGCATAGGTCCCGGCGGAAAATAGAGCAAATGCCGCCGCCGAGCGGACGATCGCGGCGGCGTCGCGGGTGCCAGAGGCCGCTCCTAGCTGTGGCTAGAGCACTAACATGCGTCCGGTGAGCCACAGGAGGGGCAGTGGTGTTCTGAAGGTCTGCTGTACAGGCGTCTAAGTCAGCATCGCCTGAGCAAGTCAGGTAAGATGGCACACCATTGATACGGAATTCTACGAGACCTCAGGGCAGTAGCGGCAGATACCCATTGCGACAAGCGAAGCGCGTGGTCCGTGCGCGCTTCAACTCACGATACAGCGACAATCGCAAGCGGTGCCATCGGTTGGAGTGTCCCTGATTTCAATACATGAATTCCGAACAATTCCACTACACGGGGTTTAGTGTACAATATAACCTGTGATGCCAAGCATTTAACAACTTTCAAATATTTGCGCGTGTTCGTTGCGAGTGTGCGAAACCTGCTCGTACGGGGAAGCCGAATGAGCGGAGCCCTCGAGGCGCCACAGGCGCCACACTGAAATTCAAGCGCCTGTTGGTGCGCCGCTTGCGTTCGTTCTGTTGAAGCGCGATAGGCGAGCTTGCGCAGGTAACAACTGGCCGAGCAGTGCGGCCTATTTTTGTTGTAACCAGCCTGCGACGCTTGCCTTGTGTCCGCTAGTACCGGTCCGAGAGCGCGTGCGATGAAGCGGTGAGCACACCGTTTCGCAGTGGCGGGCAATCGCAGCTGACTCACGGGCGAACTGAGCCAGCGAGCTCCCGCCTTGCATAGCCAGCACCCGCGGCCGGACGTTCGGACAATGCCGTAACCTAATCACACCGTCGTGACGATCCGTGGGAAGCGCTTCTTGTGCACCCATCTTGTCTTCGCTTTGCCCCAGCAGCCTTCACGTCCGCCAGACCGGACAGCGACTAAAAACGTCTCAGATTAATATCACCTTGTACGATACTGATGACGTGTACCACATTAGAAGGTTTCCCATCGGAAATTATCCATCGCATCGTTCAACTTGCCCCCGAACACGACCATCGGATCTTCTTCCCGGACAGCAAGGAAGGTCTCGCTGCTTACGCGTCGACCTGTAGTCACTGGGCACGGCTCATAAGGCCTGGTCTGTTCGGGGCCCTCACTTTGAAGAGCGCGGAGGATGTCACGCGGCTCATACTCTTCCTGCGTACCGACGGCGTCCCCGGAATACCCAGCGTAAAGGACTGTCTGAAAACCCTCAAACTTGTCGGGGACGCGCAGACCATGCACTGCGCTCCGGAAAAATACCATTTTCTCGCTCTATGCGGTGATTGTCTGCCAGAGACGGTCAGTATTAGCGCGATAACCAGTGGGCCTTCGGAAAACGGAGCGTCCCCGACCCTTACGAGAAGCCAGTCCCTTCCTTTCCTATCCTTGCCCAGGAGTCTACCAATGTCAACGTTCCGCAATAAGCCTCAACTATTCCTTCACCATGTGCAGCTTCGTTCGTTCAAAGATCTAGTGCGCTGTATTCGACACCTTATGCCGGTGGTTGTCACTCTGGAAAATGTGACCTTTGTCACAGATGATATCGACACGTACACGCGCCGAAATTTTAAACGGGAAGACCGGCAGTCGCTCATGAGCATCACGGTCGACGGCAAACCTGAGATAGCATACTTTCCCAGTTACTGCAAGCTCGCCAACCTTCTCTATGCCACATGCGATCTGCACATGGAGCGTGCCAGGGCACTGGCTGTGGCGTACCTACTTGGCTTGCTGGAGCACACACCCGGGGGCGGCGTGCATGGGATGCGGTTATTAACAGTTTATCGTCATTTTCATGACTCTCGCCGTACGTGACATAGTCAACCTATCAGAGACCTTCACTCAATGCCATGCAGATATGGGCTACGAGTATTCCGCAATGGTGAATGATCTGCAGCAGGGACCTGGCGAGATCGGGGTCCATGCCTACCTTTCATATCTCAATGACGGTACGCCGTACATTAGCCACGTCGCCATCAGCTTTACCGGGACCTGGAACGCCGCCGATGCCGCTTCGCTTGTCGACTGGGAAGGCGTAAACCTCGCCCTATCTAAACTCGTCAGAGCTGCCCTCCCCTCCCCTCCCTTCCACGTCCGCTGCCGAGACGACATCTTCGGAGGTCTCTTACGCCTGATATTAGATGAACAACATCCACTGGCACAAGCTCTCTCGCGCATATCTCAGAGGCACGAGATCATCTTTTCTTGGAGCGGTGCTGGATCTACCGGTTGCAGTCTCAGGAGCCTCAAAGAGCAGGCCGCTTCGCCAGTGCAGTATAGCTCCGACGGCTCAAAGGTCACGTTGACCAAGGAACAGTTTGTCGAGTGGTTGCTTTGCAAGGACGAAAGCAAAGAACGGTACCTGCAAGGCTTGGCAGCTGCGGTGCGTGCACTTGAGGCGGGAGCAGCCGCATCGTTGCAACGTAGCTCAGCTGGACTGAGCGAAGAATGCGCGAAAGATGGAGTGTCGGGTGGCGAGCAGACGGGCGGTGGAGAGGTTGCTGGCGCACGAAACAAGAGCGGTGGAACAGATGAAGCGCGGAGCGCCGCTTAAAGGCCTTTACTGTACTCCAACGGGCACTAAGGCGAGTGGATAATCCACGCTCGTGACAGGTTCTGACGCATACATGCAGGTCGTTATGCTCTCTCGACGCTGATATGACATTAGCAGAGACAGATCAAGGCTACGGCACTTCGGCTGTCGAATAGGGGTACAAGGGGGCTCTTCGTACAACGCACGATGCTGAGCTTGTAGATGTAACTGATTCTCACACAGAGTCATGGCGACGGCGATGTAATGGAGGTTGGGGCCTGGGAGCGGTCACAACTGATGACACTGCGGTGGTCTGCGTCTACTATTATAAGCTCCTGACTCTGCATTCTGTAGCTTCTTGTATTGAAGTACAGGATTATAACTTAATGTATAGGAGTGTGTCTGACAGCCAGAAGAGAAGTAGCCTAATGGGCATTGTATGTATCAAGAATTTGCGGTAACGCACCGGAGAATTCGGCTTACCGAGAAGCTTGTGATATACATGCATCAAAATGGATGAATCTAGGGAGACGATACGGACATCCAATCAATCACTCATTCCGAACACCCGGACGACACTTGGGCTAAATGGTGGCACATACCTGACAGCCCTGCCACAAATGAGACCAGACATCAACTTCTCACAGCAAATCGGCGTCGCCGCTGTCCCGGATCCAGCAAGTCGCCACAATCGCTCGCATCTCCACACGCAGCGCCTCTCTCGTGGTGGAGTCAAGCTTCGCCGCCTGCAAGAGCGTCTTGGCACAGCGGAGGGCGACGGCGGCCGGCGCGTCCCACGGCCACGGCAGTGCGCTCTCTGGCGCGTCCGACTTCAGCTCGTTCCGCACAATGTCTAACCCCATTCGGACGAGTGTCTGCGCCACCAGAGGCGAGAGGGCTGATAGCCTCGGCTGGATGTCGACAGTGGACTTCTTTGTGGTCCAGGGGAACGCAGCGAAGTCGTCGGGCAGTCCAGAGTAATCGATGACGAGGTTGTGGAGAAGGACGATGGCGTGCACGGGGCGAATAGTCCTTGCTGCATTCCTGATCTCGGTCACCAACTCCTCTTTTGTCGAGATACGCGCTACTTCCCGTAAAACAGGGACGACGAGTGACCCATCCCCCTCAATTTCCTTCATCCTTGCACTCCACGTCAAAACAGACTTTTGAAGGGACGAAAACAGAGGGCTGTAAGGCGCGAGTAGGTCGACCAAGAGATGAAATAGGTCGTGGAGAATGGCGGCCTCAGTGGTTCTGTACGGACAGTCGGGGAAGATCACAGCGAGCAGACAGGTCGGGATAGCGATAAGATAGTACGGTGCGAGTAGGGCTGCGAGTATGATTTTGGGGAGGATACCAAGGACCGCCCAGCGTTGGACTATGGCCCATACGAAGAAGGTCGGAATGAACAGCCGTATGCATATCTCCGTCCTCGACACGCCCCTGCGTTCAAGCTCTTCCAGGTGATATGGTCCTATCTTAAGAACGTATTCGGGCGGAGGCCGGGATGACTTGGACGCCATGGTACGCTGGCGTGGTGGTGAAGCGGGACAAAGCGCGTTTCATACTGAGCGGCGATTGAGACAATAGTGAGGTTAGGGTCTAACGCCACAAAGCCATTTGCTCATCGCCGAGCCTTGCTTTCCCACTTTGCACATTGACTTGTAATTTCTTTTTACGACAAACTCCGGTTCTTGTCGTATGTCGGCACAAGGATCCTGCCGACTATTTCGGGTTAGGGTTACGCCATGGGTAGTAATAAAGCGTCTAATTCAAGGAGCGCCCGACTTATTCAGCCAGCACTCGGTCAGGACTGAGGTTTTACTGGCATCCACGACATTCGACTGTGTTTCTCTTGCCTGACTGTATTTCTAGCTGCTTACGCGCACATTATACTTGTAACTATACCATCACAATCAACATGGCTACCGGCACCCTTGATTTCACTGTCTCGCACCGCGGAAAGACCTATACGCTGTCGTTATCCCCGGATACACCCATAGATGCTCTTCAAACTCGTTTAGAGGAACTGACAAACGTTCCAAAGGCAAACCAGAAACTCGTGTACAAGGGCAAGAAGCCCTCGCTCAGGAGCGACGAAACTATCGCGGAGGCTGGGCTTAAGAGTGGGCTGAAAGCTCAGATGTTGGGGTCCACAGCGGAAGAGCTAGGCGAGATGAAGCAGGTGGAGAGTGAACATCAGAGAAAAGAAAGCATCATGAAGGAAAGGGCACTGAAGCCGCAGGCAAAGGTGCGCAAACCCGTCGAGCCGTGTGCCCGCGACAGCCCTGACATTTTTACAGCTACGATCCACTGGCCCGTCACCATCGTCGTTGTCGTCCGTTCAATTCCGCTTTCACGAGATTGTCCCATTACCGCACCTCCCGAACCCCGACTCTGCAACAAAACTGCTTACCCGCCTCGCCGAAGACCCTGCGATCCGCCATGTCATGCAGAAGCACCAGTTCGCCGTCGGGACGCTGACCGAGCTGGCACCGCACGAGCATCCGCATCTGCTGGGCCTGAATGTCAATGGAGGCCAAGCGATCAAGCTGCGGCTACGGACGGACGACTACGAAGGATTCAGGACGTACAAGGAGGTGCGGAAGGTGCTCTGTCACGAGCTTGCGCACAACGTTTGGGGCGATCATGACAACAACGTATGTTCCATGCGCATGACTGTCTATCACGACTCTGACCGTTCTCTAGTTCAAGGAACTCAACTCTCAGTTGAACCGCGAGGTAGCCGAGTTCGAGCGTGCAGCGACAGCCGGGGCACACCAGCTCTACGATACGAGCGGCGCCTACACTCCATCTTCAGAACTGGAGAGAGATGCACAGATCCTGGGAGGCGGAGGCGGCTACATTCTCGGGGGAGCATCTTCGAGGGCTGCAGTAGATTCTATGGAAGAACGACGCCAAAAGATGCTCGAAGCTACGCTGAACAGGCTGAAGAAGGAGGAAGAGGAGTTGGAACAGAGCTGCGGGACAGCGGGGCCTTCTGCTTCATCATGCTAAGCATCTGTGCGTTCCCCGATAGCATATATTACACGGACATATGTATACAACAGATAGCCTAATGACAGCACATTATATTCAAGTCCTTTATGCTTTCATGAACCCCGCAAAGTAGTCGTCAACGTCCTTGATGCTCTCGTAGGGCGCAACGACGCCGATGTAGCCGTCTGGCCGAACGACAACCACCGCACCCTTCTGTTTGTCAATGCCGTACGCATCGTAGCCCCCGCCTCCTATGCGAGAGAACATGTCGGTGTCATCGACCAGCACCCTGCAGATACACCGTCAGTCCCTTTGTGGTGCACAGAACGACAAAGATACTCACTTCGACCAGTGTGCCCTGAACACCGACGGCAGGTCTGTGTAGTTCACCTTCTCCTTGCTCGCCGAGCACAGTGCGAGCACATCAAACACCTTGCTCGGGTCCTGCCCGCCGAAGCGCCGGTAGAAACCGCCCTCGATGTCCTCCGCAAGGCGGCGGACGCGCGCGAGCTGCGCCGCGTCGCTTGTGTCGCCTGCGAAGACAAGCACCTTGAAACGCGTGTCCGCAGGAAGGAGGTCCTGGACCTCGAACGGGCGGCCGTCCGCCGTGCGGACGAAGACGTGCGGGAGCATGCGCTGGCCGATGACGAGCGCGGGCGCATGCGCCTGGTGTGTCGTGTTCACAACCGCCGAGGGCGCGTAGTGAATGCCGATGCCCGACGTGAATGCGCCGAACGTCTGGAAGGCCTGCAGAAACTCCTCGTGGCTCACGCCGCCCTCGTTCTCCGACGTGCGCGGCTTGTCCGAGAAGAGCGCCGAGAATTTGCGGTCGAAGGCGATCAGGTCCTGGGCGTACCTGCGTCGCTCGAACTCGTACTGTTCTGCAGTTAGCTAGGGTGTCCTGTGGCAGAAAATGATATGCACGCACTGTCTTGAGCAGAGACATGTCTGCCCATCCGCGCAACACATGGCTCAGCTTCCATACTAGGAGCATCGTCAGCACGGAGGACGGCAAAGGGCGGGGAAGGTCTTACTGAGGTTGTGCGTGTCATTCATACTCGCGTTCATGCCCTGGCCAGCCTTAGGCGAGTGTGTATGGCAAGCATCGCCCGCGATGAATATCCGCTCGTTCACTGAGAACTGGCTCGCGACACGCTGTCCAACTGCAGAACGTCAACGTCTGACGTTCCTGGTTTGGGCCTGATAGACTCACTGATATAGATCGTCCACCAATCGAACTTGTCCGCATGCATAGTGTATGGATAGAACGTCTTCTTTGCGACCTGCATCAGCTTCTCGGGGCCCATCCTGTTCTTGTCGACGCGTCCCGTCTCTGGGCTGATCACGTCGCTGTCTGTCAGCTGCAGGTAGAGCCGGATCTTGTCGCCTTCGCGTGGGACGATCATACACGAGCCATTCGTAGAGTGGATCGCGCAGCGATTGCGCACGTCCGGGAAGTCGGTTTCAGGGACAATGTCCACTACACCCCAGATGTAGTCTGAAATGGAGCGTCAATTGAGCCCTCCATCGAATAAACTCATTATGACGTACTTGTCTGTTCGCCCTCCATGGAAATGTCGAACGATTTGCGGACCCATGAATGTGCACCTGTGATTGAATCGTGTTCAGCAAAATCGCGGGGCGTTGCAGGGATTGAATCACCATCTGCTCCGATCACGAACTTCGCATTGACCACCTCTGTATCCGGATGCCCTTCCTCAGGTGCCAGGTGCTTTAGCACGACCTTCGCCGGATAGCTGTGAGGATCTTTCAACTCCGCCTTGTCCGCAGAGAGTTGTATTGATGTGGGAACGATCGGACGCTCTACCTGGACACCCATGGATGCCATAGAGTCCAAGAAGATGTTTTCGATTGCTCCCTGATGGAGGGTGACCTGCAAAGAGAAGTTGAAATGGGCTGCGGCGTACAGAGGGTATGCAGCACACCTCAAAGGGATAGCGAGCTGTGGGAGCAGTGACATCTGCTGCTCGTCCCGTGCGCATGATACCGCCGTCAGGACTTGGGTTGTAAAATGCCTACAAAATCTCAGTAACATGATAGCTGTGCGACTAGATAACAGTGACTCACGGCCATGTGCATTTGATTGCCCTCTCGCAGCAGCCGCTCGGCGAGGCCATAACTCTGCGCATCCAGGAGCATAAGACATTTGTCTCGTGAAGACATGACACGGGCGTACCTGTAGGACCTCGATGGTACGTGGCTGTATACCATCAGCCTGACCTGCCGCAACCTTTGATGGTCTACAGACGTTCCTGTTATCGAACCAAGCCTAATGATACGCGAAAGACTCATACCTCTGGTCTATGACCCTAACATTTACTCCAGCACGAGCCAAGCCATGGGCTGCCATCAGCCCCGATGGCCCAGCACCAATGACCAACACATCGACGGTGCTCTCCTTTGCGGGTGGAATGGTCATGAATAACGAGTAAGAGAGGTGCAGGTGAAGGACGATGCTGAAGTTTCAGGGAGCATCATTCTTATATATACGGCATGCACGATGTTGCACTTAACCCTGCAAAAGATCGGAAGGCTCAAGGGGTCATCTGAATACAGCTAGCGGCACCACTTCCATCTAGCGATCGGAAGCCAGCCCCGGAAACTTTCGATCGGTGATGAATATTAGGCACCGCTTCGTAACGTCCGGCGAGGAAGACAGCTAGCATAAAGCGAGGGTACACCCTAAGGAGCCTAGAAGCGGGACGAACGAGCACTACATGCCGCAGTTGCTAGTTCTGGTAGCAGATTTCGCAGTGAACCTGCCCATGCCAGGCGAGATACGGATTACGACATAGCGGCGCCGTCAGCTGAGATAATGGTGGGAAGGCTGGAGCTCTGTTCAGCAGGTCCGTCGAGAGCTTCTGCCTCGCTCTCTGCGGGGCGCTCATCGTTTGACGCGAGGTGTACCTTTTATGGCGATTTGCCCGACGCGGTGGCCGTGATAGGACCACGACCTCCACCACCCGTATTTGCCTGGGTGTGAGATTTGGCATATCAGGTTTAGCTGTTTGCTTTTTGCGGTAGCTGTGGAGTTAGACGTGTCCGGTTGGAGGTTTTGCCTTGCCATGGCTGACGAATACCGTGTCCGCTGCGGGACTTCTACGGGCAACTTGTCTGTCGGCTTCCGAGAATCCTTCACCTTTAGCAAGCCACTACGCCATGATTTGTGCGCATTCATGTAAGCAGGTTCGGCTCAGCCGAGTAAGGATGTCATGTGAGAGGCCATATAGGGATTTCCCAGTGCTATACTACCAAAGGTAACATGAGTGGGGTGTGGAACGTCGAGCAACACCTGATCAGCGCGCGCACTGAGAAGTCATCCGTTGATGTTACGCGAGTCCCCATCCCCGCACTATCCTGGAACTCAGTGTCGTATGGAAAGCTTTGAAAGCACGGGTCAGGGTGCTCAAAGCGTACCACTCTAGATTCCCTGACCTGAGCGGATCCTGGTCCAAAGTTTTTCACAACGTCTCACTAGGCGTACGCTGTTGCTGCCTTGCACTGTCACCACCCACTGCGCTCATCCCAAGAAATTCGCCAATAAAAATGTGCGATCAGACTCGATCGCCAGCCAATCAGGACGCGCGCTTGGAAATCGGTTTGAGTCAGTGATTTAGATCTATCACCGATCCTCTTGCATGCATAGGACTCGTGCGCGAAGTCTTACTCGCAATTCTGCAGAGCGATGTTGAAAGGTCGCATCCTTAGCATTCAGTCTCACGTCGCCTTTGGTTATGTCGGTGGCAAGGCTGCGGTGTTCCCACTGCAGTGCTTGGGGTATGACGTTGATGTCAGTCTACACTGCACCATAGGTCACACGCACTCGGAGACTGACACTTTCCTTTCATAGGTCGTGAATACCGTCAATTTTTCGAATCACACTGGCAAGTCGCTGTTCGATACGTGGCCATACGCAGCTCGTCGCTGACTCGCGGGCCAATCGACAGGCTATGGTCGCTTCGGCGGGTCGCGTGCTACCGCCGCAGAGCTCGGGAATGTCCTCGAGAACATGGAGAAGAATCACCTGCTGCAGCCTGAACGACTATTAACAGGTAGATCGCGCTCCGGATCTGAATTGGCAGCCGGTACTGAGCAATTTTTCTAGGTTACATACCCGGCAGCGAAGCCTTGTCAGTGGTACTTTCGCTCGCTCAGAAGCTCACGGAGAATAACCCAGAGATCATTTACTTGCTCGACCGTGCGTTCTGCTCTGCTACGTCATCTGAGTGGCTTTTTGATTGCAAGGTGTAGCTGTACTCGGGGACTCTGGGAAGCTTTACGTTTCGCCCGATGTGATACCAATCTACAGAGCCATGCTCCCGCTTTCGACTATAATTACACCGAACTGGTTCGAAGTAGAGTAAGCGGAACTTGGCCTCTCGCTCCACTTTTTGCTGGTCCTGACGCGGGTCTAGGGTCCTGACGGATGTGCAGATGACTGACGTCCCCTCCTTACGCCGTGCGCTCAAGATCCTGCATGAACGGTACCAGGTCCCTAATGTCGTCATCAGCTCCATCCCGCTGAAACCATGGCTCCTGGAGGGCCTACCATCGCAGAACCGTCCGCCAGCAGGTACAGACACAAACACGGAATACCTACTGTGCATCGCGTCGTCTGCCACGGACACGACGAAGGGCCCGCAGCCGTCCGCAGTGCACACGCGCCACGTTCCGTGGATTCCAGGCTACTTCTCCGGCGTCGGCGACCTCTTCTCCGCCCTCGTCCTCGCTCACTTCCGCTCGTCACACGGCTCGACGCCCGGGAGCCATCTGGCGCACGCCGTCTCGCAGGCGCTCGGAAAAACACATGCGATACTCAAGTTGACGGACGAGTATGCCACGACACTGCCCGAGGAGGACCGTCTGCCGACGGACGAGGAGCTGGACCAGAAGGAGCCCGAGCGGAAGACTCGCAGGATGAAGGGACGCGAGCTTAGACTTGTACAAGGGCAGGACATCGTCCGAACCGCTGCCCTCCAGGACGCAAAGATGAATCCTTGGGAAGGATTTTGGGAAGAATAGATGGTAATGGATTGACATAGCCAGCATATAACGAGATTTTGTCTAGATAGTACAGTGATAGATCTAACGACCCGTATGAATCTTCTGAGTAGTACAAGGGGAATGACATTTTTCTACTTGTTATATGACTGATATTTGAAGAGGCTACCGGCAGTCAGGTAATTCCCAGCCTGAAGGGAAGTCTTTACTGTAAAGCTTAAACTCTCGTTAATTCCTCTTTGGAAGTTCTATAGATCGTCCTTAGTGTGTGGTAGTCGCATGGACCCAACATGTCCCTCTGTCTTCCTTTCCCGCTCAACCATGTGTAGATGAACAATAACAGCATGCAAGTCCCAACGGTCCGTGGGAGTCGAGACCGTGACGCTCAAGCGTTGCAGCTGGTTTTCATGACAACCAGGAACATCTCCGAACTTGAGACTTAGCATCGGTGTAACGAGTGTCCGAGTTAGGAAATATCTCCCAAAATAACGTAGTTGTCACACGAAATGTAGAGGAAATTCCTGCACTTCGACGTCGAGCTCCTCGAGCACTTTCTTGCGTTCGTTATTCTCTCTCGGTCTCTTCTGTGTCTCCCTGAGCAATCTTGCTCGTTTCCTTCGGGAAAATTACACTCTTTTTTTTCGCCATTCGTTCGAAATACCAGCATAGACCAAAAATGCTCGAAGATCTCGAAGTTCACGCACGGGGCATGCATCGCCGCCTCAAGGCCCGGTTCAGCCCTACGCAGCTGTTTACTATTACCCCGGTAAACGAGCCTACGAACACTCCGGCACCTACCGATCCCCCTGCTAATCCGCCTGCTAATACTCCTGCTGCAACTTCTGCTCGTGAGTGGACTTTGACGTCGCTACGCGCTTGCACGAGGCACGGACGTGTGCTATGCCCGTGTTAGACCGTGTCGACCCTGCAGAACTGTACTGACGCAGTATTGGTAGCTGCCGCGGTCGCACCGGGCCCAGCTTCCCCGCCGGCTACTTCTGCGGCCTCCAGCCAAGCTCCTGCTACGACCCATGCTCAGAGCACCAGTTCCACGACTGCTACGACTGCCACGCCCTCCCCGTCCGCGACGTCCTCAAGCAGCTCGTCGTTGTCTTCGTCATCTTCGTCGCCCTCGTCGTCCTCCACGTCCTCGTCCAGCAGCTCCTCGAAGACCGGTAGTTCATCGAGCACCCTCGCTACACCCTCTCCTACGCCCGTATGTGAAGCGCTCAATATTAATCGCGAGCAGTATTGTATTGACGACGGTCTTCGCAGACTCCGACTCAGACACAGCAGCAAGTGGGGGGCTTGGGTGCCTCAATCCCGGTAGTGAACACCAATGCTGGTACCTCTACGCAGTACTTGTACTCGCCTCTACTTGGCTCGCCTAGCCCTACCTCGGCCGGCGCGTCCGCTTCTCCGTCTGCCACTGGTACAAGCTCGGTGCAGGTCCCGGTCATCATCGGCATTGTTGTTGCGGTCATTGCTGGTCTCGCGGGCATTATATTCGCCGTGACGTACTTCATGGTAAGTAGTCGCAGTACGCTCAAGACACAATCACACTTCCTAACACGGCGTGCAGCGTCGCTCCGGCCGTGATGAAGAAGAAGATATTCTGCGACGCCAATCCATGTTCCTCCCCGACGAGCCTACTCCACGTGAGTTCCGCGGTATGACCCCGCCGCCGCCGCCCACGGCTGTACCCCACATGACTGGCGGTCCCATTTCCTTCGGCGGTCAGCAGCAGTATGTAGACCAAGGCTATTATGGATCCCCTTACCCGGGCGGGTTTGGCCCTGATCAGGTGATCTCGATGCCCCCTCAAGCTTGGTCTCCCGTCACTTCGCATTCGGCGCAGCCGTTTTTCCAGCCCATGGGCGAGACACCTCTCGGCTCCCCGGTCAGCCCCGGTCCATACAATTCTGCCTACAACCCTCAAGGTCAGCTCGCTCAACAGCAGGCTAGTGCTTATATTGAACACCACGGCTCAAATGGAACGGACTATATGCTCAACCGCCAGGGCTCAAACGGTACTGATTACATGCTCAGTCGTCAGGTCTCGAATGGCGCGAGTCACATGCTTAGTCGCCAAGGTTCTAACGGCGCGGACTACATGCTTAACCGCCAGGATTCTTTGAACCCAATTTCTCCGGTCAGGCAAGGTTCGCTTGGTCCTAACATTCCGCTTCGCCAGAATTCTACCGCATCAAACGTGCCGCTCAGTTTGCAGCCTGGTGGCTCCAGCTTCGCGACACGTCAATCTTCGATGACTGCGACTGCTACACAACTCGACATTACGGAAACCGACTACATTGACCTCAACCGCTCCAGCGTCTCGCCATACCAGGCTGCCCAGTATGCTGAGATCTCCGGCCATCTCCGGACCGAGCCTCCCCTGCCTCTGCCCACTCCGCTCGTTGTTGCGGCAGCTGATGAAATCATCACGAAGGAAGATCAGGTCGTCCCCTCGGTTACCGAGCCGCGCCCGTTGAATGTGAGCACCCAAGGCAGAGTGTCCCCAATCATGTCCCCAGTCCTTGGCAACGCACCCGGTGCATTCGTCGCGTCCCCCGTTGAAGATGTCGGCTCTCCATTCTCCGACCCTCGCGCCGAAGAGCACAGCATGCCTATTGTTAACCCTGATGACCTGCCCCGCCCGCCGTCCCCGGCGTATTCAAACAAGTCGCGCATCGACTCTACGCCGCCCAAGCTGCCCGAGTTCTCTGGCAAGGATTCGTTGTTCTCCCCTGTGTCATTGGAGTTCCCGTCGTCACCTGCCGCTCACGGACCATCGCCGCTCTCCGCCTCCGTGGAGTTCCCGGATGAGACGCATGCCGCGGGTGTCAGATCACCCGCTGCGCCCGAGCCCGTCCATCGTACCACGAATGGCGCCCCCGCAGCACGCCCGCCCTCTGCGTACACCGTGTATGACGATGACGACGCCTACGCTGGCATCTAAGCTGATTGCACGAGCTTTCATATACCCTGTCTCATAGAACGCAGTGAAAGTGCACACCACATGTTTCCTTGTACACCTTGCTCCGTTTCCGTGCTCTCTGGTTATTCATTTCTTTCGTACGCTCTGCCGTGCCGCCGCAGCTTCGAGCCCGGGGTGGCGGACGCGTGTGCGTGTACGTGGCAAAGGGGCAGCGGTCGGGGGAAGATTGCTAGAACTGGCTTCTCTGGGGAATCGCCTACCGCTACCCGTTTTCATTCCTCTCGGGCTTTCTCGTCTTCTATACTCTTTCCGCGACAGACGTACTAGTGTACATTTGAACATTTTTGCCCCATGGTCTTACACAACGTGCACTTTGTAGTACGTGCCGGTATAACCTCACGCTTGTGAACCCTTTCGTTCGCTGTGTCACAGCATGCAGCGGCGCACCGCCTGTGCTTGTGCGTTTCCCGTTGAGCTAGTAGTACTAGTGTCCGGTCTTTATTTATCATGAGTCTGTGGTGTCAACTCAAGAGTACTGTACTTCAACTTCAATGTACGCTGAGCTGCGGGCCATAGCGTAAGTGAACTTTCTCTATGGCACTAGATCTGTTCTGCAGAGGATGTCAATTGGAAACTATGAATGCACAGTAACATAATTGCGTGTGTGAGGCGTGGAAAATTCGACTAATATGACTACAAATACGAGGTACAGCTAGGATATGTAGGGCATACATTATCATGAGTGTTAGTAGTGATGTGTGTCGTGATAACGGATATCATGAATATATGTGTGAGATAGTCCAAGATAAGCGTGCGACAATGATGCAACCCGAACAAGCAACCCGAAACGAACGAGGATATAAGATATTTTGAAGGAACATTAAGATGGCCCGGGGGTACCGGGTACGTAGCTTTTACTATGAGGAAGGCGACATCGAGCGTTCGTGTATGTGCGTGCCGCGCTTCCGGCGTTCGTCAGCGATAGCAAGCATCGCCTTCAAACTCTTCTCAAGTACAGGCTTCGTGAGGACACTGGCGGAACGATGAGCACCAAGTCAGCAACGATGATGGAAGATTATACGTACTGATCTACTCCAGCATCCAGGTACTCTTGTTGATCCGTCAAGAGGGCGTTGCCAGTCACGCCGACTACGAAATCCTTGCGCCCCCTCCGGCGCAGCTTCGCCACTGCCTCCAAGCCGGACATGACTGGCATCTGGTTGTCAAGGAAGACAACCGCGTACCGCTCGTCGGTCGTCAGCTGGCCGTCGTTCGACACGAGCCCGCTGCTGCCCGTATCCTCAGACGACGGCGTCGGGCGTGCGGCAGGGTTGAGTATCAGGTCGAGGGCGATCTCGCCGTTTTCCGCCGTTGTCACCTTGCAGCCGAGACGTGTGAGCATGCGCGACATGAGCTTGCGTGTGAGCGGGTCGTCATCGACGACCAGCACGCGCATGCCGCTCTCGAACTGTGCCGACGACCCTACCAACGTTGATGCAGAGCCGGACGACATAGTGCTGCCAGGGGTGAGACCCTGCGCGACGGCGCCGGCGTTACCGTTGACAGAAGTGGTCTCACGCATGTGTTCCTCGATGACAAAATTGCTGGGTTTTGGTAGCTCCAGTCGGGTAGGCTTGATCGTCGGGTCGGGCGACTCTTCGGTGAGTGGTGCTGAACGCTCGGGAGGTGTCTGCGGCTCAGGAGACGAGGTTCCTCCTGTCAGTAAAGACCGCGTGCGAGTTGGCTCCGTTCCTGTCGAAGGGTCGCCGATTGTCCGGGTCGGAGGTCGGCCATGTCCGTCTTTCTTTGTTGAGATCTCGACCATTCCTCCTGTAGATACTGGTGCTAAGTAAACTCTGGAATGTTATGAGCATCATAACTGACCTTGGTCCATGATACCGTGTAGCACAGAAACGGACGAAGAGCGAAAAGGCTCTGTCTGTGGTGACGGTATAGGAGATAGGACTGGCAACGAACTCCTCGTCGACATCGACACACGGGGAGACCCACAATCGGGTCGGTCGCCAGGTGTGCTGAGTTCTGAATAAAATTTCCCTGCGTCAGGCGTGCTCAGGCCGGCTGCAACTTTGCTACCGACACCCAATGCTAGATACAGCCTGTCAGTGACATGTAGGACAGCGCAGAATGAATACGTACGCAGTTCGACCCAGAATGTCGACCCTTCGTTGACTTTCGACCGTACGCCGAGACGGCCACCGCTACGCTTAACAATTTGGCGAACAAGAGCCAGCCCGAGGCCGGTACCCTTTCCGCCCTGCTGTCTGCCCATCTCGGTCTGATTGAAAGCAGCTGCGACGAGCAATAATCAGCGACAGGTCGATCAGAACGGCAGCATGCACGCTTACAGAATAGCTTAGTTTGAACCATGTCCTTGGGCCGAATGCCACATCCCGTGTCAGTGACCTCGATGCGCACGACAATCCACTCAAGCGGTGTCGGCTTCGAGTACATGACGTCGTGCTGCGAGAGTAGGGAGCGCGACAGCCCTGGACGACGCCTGTCAGAACGAGTCTCGGAGTGCTTCTCATCCATGATGTCTGACACATTGTCAGCGGGGCGGACGAAGCACAAGGGACGAGGGACGGAGAACTCGCCAGGACGCTCGCTACCGGCAGCAGTCGTGCTCGGCACATCGAAACTGCTGCCCTTCTCTGTGATTCCGGGAGAGGAGATATCACGATGCTCTTTCTCAATCTCCTCCGGCTCCTTCTCGTCCTCTGATGGCTGAAGATTTGGGATCACGAGCTTCGTAGTAATCATGAGTTTGCCTCCGGCGGGCGTAAACTTGCACGCGTTACTGGAGAAGAGTCAGTCTGTGGCACAGCGCTAGAGGGAGCCTCGTCGCACCTCGCTAAGTTCGTTATGATCTGCCGAAGGCGTGTCTCGTCCCCGACGACAATACCGTCTTCATCTGGATTTTCAAAAAGCTGCTTCGCAATAGCCTCCGCGCTCTCGCCCCGCGCTTCTAACAGTGCCTTACGCGCAACTCCGTTGATATTCCTGTCGAAATCTGTGACAAACTCGAGCCCGCGGGCGTCCGTAGCCAATCGCAGAGGTATGAAGAGCGAGCGCATGACCTGATGGAAGGCGTATGGCTGCATAGGCGCGTAAGCGGACTGAGGGGAGCCTTCAAGATGAGTATATGCGCACCTTCAAGACGCTCTCAAAGCGGCCACTGTCCATGCGGTTGAAGTCTAGCACATCATTAAGTACCTTGGACATCATGCTCAAGCTTCCTTCGAGCGCCTTGAACTCGATGTCCTGTGTTCTAGCAATCGTGCCGGAGGCCTCCATGTTTTGTACGGCCAGCAGCGCTGTGTTCAAGGGGACACGGACCTCGTGGAAGACGTAGGATGTAAGGCGACGCTTCGAATCCGAGGCTTTGCGCTCATTAACTTGTGCTTTCTGTGTCGCACGAAACTGGATCTTGAGTTGATCTCTAAGAGTGTACAGGCGACGCTCAGCCTAGAAAGTCGGTATATAGTTAGCATAGCTCGGGGTATATGCGTTGATGCACCAACATTCTCACGCATGTAGTGTATATAGAGAAGGAAGGACTGGAAAATGATGAAGTTTATGACGTCTGAGTAAAAGACAAGTCAGAGAAGTTGTAGCCGCTAGGATGAACTCGGCTTACTGCGCACGAAACTCGTCTTCTGAGGAACTACAAGACCAAACGAGCTGGAGGTGAGGATGAGTGGGACGATCGCAGCATATTGTAGGATCAGCCTCACAGTGCTGTGAACACTACAATTCCGACCATCGCAGGGAAGCGGTTCAAGCTCAGACCAAATAGCGCGATAGTTTGCATGGCAGAGGTGTAGCTATCGAATAAATTAGCTCTGGTGCATGCTCGAGGTCGAGAGAGACGTACTAAAACGTGGTCAAGAAGTCTTTACCTTCGCAGTTGATTGGGCTGGCTACGCCGTTGGTGTAAAACCCGCACCAGAAACTATATCGTGACGTTGAACAACAGCGGCTATAAGAGCTGATCGTGATACGCACATAAATACGATCTGATATATGCTCCACATCCATGTCGAACACGCCAGGTAGATCTGATACAACACCGGACGATCTCGCGGGAAGTCGTATACAACCATGAAGAACAGCGGGAACGTAAGGGCAGGTGAGATCTACAGTCCAGATTAAGTACACGTTGCCAGCAGTATGCCAGGCGAAAAACGTACGCCATAGAAAAATATTATGTCTGCAAGGTCTCCTGGGTGCTTTGGAGTGAAGGCTACCGCAAGAGCCCAGTTGACGATGTAGAACCCCGCGGCCCAAAGCGCTAATGACTAAATGGAGAGTGAGCGGCGATACTGTGTTAAAAGCGGTGGCACTGACCTTGCGCAGGAACCAGTTCTCCTTCCTATAATGATTCTCAGACTTTTCGTCCAGAAAATGGGTGTAGAAGAACCCGTATGCTGCTGGCCATATTCGATAACGGAGCCAAATGAGAAGCGTATAGTTGGCCCAGCAGCCGTCGGCGTGTATGGCCAAGCTGTCTCTGTCGGTGCTCGTCCCGCCATGGCCCAGCTGGGGGTTGCTACCGTGCGACTTCTCTGGACTCCCTCCATGGTCAGAGTGTACGCTGCTCTTGATTTCCCCCGACCACTCTCGGTCGACCACCACCTCATCGACCTCTTCCTCTTCGTCCATACCAGCAGCTCCCCCTCTCGACCGGTTGTATCCCGTGCTGTCCCCTGAGCTTTCGTCCAACGCTGAGGACGTCGACGGCGCTGTGCCAGATCCAAGCTTCCGGAGAAACCTATCCCAGCGTACGTGCAACCCCAGGCTTATCCTTGTCTTCTTCTTCGGCCGTCTGTCTGGGTAGTCTGCCTGCACTGGAGGCGGTAGTCCCTCTTCATCATCGTCTTGGGGTGTAGCAGCTCCCGTGGTGCCCCTCGCCGGAGCATCCTTTTCGACGTGATTCGAGGAGGAAGTGGTCATCGCACTAGCCAACGAGAGACGGGACCTGTAAGGCATGACCAGCGACGGTCAGGGAGACGTCGGGGTGTGCTTGCAGACGTTCAGGATGGCGGCGTGAAACTGTAAACGCTGCGTGGGCGATCGCACCCAAACTGAGAAATGTCAGGAACAATCCAAAGCCGCGGGAATCTGGCCAATTCTAGACTCCTAAAGGCCAAAACAGATGATGTCAATTTGGGCCTCCGTCCACATTCAGCTTGGATTCCGGCAGAAATATTATGTGCTCCGACTGCACCAATCCTCGATGCAAAGGCCCAGACTGAGCAATCCAACGTAGCACAGGCGAGCTGCTACCTCGTTCGCTCGGGGCCTCGTACAACCTGAAACCGTGTGAACTACGTCATGATAGCACGTGATTAATCCAGGCAGGAGTTTCTTTACGCCCTTCTGCTGGCGAGAAGGAAAGAGAAAAAAAGGTCAGCTTGCGTCGCAAAGACAAGTTGACTTAGAGACGGTACAGAGATTATTGAAAATTTCTGAAAAAGCCGAGATTGTCTGAGGACATGCGAGAGCTGAAGATGATTTCAATGTAGACTAACGTCTAGAGAATTAGTGATTGCGCCGTAATTGCGCCGTAATTACCGAGGAAGATGTGTTGGGAGAATATCAGCGTCCCAGTGAGATATATGCTCACCGACGAACTCTGATTTTGGGAAAGCAACCTGGACGCATGGTTGGATATTTAGTTTGAGTCCTCGCAGGGAGGTTGGATCTAGACATACGTCCTAGTATGGAAACCATTGCCTTTGGATCCTAACAAATCCAAATAAACTGACGTGCACTGCCCACGTGATAAATGAGACGATCCCAGCTCCTGCATTTGACCACCGTGTCATGCTCGACGGAACTCGGTGTGTGTTATTTTGATTACACTGCCAGAAATATTTACATGCCTTCAGGCTGCGACAGTCCTGGTATGAAGCGTTAGAGAATGCGCAGACCACATTCAGGCAGCATCTCACTTCGCACTCGGCGCCGGAGTGGAAGCGGGTTAATGTTGAAGGTTCACAATCTAGCGTAAAGGGCAAAGGAAGAGCCTCGGCAGAGCCTCATCTCACTGATGTCTTGCTCCATCGCAAAGTAGTCAAGGGAGAGCCTGTGTATCGAGCAGTCTTAGACGTGTCGGCAGCAGATGAGGCGACTTCGACACTTGAGGCATGCAAGGCCGTACTGGCGACACCGGAGTTGAGGAAGGAATGGGATACTGCAGTGGAAAGGGCGCAGTTGCTTGAGATGTTTGATCAGGCAACGAGGATATCGAAGACGAACTTTACGCTGGGTTGGCCCGCGAGGTGCGCAGCATGTTGCAATGGCATGTTCAACTGTCTCACAAAAGGACAGTCCCAGAGACGCTGTCACTATTTCACGAACATTTAATGATGCAACGACCCTCATCGACATATCTACATCTCTCCCTCGTTCACCTGATGAACCAACCTACCTGAGACCTTCCCCGCCCTATGTTCGCTCTCAAGTAGGTCGTGAGTATCATCGTCCCGTCATTCGGCTTTCATGTTTGACCCGCATACAGTCTTTGCTTGGTGTATACAACAAGTCCAACAGGCGAACGGCACCTCTCGTCTCCGTTTCACCTGCTTTTGGCAGCACGATCTCCGCGCCTTGTGGAACTTCGGCACCACTTTTAGTTTCGGACAGCAGCTCTGTGCGATGATGGTCGGCTTCTACAAGACTGTCAAGACCCGTGGTCCCCGTATACCTTTGCTTACAGGGTACGGCAACGGCGTATCCGTGGAGCGAGTTCGTTTCCAAGTTGACAGGGAAGCTCTGACCGTGGACTACTCTATCGTTCCCGAAGACGATGATCATTCGAAACAGACGCATGCCCTTCCTGGTGAACAAGGCCTGGAAGAGTTGTCTGCAATCCGAGAGCATCGGCGACTGACCCGCTCGGTTGAGTGGGCATTGCCTTCTGGTGAGGGCTGGGACGTGCAGGTCACCACCAAGGCATCCTGTGATCAGGTTGCTCACCTGCCATGGACGGCCCATGCTTTCCGAGACAAGTCGTCGTTGAGTACCAACAAGAACAAGGACAAAGTGGTGCTCAGTGTGAAACACGCGTCTCTTCCAAACGACCACTCGGTGCTGAAGGTTCGCGTCGTTATCGAGGTCTCTGGCCCATCGAGCGGATGGCGTCTAAACGGCATACCGCAATCAATCGAAGAAGTGGAGGAGCGCGACCCTTCGTACTTCATGTCCAAGTCCATTCTGCAGGACACAACGAGCTTGGCCGATGTCAGCTTCCGGTCCCAGTCGACCCAAAACACATCTACTACCATCGGCACATCCAGTACGTCGACGATTCCAGAGCCTCCACCAATTGCGAAGGTGACTACCGAGCGCCCGGCCGCTGCGGAGCGGTCCATACTCTCTCGTGTCAAGAGAAACTATATTTACTTCTCGTCATTGCTTCAAGAACCGGAAGCTAAGTGGAAGCGGAGTAAGTATTGGGCGCATATATTCACCTATCGCGTGGTTGCTAATTTGCGTCGTAGCTACCGAGGCCAAAGGCGTGTCGGTAGCACAGCTGGATTCCATTGACCCGACCCTCGTGGTGTATAGGGCGGAAGCGACGTTCGTGGGCCTTGGACTTTGGGACCTATACGCCGCCATATCCACGCCCAGTGCTCGAGTGTTTTGGGACAAGCTGTATGACGACGCAGCATTTCTGGAGGACGTTAACCAGCTCACCGAGCTGTGGCATCACAAATCAAAGCCGGCTTGGCCAGTAAAGTGGGTCATGATCGACCAACGCTCTTTCGTTGACTGTATGCTGAATGACCATTTTCTTAGTGGTCGGGATGCTGTCGTGCTGAAAACGGTGTACAAGTCACCAACTACTATCCACGTATTCTCGTTCTCCGCGGACGATCCAAACCTGTTCCCAATGATACCTCCAGTCGATCCTAACGTAATCCGTACCCAAGTTGACCTGCAAGGATGGGCAATAGAAGCACTTTCGCCTACAACGACTCTCGTCACACTCTTGGAGCAGTCAGACCCAAAGGGCTGGTCGAACAAAGGTTCAATACCACAGCAAATGATATCCTCTGTTGCAGGCATCGGTGAATTCGCGATCAAGTGTGGCGGGCCACCCATTGTTACCCGTCTTGAAGGCGCGAAGGCGAACGACATGCGGTACGACCATGACAAGGGCAGCTTCCGGATTGAATATGAGGGCAGCCCGAGCCGAACATCGTCAGCTAACTCTGAGACGAACAACGAAATGCCCTCGACCCCAACGCCCATGGTTGAATGCGAGCTCCGCTGTGACCTGGACAACTGGGCGACTTCGCTCGATATAGTCATCGATCCTCCACCACAGGCGATCGTGGCCTTGAGGCGGCATCGCCTTTCATCGGCAGGCGGCGGCCTCTGGCTCACCATCACACACGACGCTATTCACGCAGGCGACGAACGTCTCCAGGTAATCGTACGGCGATCTCCTCAAGGCGTCGCAAAGGAGAAGGGGTTGGTCATGGTCAATGGTGCAAAGGTAGAGGTGGACGTTGAAGAGCTGCTAGATAAGGAGATGAAGAATCTTGCGAAGCAGAAGCGGATTAAGCCCATCCGCATACCGCTCGATCAGCCGCCCGTCATGGGCGTCATCCGACGGCGCAAGGCAGAGTGGGACGCCGACGAGAGCAACACGGCTGATGATGGCACATCCTCATCGGCACCTGCGAGCCCAGAACAGCTTTCGACCTCAACTCCGGCATTTGCGACGGCGCTCACCAAATACTGGAGCTACGCCGTCGAACAAGCAACCACGACGACACAGCAGGCCGTTGCCGCCGTCACCCCAGCGATCGCAGCTGGCGCAGATGCGACGCCGTCCGCTTCTAAGCCACCGATGCAGTACGCGCTCGAGGCCTTGTCGTACCTCCAAGGTTTGCACTCGCGACCCGCGAGCGACAGCTGGACGTTGGCCGCCGGCAGCGGCTTTCCGGTGTATCGCAAAGTTGAGCCGGAGATCTCAGCTGTCATTCCGGTCCACAAGGCGGAGAAGGTTATCGAAGGGGTCTCCGCAGACGAGATTGCGAACGTTCTCGCGAGCTATGAGTCGAGGAAGCAATGGGACACACGCTTCGACTCTGCGAAGGTCTTTGAGTCGTTCGGATCGCTGTCTTATACCGCATTTGCTGTCCACAGGGCAGGGTTCCCCTTCCGTGATCGTGGTTTCTACTTGGCAAACTTGCTCGCGCAGGCCAATCTTCCCCGACGACCCGGTGGCGACCCAGAGCATGCGAGCGACAACAGGACGGCGATCTTCCTCGTATCCGCATCTTTCTCGCCAGAGTCCGTCGAGTCGTTTGCACAAACGAAATACAACCCACAACAGCTGCCTGTTGGTCGTGTCTTTGTTGACGGGTGGATCTTGGAGACGCTGGACCCGTACAGCTCGGAGAACTACGCCATTCCATCGACAAGATGCACGAGAGTCGTCGCTGTCGACTATGCCGGCTCGATTCCTGCGGCGGTGAATTCCAGCGTCAACGCGTCCTTACCGAGGAGCATTATTCAGCTAGAGAGCTATTTGAAGAATATTTCACCACCACCGTTTACACGCATACCACCATCTGGCCTGCTGATCTCAAGCAAGACGGAATCAGACTCGAGTGAAGACTCGTGGATTGTCCGGAGACGAGACAAGGACCGTATTCTGGTGGCGGCGAAGTTTACCCCTGCGGAGCGATCCTATCGCAGCACATTAATGCTCGATACATCGCGCAGAAGGTCTGAATCACCGACGCTCAACATGGCTGAGCGCACACCAAGGCCGAGTTCGATGACCGTGCGCCCGCAGACACCGTCGCGTGTAGACGGCGCAACTCCCGGCTCCGAACCGGAATCACCTTCGGCTTTCGCTCCACGAAGCCCGCCTGCGACGAGGCGCTCTGACTCTCGCGATATGCGTTCGTCGTCGATGTTTACCGTTCGCGGAGAAGTCAAGTACCCGACGGACCTCTTGGTCGGCGAGCTGGTTGTGGACACTAAACTCTATCCGGCTGGCTATGCAGTCGTGCTACGTTCTAGGATTGACAAGGGCAAGCAGAGTCTATCGCTTTCGTCGCTAGGTGAAGACCAAGTCAGCGCGAACGCGCTACCCATCTCTGTTGCCGCTTTCACCATGCCCCCGTCCCCACTGTTGTCCTCGGGCCTCAACACAGATCGCCCACCATGCCACTTGCTGCGGCTTACACTGCCCACTGCGCAGTACCAGGTGTCCACGATCCAGGATCCGCTGACCGGCGAGACGCGCAGCGCACCGCCTAAACCTCAGTGGGTGCTCGACCTTGAGGACGGCCGGGCGGTCATTTCCGTCGAAGTCAAGCCCGCTGCTTTGCCTTCCGCAGAAAAAAAGGACAAGCTCGACAGCATTACAGTTGATGGGAAGGAAGTCGCGGTCCTGAGCGAGAAGGAATCTCTGACGAGCATCGGCAGAGATGAACTTCTTGATGGGCGTACATCAAAGATGGACTTGCTCGTGAGGTATGCAGTCCCGTTGATCGCCAGATGCTCACCACGCTGAGTCTTGTTTTACAGGACAGCATCAAATGAGGCGGTTCCACCAGAGCTGCAGTCGCCGATAGCGGTGACGACTCATCTCTTGGACAAAGCTCCTTCTCCTGCGACAGATGCGTCCACAGACGACAGCACTGTAGGCCAGGCCGCGGACACACCACCTGCCACTTCACTCGAGTCTGATGAGAAGGTGGGTACACTGCTACCTGCGAATTACATCGACTGAATTGCCGCGTGCTACAGGTACCACTGGTAATGACGGCTTCCCACGATGGAGCTGCCGCCGACGGTGCGAGCAGCGGCCTTCTACGCTTCCTCAATTCATACCCGAACCCTCTGACGCGGTTCACGGCGCCTTCTCGTCCGCTTCTCAGGTCGTTATCGGGCTCGACAACCGTTTCCGTGCAGTCGTCGAAGCCCCCGGGCGCTTTGCCGGAACTTTCGAGTCCATCTGTCGCGACGCTGTCTGCGCCGCGCGAGAACGTACCTGCGTACCCGCTCTCGACCGTTCTCATCGCTGCGCTGATAGCGTTCCTGATCGGTTCGCTGCTGCGCTCGATGCTAAGCCCGGCAGATTTTGTATATGTCGTCTCAGACCCTAGCGATGTCGGGGACGTGAGCTCGGGCTGGCGTGAGATTCGACGACTGTTCGAGTTGAAGTATATAGTTGGTGGATGGGACTTCCAGGTTGCTCTTGTGCGGCGGCACTAGGGATTTGCATGTAGCATTCTAACCTAGAGGATCTAATATGTGCGCCGTTATCTGTACTCCTCCTATACCCTTGTACTCCCTGCATATACTACTACACCATCATCTGCTCTAAAGAGGAATATCGTGCCTCTTATACCTGGGTGCATTCTAGGAGGGCTAAGCACCATACGCACGAGAGACTTGTGTCAGTTCATACCATCAATAAAATATAGCTAGGGCAGTTCGACTAGTACGCCGGTGACTGCCATTGTGATTATGGGTAAACGGGTCTCAGAATCGACCTACAATCAAAGTACAACGTGGCACACCAATATACTAGGCTAAGAGTCACATCATCACCACCCGAAGCGTTTGCGTGGTGCACGCGTCCCAACTACCCGCGCGACCACACACAGCCCACCAGGCGTTTTTACACATGGTGGGTGCGTCAGCGACCTTTGGCGGTGTACTCTGAACGCCTTCACCGTTGTCAGGTGAATCTAGTGCGATGCAAGAACTGCGACGTAGCAACAGTCTTCGCGCGGTAAATCCATAGACCGTTTTGAGCAAAAGCCGAGCCACGAAGCGATTTGCTCTTGTGGCCAAGGATACGAAGGCATGTCCACTGTGAACGTGCTCACTAAATGCCGTTGCTTGAATCCATGTAGTGGATCTCAGTGCTGACGTTATGTCGTAGTGTTGAGAAGATATATTGCTTCAGATGTTCTCAAGATGGCTGAAACCATGCAGTACACCCATAGCTATTATTCTTTGTAAAGTGTAGAAGGTTGGTAACCAGGTAAGCTTAGCGACGAAACTTTGGATGAAACTTCGGGTACAAATAGAGGCAAACAAATACCGCGTACGACGATTGCAAATGCCGATCTCTCTCGCACGATAGGATATTCAGGTTCCCGCAAGCTTCGTGCTCTCATGGGGTACTTATATCTTGCACCGCAACCACCTGTAAGAAAGTAGAAAATTCTCATTGGCCGGCGCCAGCGCCCCAAGTTTCAGTCTATAGGTCCCATTGACGATTCAAGAGAGCCTCGGATGCCTCGTCCCGTTCCGAGACCTGGTCGTCCTGTGAGCAGTATGCGTCATATCTTGAATATGAAGTCTCCGGGACACTCTGACCACCTTGCTTGCTGGCACGCCAATTGCCTCGAGGCTCCAGCATCGCACCGACCACTCCGTTATCGACGATGATCATACTGTTGTAGCGATGCCGCAGCCGATAGTGGTCTCCTCCTGGTCGTTCAGCTCCGGACTTAATGCCTCTATGACAACTATGCAACCTCGGATCTGTGAGGTATCATACGCTAGAGGCTTGACACACTCCCGTTGGCGTGCTTTTGTAAAACTCGAACACATGCGATTTTAGGTTGCTCTGGTCCGGTGGCAATGAGGCGGCGCAGGCGCCTAAAGCCAAGGGATATCTCGCAGACTCGGGCTCTTGGTTACGCAGCTCCAGCAAGACATCGACATAGATTAAGACAGTGTGCAGTTTAATAGAATACTCAGCTTCGCTGTACGACGCTATGATACTGACCACCAGTATTTCACTTGTTTTCCGTGTTTACTGCAGCTGAAAAAGGCAATCGCTTTGGGATGCCGCGGCACAATTAGCGCCGTCGGCGCTGTGCGGTTCCCATCGCCTGCCACACCTCTCGTCCCTACCTCCATCTCCTGCGCATCCCCCTGCTGCTCAAGAACGCCGTATCGCAGGGTCATCGTACAGATTTCCTTGCTTTAAGCCGTTACCGATCCGTTTTACAGCTCCTAGAGCGCACCAACGCCTCTGAGGCTCGTGGCGTTCTACCGCTCGCGGCACCGTCCTTTCCCCGTCCTGGGCCCCCGGGCGTGTAGGAGCAATGTCAGCGAACGATCCACCAAACACAGAAGGCACGCAATCCTCAAACCCTCAACAGACGGACCCCGTGCTAGACTGGGAAGGGGACAAGATGTGCGTTTGCGCCCGCTGCCGTCGCAAGATTGAGCTTATGCTCACTGCTAACCAGGTTCAACATCTACATCCACGACTACTGCGAGAAACGCGGCTATATGAAAACAGCTGACGCGCTCAGGGAAGAAGCTGGAGTCGAGAAAGACGGCGGTCCTCCAATTAACGCGAGACAGGGTCTTCTCTTCGAGTGAGTGTAATCATTCCCTGTCTATCCATCTCTAATCTTCTTCCGTAGATGGTGGAGTGTATTCTGGGTCCTCTTTGGTGCGAAAAGTAGCGGACAAGGGACAGATGATGCACTTCTCTACACCCAGGTGCGCGTGCTCGTTACTGGCTGGCTGCTTATTCACTCATCAAGTCTCGTAGTATCAAACGCAAATGGCTGCCCAGCGACAGAACGAGCAGCAACAACAGGGCTCGCGCCCACCCCCTCAAGCACGCCCTCCTGGGCAGCCGCCGATGTCCCAGCGACCGGTGAATGGAATCCCAAGACCTCCCGGCCCAGGTGCTTCCGCCATGCTCAACGGTGTTCCTCCGGCGAACGCTATGCCGGGGCAGCCGCCCCAGATGGCAAACGGCATTCCGAACGCTTATCCGGGTGCAATTCCACCGCCCAACGGTGTCTCTGGTCCTGGTGCGTTGCCGCCAAACGGCCAACCTACCGGTGCCCCAGCGCACCAGCCGATGGTTCCAGGCCAGCGTCCGCCTATGGCATCGCAACGCCCACCAAATGGCCAGCCGTTCAGATCACCAACCATGGCTCCGTCGCCGCAGAATCCAGGTATGCCACAACCTGGTCAGCAGCCGAACCCGATGTCAGGACCCTCGGGGCCGCAGCCTATGAACCGCGGTCCTGCTCCCATGGGGCCGCCTAATGGGCAGCCAAACATGCACGGCGGCCCGATGGCAGGTGGGCCGCAGATGGCCCTGCCTCACTTCCCGCAGCATGGGACGCCGAGCCAGCCCAACTCCCCTGCTGCCGCGCAAGGCATAACCGCGCAGAGTCCTTTACTCGCAAATCGTCAGATAAGGCCGCAAGATCCGATGCGCCAGCTGCAGGAGACAACCATTAACCAGGACTTATTAAAGATCGAGTCTGCGAGGCTGCCTGAATTGAAGCACGAAGCTGGTTTAGCAAATAAGGATTTGCCGTCGTTGACGATGGACGACAAGGTTTGATTGATTATCTTTTAGTTAGCTTGTCGGAAGTTAATGAGCGAACACTCTTAGCAACGAATAGTCGGTCTGGCTAGGGCTCGTGGACTATTGCCAAAAGTTTCAGGTCCGGTTCCGCCTAACGCCATTCCTGGTCCCTCCAATCCGCAACCTCAAATGCAACCAAACCAACGCGGGCCAATCGCTCAATCGCCGTTGACAGCACATGGTCAAATTAATCGGGCCATGAAGCGAAACAGTACTTCTCCCGACGAGAACGTAGGTCTTGTGTGCAGTTTGCTGCAGATGCTGGTGCTGATATATTGGCGTAGGGAGAGCAGTCGCAGTCCAACGATTCTTCGCCGCCAGCGAATAAACGTTTGCGGAAGTCACCGGATCAGCCGCCAATGATGCCGATGGGTGGGATGCCCGGACAACCTCCGCACGGACCGCCCAGCGGAACGATGCCTCGGCACGGTATGGTTCCGTTCGCGGGCATGCCTAACAACCAGCCTGCGATGAACATGCCAGGAGGCCATACGGGGACGCCACATATGGGGAACGCTATGCTCGGGCATCAACCCCACATGATGACGCCACAGATGGCACAGGTAAGCCTTCATACTACGGCGTGTATGTATCGCTCATGATTCGTTGACATCGTAGCACTCTCCGCAGTATCGGCAAACGATGCACGCGCTGCACAAGAACAATATTAACAATATTCCTCAAGGCCCATTTAACCTCGCTCCCAGCGCGAATGCGTCATCACCCGCGACATCTGCCGAGTCGCCGTATAATAACAATCCTGATCAGCAGCAGCAGCCGCGGCCGGGTGCAAATCAATATGTCATGCCGGGCATTCCGCCAAACAGGCAGCCGGTGCCAGGACAGAAACATATGATGATGCCGCCCTCGCCGGGTATTGCGGGCAAGAATGTGGGAGGTGCACCGCAGGGTCCTGGTGGCCCAGGAGACAAACCTGGCGATGGTAATGGAATGAATCGGTCGCCTCGCAATGCCGCACCGGCACCAGGGCAACAGGGTCAACCAGGGCATCCAGGGCAGCAACCGGGTCAGTCAGGTCAGCTAGGTCAGCCAGGTGGACCTCCAGGGCAGCAGCCACCGCAACAGCCAGGACCTGGCCCGATGAACCCGCCTGCGGGTGCGAACACGGCGCCGCAGACACCGAGCGGTGGCAACGCGCCTGGTCCGAACATGCTCAACGCGAATGCGGCGCCTGCAGGCCCGGGCCCGCAATCCGCGCCGCCACAGATGCAAGCGACGCCGGACATGTTCGGCGCGGATCTGATGAGCGCGAATTTCGAGTTCGGCGGGTTGGACACCACCATGTTTGGCCAGAACGACCTCGGTAGCATGGACTTTGCCTCGGACTTCAGCGAATGGTTCAACGACCCGTCGATCATCAGCGCCGACAAGATGTGAGCCGCGATCATGGCCTCCGGGCGGGCTGTCCCTGGTTTCTGTGCGTCCGCGGACGTGAGGCACGTGTGTGCTATTGCTGCTGTGCTGTAGGATTTAATTTGGATCCGGACATGGGTTATTTGTGGCTGGAATATGCTGCTTCTGTTCGTCGCTCTCCACATCTTACCGCTCGCGATATCGACATCCCCCCGCTTCACCTCCGTTCCCACACCCACACGCCCCCTGTTGTAATCCCTTGGTTGATAGGTATTTATCGCAAAATCCTGCTTGCCTGCCTGCCGGGGCGTCGCCTCCGTTTTATTGCCCCTTTGCTCCTCACCGGCCTCGCTTCCCGTCTACAATGTAGATATCTCTCTTTTTCTTTCTCTCTCCCCTTATACTTGCTACATAGTTGCTGCTGTTTTGCTGCTGTCTCTCTGCCCTTTCTGTTACCGTACATGTTCTCATTTGTGGTCATCTGACGAGTGTCTCTTCTAGTGTATTTCTGGATGGAATATTTTCTTCCCTGCGCGCCTTTTGTCTGCGTTCGCCAATGGGTATGGCTCTGCCTGGTGCCTTTGTGGCATCTCTGACGCAAGCCAGCTACAGTATTTCGCGTGATCAGTCCTGGTTCGCCTCGAACTGCGGCAACGATTCTGCAAAAAGCCGACAAATGCTCTGCTTGCCGTAACCAGAAGTTCCCACATAGTCTTGCCGCGCATGAACAGCCTTCAGCCACTTTGATTTATATCACATCCAAGAGAATCCCTCTGATTGACATCTTGCTGCTGAACTGTTGTGGCCCGGAAGCCTCCAAGTCGCGAAGCGAGTTGCAGCCTCTTCGGCTGACTTAGCAGCCGGATAGCGACCGTCTAGACCTGCTCGTGGTCACCGCCGAGCGAACTCTCCATGACTTGCCAAATCGACCAAATTTTGAGTTAACACGGTCGCATCGTAAAGGTACCGCAGTGTACCCTCCGAAATCAACCGGATTATGATCAAATCACTAGTACTGTCGCTTGCCATTCCCTATGCCAAGGAGCGAGAGGCAAGCACAACCCCACCTTTGTCTTAGTCCTTCTCTGACGGCATATGCTACAGCATACGAGCTCGTCTCAACGAGCCCACCGGTCCCGCGAGACCATGGACTCCTCCTCAATACCGCTGTCCCAAGTGTAAGGTCTCACGCAGCCCACCAGGCGTACTGCGGTGCTAAATGCCAACCACATAACTGCCCTAGATACGTGCACAATTGTCTGCACCTCCTAGGCATCGGTAAGCATTCAACATGTGCGACATTCAGCAATTGACTTCGATAACCTTAGTTATACTGTACTATGACCACGCAATCACATTCGATGACGAATATTGGCTTGTGTGGCGAACTCCAAATAGTGGTGCCTCCGTTTTCTTCCTCGTCAATCGCTACTTCTCGTTCTTTTCGGTAAGGTGCGAGACACTACGTTTTGACACGCACTGACAATACATCCAGAACATTACTATAACTGCGGGCAACTTCTCTTCGTTCAAATCCGTTCAGGTTAGAGCTGAGTTGTCACTTGCATGTCCAACTGCTAATATCCTCACGCAGAGGTCAGCTTTTTACCCCCTCTATTAAATCACCACTGCCAGTTATTAATCATGAGGAGATCCAGTTGCGCGCATTATACATTCTACCGACAGTTGAGCCTAATCGCCACACAAATCATTGTTGCGGGTGTGACCCTCTGTTATGTTGCTTTGACTGATAGCTAAGGCCTTGTTCAACCACAGTTATACAATTCCTGAGGACGTATGCTCTCTACGGACGCGACCGCCGATTCGCCGTCGTTGTAGTGTCCGTGGCAACTGTCCTCGCAGCGCTCTCGATTGTACGTGCGTTCAACTTCGCCTGAGAGGTACACTTCCTGATAGTGATACACATCCCCGTAGTGGGCTGTCATAGACGAGAAATCCACATACACGGTTGCGCAAGGATGTCATGCAGCGTCTTCTCGGATATCGTACGTCGTCTTGACTTCTCGATGATAGGCCCTTTTGAAAGCTTCTCGCCTCATAGAGCAATACATCTCGCCGTCGCATGGGAAGCTTTGTTCGTCTGGGATATGATAATCTTTTTCTTGACTTTCTTCAAGTCTGTCAAAAATCGTGATCAGTACGGAGGTAGAAGTGGCAGCCTCGCCAGTTTGATATTTCGCGACGGTGAGCGCAACGTAGTTATGAAGCTTATGGAAGCTGACGAAGCGCCAGGGGCGATATATTTTGGGTGCGTATTCGTTCCTGGGTGGTCTCAAGCGCAATTCCTCAGAAACTCCAGAGTGATGGCGTGCGCTCAGTGCTCGAATACGTTGACTTTCTATGTATGTACCCTAACACCCTACACAAGCATGATCTTATCCCGCCTTTTCAGCTCTCTCCGGTGTGTACCAAACAAGCGGCAGAATCATTACACGTAAACTCACAATAGCTCGTTCTTAGCCCGCGCTCCGTGGCTGTCTATCAACATTTGCGAGCAAGTGCGCACTGTCCCTCTCGCTTTCCCTCCTCTCTCCGACCACTGATATTCTGCTGCGTAGCATATCTGCAACGATGATGTCCCGTCTCATGCTCAATCTGCATCGCACTGCAACGGACCTGTCACGCAACTACGGCGCCACAACGATGGAGTTCAGAAGCGCTGTCTTCATGTCGCACTTCGGCACGATGGGCATGCACGCAAACAGTGTATACGAAGAGTACACAGCATGGAGTTCCCGTGGCAGCGGTGGCACTCAAGCTACGAGCGATGATTATGAGATGCGTGATATGTGAATGCTGAGATCATGTTGACACTCTTGTCTGTATACCCTGTTGAGCGCCGCACCTGATGGAACGAAACCCGCTTCTTTCCTGCTGAGTACCAATCTTCTTCCTGATGAAAGACAAGGTCGCGACAAGTGCGATACAAAGAAACATTGTCATTCATCAGGCCGCGTTTCACCAGTAGGAGGACGGTGAGCCGCGGTCTTACCGCGATGAGTATCAAAGCTGAGAATCGAGAATGATACCTATGAAAAGGATGTATCCCATGTCATGGTTGCTCTACGATGAACCGGGGTAGGTTGACCTGTATTCACAGTACAAGAGCTTGCGATGCGCACCTTAAATATGGCAGCGCTACATTCATCATCGTCTGGCTGCCATACATAGAACTGCCAGATGATGTGGGCAGCGACGCCCGCGCAGCCAATCATGAAGTACGGAAGATTGTTGCCGTTGAGAAGACCGGCGAGAACCAGGGACCCGACAAAGGCGATCGCAAAAAGAGCGAGGATACCGCGTATGTGAGAGCCAAAGAGCCTGGCGGTAGATTTGATCCCGGCTTTCTCGTCGTCGCTCTTGTCCTGAGCCGCGTAGATGGTGTCTGCAAAGATCGTAAACCTAGCCTAGACTTGAGCAAGAAGCGCACAATATCTCGAAGATTACCCACAGTACATCGGCGACGCATAGGGCTTGTAACGCAGGGAGCTGCTGCAGCTCAAATCTATCTCCCGCTAGCGATGCCCAGCCGACAGCGCAGCCCCAGCCGCAAGCTATGCCTGTGTGCCAACATGCCGGATATTAAAATGGATACCATCATATTGGAGATGATGGACTCACCAAGCCAGAGCTGAGGCCACCAGGTCCATCGTTTGGTCAGAGGGTAGACCAGGTTAATTGGCAAGGAAGTTAGCATGACACCAAACCTATCATGATATGAGCCGATGGTGCACTGTACCAGAAACTATGTGTGCTTACGCCGTCTCGTTCGTGAACGAGACTGTGAAAAATGATAACATCAAGAGAGCCGCGAACAACGCGAAAGCGTCTGTGAGCGGGACGAGGCCGGTGACGAGAGGTCTCCCGCGAGTTCGTTCTTGATTATTTTTCAGGCTACTGTAGCAGATCAATACAGGATGAGATGGTCACTGACCTACTTTGCCGTCTAGATCTCTGTCACAGATGTCGTTCCATACGCAGAAGGCGCTGTGGTAGAGGGTGGCGACGACAAGAAGGATTGCCGCACTCTTCAAAATAGTGTGCATAGGTGCGTGTTCCTTGGATGCGGCCATCGCGACGCCCCAGCCTTTGGCCCAGTATAAGTCAGCATGTCTGATAAGCTTGAAAAGGTCACGCATAGCGTGCTCACCGTAAGGCCAGTAGATGATGAGACTGCCTAGAGGGAACTTGTGCAAACGTGCAAGCTGGTAGAGCCCGTGCACTCGCTCAATAGCTTGGGATGACCGTGGCTTGGCGGAGGGTTCCATGGTTTCTGCGTAGTGTTTGCTCCAAGCAGCCTGAGGCTTTTGAATAGTTCGGGGGATGGAGTACGGCGCTGCTTCTTCCAATGCGACTCAGCATATCTAGGAACAACTGGGGTGAGCAGCAACTTAATCGGTCATTCAGATAGCAAATAATGAGTTGGAGGCTTCTCTCAAGGATCCGATCGGACGGGCCCATGAGCATATGACGCCGCAGCACCTGTTCCTGAGCAACGAACAAAATCATTTCAATACTGTCCGGCGCTCCCACATTGAGCATCTAGCAGTTTGACAGGTGATGGCAATTCTATCAATAAGCTACCGTCCAGCGCATTTTCCTGGTCAGAATATCAAACAATCAAGCTCATGCCTCCAGCCATTGGGCGTGCCTTTGCTCAAGCATGCTTCCATCAGATCCGAGGAACACAGAACGCACGAAACCCACCGATTCATTAGACACTTCTAGTTAGCGCTGCTACATGTGCGTCGTAACAACGTTCTTTCCTTCGGTTCTCTTCGCACCAGCTCCATCGGTCTAAAGCAGGGAGCTTGTCAGTCCATGATCGAGGTGCCGTGCAGACATTCGCGAACTCTCTCGGATCATTACATGATACAGTGCAGTAGCACTCGCTGGGTCTCCGATAAGCATCCAATAAGTGCTAGCATTGGAGCAGGAGTACCTTGACGATAAATGTGCATACACTTAGGTTTCATATCATCTAGGGTTCGGCCTTCGTACACGCGTACACGCACGATAGTCTACCTTTTGGCCAAATTTAGCACGACCATTGCAAGACGGGCCACAGACCGATGGATACGAACATCGTCAATCCAATAGCAGAACTTCACGAGATTAATTATCAAGCAGCGCTTCGTTCCGAACCTTGAATGCTGCATCAAACGGCAGCGGCAGTCTGCCATTTCTTGCGTTAGTAGGCAGTGTCCCTCGCAAGTCGAGGCAAGACGTACCGTATGGGACCGTCTTCCCATGCCGCCCGGGGTTCTCGAACGCTCGGCTTCGTAGGACCACCGACGTCCAGCGTAGCGAGCGTTGTAGCAATCGTAATCCAGAGGCGTTTCTCGATGAAACGCATGCCTATGCACTGCCTGCGAATCAACAGGCTGTGAGAATGAGGCTCACAAGAGTCACATCGCCTTCAGCCTACCTCCGTGCAAAGCCAAACGCAATAGAGAATGGGTCCAAGAGCGTCTTGTCTAGGAATCGCTCGGGCCAGAATTTGGTGGGGTCAGTATATACGTCGGGGTCCTCGAAAATTCCGCTGCAGAGTGAGTTCCGTCAGGGATATCGTAGAAGGTGCAATCGGATGATGAATACCCAGTGTTAACAATCAACATGCTTCCTCGAGGTATCAATAAACCGTCGACGAACGCGTCGCAGGCAGGATCTTGGACGTGAGGGAACACTTCCCGCGACAAGTATCAGCGCGATATCAGGACTAAGCACGTTCGTTCTCACAGAAAGGCGTCGGGACTGCCCAACGCATCAGCTCCTTCATGATGCAGTCGATGTACGGCAGATGAGGCCTGTCTGCGAAAGTGGGCAGCCGTGTTCCATGTGTCACCGCATCGACCTCCTGTTGCCCGCGTTTCTGGACTTCCGGATACAGAATCATGGCCAGGAAGAAGGAAGACACGATGCTAGTCGTCTGAAACAGGTGTCGCATCAGGGACAAATGGAAATGTGTCTCGCAAACGTACCGAGTCGGCACCACCTGTTGAACGACCCCGAATGTGAACCTAGGTCATCACGACCGTAGAAAGAGTAACATACCGAGGTAAAGATTCATGGCCGATAATTTCAGAATTTCCAAGTCATCATCGCTCAAGGTGTCCAGGGGTTGTCTTTCCGAGACGCGAGAAATCAGCGAAGGCGAAAATTTTCCGCTTTCCTGCATTATGTGAAGGTAAGCTACAGTTCATCCGACTTATACACACCACCTACCATCTTGCGGACAGCATTCTCGAAAGGTTTATTGAGGAGATCGTGAAGAGGGCCTTTTGCAAATGCCTCCGCCTGCCGTTTGAAAGACATTCCCGGCAGCCAGGATGGGAGGTGACGCACTTTCTCCTGGTTAGCCGCTAGAATGACGTTTTAAAGCGGGGCTCACAAAACGGTAGGACATCAACAGCCCATAAAACGGTCGGATCGCTCGAGAGAATGAAGTCGGGCATGAAGCGCCGCGCGATTTCGACGAATCCGGAAGGTTCTTCTTCTTCGTCTGTGCCATAAGCAATATGCTCAAAGCTGGCTGCTACCCAGCTAGACCAACTGTAGTGGGTAGGATGCACGGGAAATACTGCGACAGCGACTTACAACCCTATCTCAGATAGGAGATTTTGGGGATTACCGGAGAGCTTCCGGACCAGTCTCAAAGCCCGTAGTTCATGCTCAGGCTCGTATTCCGTCATGGCAGCCGACCCCAGACTCATCTTCGTGTACTGCCTGCTCTGCTTAAACTCCTCATTCGGCTGCAAGTGTGCCAGGAAACGCCCGAGCCCGTACCTTGAGTGTATGCAAGATCAGAAAACGTATGTGAGAAAATAAATATATCAACGTACAGCTCAGTTATGGGGCGCACGATCCTGAACGAAGTCGAGCCAGAGCTCTTTGTGAGAATATTCATGGCCACCGGCGCAGAATGGACGATGATGCAAGTTTGTGAGAACGCCCTCACCGCGATCACAGGACCTATGAGCACTCAGCCTCAACTGCGGTGCATGAGAAAGACAGATTAACTGTACCATACTGCTTCCCCCATTTTGCGAAGGTCTTGTATGCGTTTGGCATAGAGAACTCCAACGCGTTCCCCAGGATGGGCAGTCCAGGCGGTCCAGGCGGCAGGCCAACCTGTCTACGGCTTTTGTACAGGGTCCACACAAGTCCAGCAAGCAAGAGCACGACTATTGTGAGCTGTCCAGAGGGCAAGATGAAGAACATGGCAGCGAAGGGATGTGTGGTGCAATGCAGGATGGGCAGTAGGTACCACTGTATCTGGGGAAGCATATTCTGTGCGGTTACATGGTTATGGGATGCGTGATGGACCAGAACTGTGGTAGTACGGTATGGGGAGATGCAGTTGCAGCAGGTACAGGCCGGTTCCGGGTGGATGCTGGGCGGTTGGCACTCTGGCAAGCGCGGAGTGAATCAGAACTCCTGGTGGCAACTTTGGGGTCTGAACGTTACATTGAACCTTGAGCTTGAGCAGTCGGGCATTGGGAAAATGCCTAAGTTGGTGAGGCATGCACTGATCAGCACCTCTGAAACAGATCAGTTGACAGATCCCAACAATGGCCCAAAGCAACCCTCGGCCAGAGTTGAACGTTGAACATGCGTGCCGTAGTGTAATTGTCTAGAAAATCTGAGCATTCCGACCTGACCGGCCTGACCATCTATCCACCATACCGACTGGCCAATAACTTATCACTTGGGCTGCCATAGGGGCAGGGGTTCGAATCCGGGGGTATGGTACTTACTTACATGTAGGCGGCAACACTAAGCGCCTGGTGATTTCAGGAATCTTCTATTATTGTAAATTGAGTAAGCTCCCCATCAACGGCTGCCTCCATGTTATCGAAGAGCTCCAGATCGACCTCGCACAGGGCAGTCCCTCCCATGGCCGAACTGTACATCTGTTGGTTATCTTGCTCTCAAGTAGCAACTTGCTCCCCCCAGGTGTGGCTTGGGAGACCTTATCGTGTACATGCAGCCTCCGGAGAATGCTGATTGTCGATTCGACACTTGGCTTGTTGATGGTTACAGGCTGGAAGCGTCGTTCGAGAGCAGCGTCCTTGCTGATAGTCTTGCGGTACTCAACGCTGCTTTTTCCGAATACAGATTCGAGTTTAAGCTCGAGAGAGACATGCACTCTTTCGAGATGGTAGTATGGCTTGAGGAGACAGTCGGAGAAACGAAGCCTGAGCTGTCGTACTCTTCTGTCTGTGTGAGTAATACTGCACTTCTTTTGACCTGAACTATTCATAACCCGTCATGGTGACAAGGACTTTCAAGTTCTGGACAGCGGGCCCAAGATCTCTTTGACCTGTGACTGCTACTCGGCTCGAAAATCTTGGTCTCTTGTAGGCAAGAGTATGCTACATGCTTTACCACACCGTCCCTCTCCTTAGGCTCGGAGATATTAGCTTTCGTGAGAGGTGAAGATGCACATAGGCACTCTCAGGCTGTACTCCGAGGCACCAACTAGCTGAACTGTGATATCACGGCATAAAGGTACTGATATCTGATATCCAGGGTCGCCATTTAAAACTCAGAAGCTTCAATTTCAAGTATCATTAATCACCTAGCAGGCTTATGATTCAGGTTAGCATTAGGAAATAGTTCAAGCGTCTTGGGCTCGGACTGATGTGCCTCAGCAGTGGATGCCTTGATAATGTTGATCATCACCTCCAGCTTGACAGGTCCCAATAATGCCCTGGGAAAGCTCACGGCAAGCTACGTTATGGAGTATCATCTACTGCGGCACTTCCCACACCTTCAAGACGTTTTCCTGATGGTCACCTGATTTTTCCGACCACCACATCACATGTGGTAACTTTCTTCTACAGCCTCCGTTCACCTTCTGGTGGCGCAATCGCACATTTTCATCCATCGAGGCCAGATCTCGCACTGCTTAGTACATATTTACAATGTGGAGGCATGCATCACTGCCACATCTCCTTTTGCAATCAATGATGTTCGTGTAAATGTTTGCGTTCCATTGGTGGTGGGCACAACACTATGACGGCTTTCAAGCGACTGCCTACCGCTGGTATAAAAATCCCAGATAGCGTCCCGCTCAGGCAACTCCCCTGGTGATACCACTCTCTCATGGCCAGCATGTCCATTCCAACGAGTGACACCGGTGCCTTGAACATTACACAGCTGAATGTTGTGAATATGGTCGGAGCTGCCCTGTCTTCCTCACTCTGGGGTGCTGCTGGCTTGCAAATGTACGTACTATGGCCTTTATCCATTAATTTATTCCTCGCTAATTGCAGTCCTTGTGCTGCAGGTTTTTGTACTTCCTCAAGTTTGTCCTGTATAATATCCTGACTAGCATGTATGCTGATTACGGTCACCCAGCTATGAGTCTGATCACCGTGCACTCAAAGCTCTGGTACTCCCTTTCAAAGTGCTCGAAGTTTTGCCACTTACAATTTAATTTGTGACAGGTTCTGGTCCTGTATATGGCTGACACGGCAATCGAGGCATTACTTTTTGCGGGTGGTATGTGTGGCCATTGCATTACATTCTGATATGTCCCGAGGTTTGACTGTATTCAGTTTTCCTCATGTATAGCAGCGAATTCCAGGGAGGTCTCGTAATTCCACCGTAAGTCACCCCTAATGCCATACTTTTTCTCGGCTTGGGTGGCTATAGAAGTGGCTATGACCTCGTACAGCCGTTGCGGTGGCAGCGGAGTCGATGAGGTGCGACTAGTTGCAATCACTGCCTTGCCGCCGCCAACTGATGTTGGCCGACCAACGTTCAGTGATTTCTGGCGGTCCGGGAATCTGGGCCTGCGGATTCTCGTTGCACTCTCAGGCTTGTAGCACGGGACAATGATGGAGCTACACTGAATGTGAGGTCACTTGGCCTGTGGCCACCGTTTCAAATTGAGGAACTACAGCATCGCTTGCGTCGTGATTCTTACCTTGTTGCTAATGTTGTCTTTTGTGCAGGATAATCATAGTAGGTCGTAATTTGAACCTAAATTTAACAAGAACTCACTCTATGCTTGTAATTCCCAAGATTCGAACCCTCCTCTCAGTATGTTTCTTCTCACAGCACAATAGCCGATAACTGACACTGGTACCAGAATATTTTCGGAGCTGTAGTCCAGCTCTTCTTTCTTTGGCGCATTTACCGATGTAAGCACCTGTGTTCTCCTCTGATGAATAACACTGAACCCTGTCTAGTCGCTGGTAAGAGCCGAACCGTGTGCATGTGCCTGGTGTTCATTGTGCGTGTTCCTTACTGGAGCTGGAGTACGTGCTAATGTCATGTAGGCAATTGTGGCCATGTGGCAAGTGGGTGAGTATCCTCCCATTCAAAATCCATAATAACTCCTGAAACTTGCATTCACTCCAGTTGGTGCCTCATGTGAGCAGAACAATTATACTGACTGTAATGCTGCAAGCTCAACTTTTATCTCGTCGGACTAGTGTTCACTGTATGGACCTTGTCAGTGCCTTTCTCTCCCCTTTCCGTCAGATTTCTAAACATAGAGCAGGTCGCCAAATGCTCCCATCGCAGTCAGTATCTCAGCTCGTCGCGTTGTGGTATGTACCCTCTCGGACTCCCCAAGTTTCAGTGTCAATGCAAAACTGATTGGGCTGTGGCAAGGCTATGGAAATCAGTTGTCGGGGTGTCTCTTGTTTTGTGGATGCTGTAATTGCAGTATGTATGACGATTCTTCTTCAAAGGGAGAGACATCATATCATCATACTACACCAGTGAGGGCTCTATCATGATGTTACTAGATACCTACAAACAGCATGACCATTGTTCTTCCCCCAACAGATCAAGCAGACTCATTTATCGACTTGTGTTTATGGCAATCAACACTGGCCTTTGGACTACTGTCGTTGCACTCATCAATGTGTCCCTGGTGGGTACCGACAGTGCAGTATATAATGCTTGCATTGACATCATATAGGTTGCATGGCGACCTACTGGTACCCTCTATGTCGTCTTTGAATATCCACTTGCATCACTCTATCTCAACACACTGCTTGCCAATCTCACTGTCCGCAAATATCTGCGCCGTGGCGACACCTCACAGCCTAACTTGAACATACCGGTTGTGTCGGCAGACTCTGCAAGCAAGAGAAACACGGGCGTCGATGAAGTAGCTCTCGCTCGTATTGACCGTGGTAAAAGGCTTGCGCAGGCGAGTCGTCTCACGGCCCTTCATGGAGGGCTACACCTGACGCAGATTCCAGGACAATACTTTTACAATTCAAATAGACGAGTCTATGACCGTTGGGAGCGACGGCGATTCCGCATAAGGTGCGCAGCACTCACTGTAACATTTCAGTGTTTACAAACCTCGCACAGTCTGGGGGATGACAAGGGTCAAGGGGTCGCTTCGTCAGTGAATTTCGTAGTCCGGGCCTCTCAATTCCAATCTGCACGATTTAAAGTATCCTGAACTCTAAGTCGTAGCATGGCTAGCTCATCCCCTGTGTGCTCGACACAATGCCTGCTCTCCTTGTATGTAATCTATCCTGTAGGCTTACGAGAATTCATGTACATATGGCATCCCAAACAAGATATACGCTCGACTTCGTTACTCTCATGACCACGGAAACGGGGCTTCTAGCACAGCATATCAGGAGGAAGAACGCTTTGCTCTGTCCGAGGATGTGATAGAGAAAAAATGTATTGAGCCATGCACCCGAAATCACACTCTGCCCCGGAAGACGAGTGATCACCTTTCTGGAGAGGAAAAAGACGCCAATACAAGGAGAAGCGGACCTAGGCGAGTTTCCCGCTGTCGATTTTGAGCTTTGGGTGGGAGGCGAAGGGGCCGCATACGCGTGATATTACGCCCATGCCGAACTTCTTAACACAAAGCTTTTTCTGCGACGTATTCGACCAGCGCACCGAGTGAGCGGGGCTGCCGCTGCGCTGACTCGCGTGTGAGGTACACAAGAGTCTCAAAGACGTATGGTCGAATCTCTGCATGCCATCGTCAGCCGTGAACAAGTACCAACAGGTAGTCAAAACAGACCCTTCAGCTGCGGCGTCTCGTATCAGTCCATCGCAGGGTCTCAAATTTCTCCGCGGACGACGTCCATTAGAGCGGTCGCCTTCAGCCTGACATAGCTCTCGAACGGGGTTTTGCCGAGCTTCGCCACGATCGCCAACGATGTCTGTGATACAGCATCAGCGCCAGCTGACCTTGATGTGTCAATGCACATACTGTGTAATTATTCCTGTATCGAGACATATTGAATGCACTCTCGGGCTCATTGGGCACGCCCGGAACGAGAGGTGGCCGGAGCGAATACAGCCAATGATCCGCCGGGTCCTGCGACAATCGTCAGCGAGCTTCGTGCCACGCCAAGCAGACAGCTTACAGAACTTGAAATGCCCAGAAACTCTGCAGGAGTCGGCTCATTGGCAGCGTTGACGCTCGATACGCGCGCTCTTCGGTTCGGGTCTCTGGCAATTCGTTGGATGCAAGATGAACCAAGAACGCGTACAGGGTGGCCAGAAACGTCCGGGTGATCTTCGACATAAGTGCATACCGCACTGGATTCTACTTGAAGAGTCGGAACGTCGACGTCGCCGCGCCCGACGAATCGACACCGCCGGCGATCTTGAAGGCACTTGTGGCGATATGGCGTTGGAAGGGGCGCATTGGGATTGGGAACATCGGATCCGGCTCTGCAGTCGACCCGCGCCAGTTCTCGAGGCGGTCGAAGATATTCGCATCTGCCAGAGCCAAATTAGCCGTCACTCGCACTGATGAAGCCCGGAAGTTTGCCATACCTAGCCAACGAGCTCGAACGCGCGTGCACATATCTCCATCTGATCGCGCGGGAGTTCACGTCGCAGCGGCCGAAGATGCGGCGCGCGCCCGTGCACGGCTATGCGGAAGAGCGTCGCAGGGATGTGGAGGATGGGCTTGCGCCGCGAGACGTCCCGCCGCACAAGGCAATGATGTTCGCCCTCGTTCTCGCAGAAGGCGGACTCTTCTTCCACTGCTCGCTCTTCGTCGGCGCCCGCCCCGTCATCTGCATCCTCGCTTGGGCACACGGACGCGAGGGATCCGCGGGCATGCGATTGGCCCCGCGCCTACCGTTGCTTCTACGCTTCCGTATCATACCATCGGGGAGCAGCTTCGCCCTCACTCTGTCTGCCTCTCTGCTTCTCTCGTCGGGCTCCAAGACGCCAACAAGGACTCTGGCCTGCACAAATGTCCAGTGTCCGCCGTGATGATTTTCAATGCACCTCGCACGATGCCGCTGTTAGGGCCCCTCACCTCTTCGCCTGCATCTGCCATCGACCTCTACTGGTGCGCCTTCCTGCCTACAGGCCAGAACACTGTCTTGTGTTCTGGTGCATTTGGCCGGCTGCATGTCTGCTACTTTTACCGGAGCTCCTGCCGCCCGCCCGTGTGAGGGTCCTGTCGACGTTGACATGCGCATGCTGCCTCGTTATTTGCAGCAAGAGCACAAGTAGCGAAGCGGGCGTGAGTGTCAAATTGGCTCGTCGGCTGGTCGGGTCTCGCAGTCGAGTGCCACAGGGCTGATGCGGCGACTGTTCCCACCAGCCGCCGGTATGTCTAGATCTGTAAGGCAGCGCGGCCAGGGGATGGGCTTACGATTCCGTGTGCACGAAGGCCAACAGGGTGATTTGGGGCTCTCGAGACATACGATGCAGCCTGCGAACTAGGGTGAGGCACGTCGAATATATGAACGGACACAGGAAGGGCATACAGCTTGCAGCAACCAGTTCTTGTGGTCCAGCGACGTGGTTACGACCTGGCAGAAGGATCGTTCCTAGCGAGTTCGTTGGGCGATTTCCGGCCAGCCACGAAGGACGTGCTTCCTCAGGCGAGACTGACAAGCAGATGCGACAAGTATAGAGTGTGCACTGCGGGAGACCGCAGCTGAGTTAAGCATGCAAAGCCCGGCAGGTAGAGTGTAACCACGCACCTCGGCCGTCTATTCTCAGATGTAGTTCAGGTCTGCCCAGCGGTAGCTGTTTCGTCCGAGTGAGTGATTCTAAGGCAAGTGGGGGATTCCGAGACGAAAAGATTCATAGGTAAGATAGCTCTCGGGGCAGTGTTCCGTTTACGGCAGGCAGATCAGTGATGCAATCGGACCGTACTGCCCTGCTCATGGTTCAATGTCACCCTGACGAGCCGATACAGCAAACTAGAGACACTTACCTTCCCTGCCGACATATAATTACTCGTGTTTACTGGAAGAGTTGCCGTCACAGTTTTTTCTTGTTTTTAGCGAATAACTCGGTTCCTTCCAACTGCCACCACAGCTTGCCATTCCCTTGAAGCTCACAATTAATAGCCTCTCAAGGCAACCAGGCCTCAACGACCCACGACGCCTTGCAGCTCACCATGCTGAGGGCTCTCTAACCAGCGCTCCGTGCCCCGATGGATCAGGTGCATACACAACCCCGACGACGCGTCCCAGCTGTCACTGCGGCTTCAACAGCCTTCAATAACTTATCAGCCTTATCGACACGGTCTCCTCCACGCCCCAGCCCTCTGAGGGAGGGCCACCTGGCGCTCCGTACCCCGATGAGTCGACCGACCCGACGGACGCGCGGACCCCGCCCTCGACGCGTCACAACGCTTACCATGGCCTCGCCTGCCCCGATGGGTTGACCGACCCGACGGGTGTCCAGACTACGCCGACGATACGCCAACAGCAAGTTCTTCTCTACGGCTCATCGTCCTGAGGCCATACCAGGTTGACCGATTCAACAGGTGCGCACCGTTCACTCCGCGCTGACTCCACTGCTGATGCTAGTACCGCTGTCGCATGCAGGGCGCATTTGTGTATGACATCAGAATATGTCCGCGCTCTACGTATACCACCCACAGGCTGCCAAAGGCGTCATCCAGCCTTCTGAACAGCTTTTCTCGAACGCGGTGTCCGATAATCACGTCCGTCTCCCTCGCCCACGCGCTGCTGAAGCACACGAGCATCCCGAAGCCTGACGCACTGCGAGGGGCTTCTGTCGCAGCAATGACGACCAACCGCCTGCTGAAGGCAAACGGCATCCCGCTCGGACGCGTCTCCGAATGGCACCCCCGAGCTTCTCGCACGCAAGGTACCCCACCATCCGAAGCGGTAGGTGCTCTCACTACTCTTCAAGCCGTGGGGCCTCGATGGAACGGCATCAAGCCGTACGAGGCGCTCGAGGAGGCGCCATTGCGTCCCGAGATCGCCGACGCCCACCGCAGCCCCAACAGCGTCTGCTAGCTGCCTGCACCGACCACAGAGGTCATCCTTGTCACCGTTCAGCTTATATGTGCGCACGACAGTACAGCCCGCGGAGCGCCCCCGCATTCGTCGCCGCCGACGATCCGTTTGTGTGCCTCAACGTCGCACTTTATACTCCGTACGCTACCACCATGGTGCGCCCTGATACCTACCACGGCCTCGACGGCCTTCACGAATCACTCAATTAATGAAGCCTTATGCGCACCCAGCGTGCCCCACTTGCTGCCTCACACCTCCATGGCTCAGTTGACCTGACGAGTGTACGGACAATGCTGGCCTTGGCCGCCAACGGAGCAGTGAAATGCGCATGTCCAGGCTCGAGTATGACCTATCGCAGTCTGTGTTCAGCCAGCCACAAGAGGGGCTGAGCCAAAGCTGCATGGAACCTGACCTATACTCTGTGCTGGAGTAGATGCGCACGATGTGCACGCGCGGACGACTGGGGCACCGGCCCTGCGCCCGACAACTGCCACCACCAGCTGAGAGCGCCCCGGATAACTTCTGGCGCAAGGGCGAGGGCGACGAGAAGTGGGACTTGGTGGGGTGGAAGTGTTTCAAGCAGACTGTGGACGTTCCGCGTGCACGGCTGTCCACAGGCTGGCGTTTTGATCTCGACTGCCAGTACCGTCTTTGGTCAGCCCTCGGCCAGCCCCCAGGCTATGCCTGCTCCATATCTCCTGGCAACTCTTGCATCTGTTTGGCAGCGTTCTCGAAGATGCGAGGACGTCGGAGCCGCCCGGGCTATGGCCAAGCGCCACCCCCCTACGCAGCCTCTACGTCTTGTTCGTACTTGTGTGCAGTAGGCTTGCGCCCGCCCCATCCGATTTCGCGAAGCTTTTTCCCAGACGTCGTCGCGAGCACACAAGCATGATACAATCCATTCGTACAGATTATATTGCCTATTATATATACTACATGATCAATCGTAATCAGTCTGCGACGGCTTTTCTTAGGGTACAGTTGTGGGACGAAATTTGCATAAATTGACTATTGATCATACGGGAGCATGGGAAGGAGGTGTCAGTGGCGTCGCTTTGGGTAGATAATGCAGGTGAGGAAAACATTGTAACATATGATGAGGAATACTATGACCATGTGTCTCCTTTGTCGCAGCTGATCCACACAGTTTTCCATTGCTCACTCACAGCCTATGTAGTGCCGTTGGAGCCCCGAGTGCAATGGGTCCATCCGTGCAAGTGCACCCTGATCGCACACGAGAGCTATCTCCTGAACTGGATATGCAACGCACAGCAAGACACCTTGCACTCGTCAAACACCCTGAAGTACTCCCAGTGCAGTGCGCGGTACGAGATCCTGAGTGAGATCCTGTTCCCGCTGTGGCTGCTCAACCACTTCAACACCTTGGCGCAGTACTATTAGCAGAGCGTGAACACGAATTGCTTATAGCACAGCAGGAGAGATAGCAGCATTGTATAAGGGCTATAAGTACATAGGCAGATTGCGTAGGTGTGTTACGAGCAGGCAGATGAAGCTGTGGCAAGATGTGGCGTGTTTGTAACCAGTCTTCGTTCAGGAGTCATTATTATGGTGTTAAGTGTAGCCCATACCATTCATCATGCACGACAGGTTTCTCGAGACTTAGCAAGCACTTGTCTGTAGGTGACATTAGTTTACTAGGAGAAGGACGGTGACTCGGAGACTGCTACCTTGTAAAGATGTCATAGACATTTGAACGATGGTATTAGTTTCTGACGTCCAGCTTGTTATTTGTTCGGCACGTATCACATGCAACATAAGACAGGACATCATGGCAAGAACACAGTGGTGAACTTAGGGGGACATTGACAATAGCGATGTGCTGAGTCATCAAAAACAAAGATGACCAAACAGGTGCCAAACATCTACAAAGAAGATAATGATGATCACGTGGTTCTTGCCCAATGCCCATTTTGAACTGATAACTCGTGGATATGGGCGTCAAGCGTCCATTGCCGATTCCCCTGCATAGTGTCGTTCAGGACAACCATAGCACTTAAAATGAATATGACCTCATATTTGCAATGGTGGATAGTCATACATGGTCTGGTACAGGGTACAGGTACACGCAGCTGCGAAATGTCCAATGCTTGGGTGCAGTAGGCCGGGCACAGTAGACAGGTTGATTCTCCAGCATCATAGCTGGAGAGTAGTAGTTCCATAAGTATTAACATATACAAAGGGTCGTTATGCACATCATTGCTACCAAACAATAAGGAGGCCAGTGTACCATTCGATTGGGATCGCGAAGGTGAACAGGTTGCATTTTGTGGACAGTCTCCACACTGGCTGGGGCATGGGTTGTGCAAGCGAGTGGTGCGGCAATAGGTGTTTGTGTGACATGGCGCAGCGCAGGCCCAAATCGCTGCCCATGAGCAAGGCACGGCACAGGCCCAGAGCTAGCAGAAGGCAGCAGCCAATTACCATGTGTGTAATGTCACAACAAAAACAAGAGCTGCACTTACTGCTTTTTGCTTGCTGATGGCGGATACAGTAGAGCGGACAGAAGGCGTTGGCCTTTTGCTGTAGGTGTTCAACTTTGCGAGCACTTTGCTGTCCTCGGCCCTAGCCCATTTCTCCCTGCCTTCACTGCTCTGGTTGTGGCTCTGGTCTTGACCCTGTGATGGAAGCAGAAGCAATTAGAAATGCAAGGTAAAATATGGCATGGAGACACTCACTAGCTATGCAAAGCACGGCGCACTGCACACCTCCCCAGAAAAAGGGAGTGGTAGATGAGTGCATGGCAGCAAGTCGCCGCCAAGTTGAGGGTTGCTGGCGACAACCAGTAGGCCAGGTGCAGTAGACAGACTGGTGAAGCCGTGTCACTTTCAGACATTCAGAAGCGCCCCAGGGACTGGATGACTTCCCTGCCACATAACTAGAAAGGGGTAATTTTGTAAGCATCAGATTTTGTACAGAAATGTTCTATGCACCTTCGAGAGCCATAAAATGAAGGAATTTCACAACACTCATGGGTTGCGAGTGAGTAACAGCAAGTTTGTTCATGCCTTGGGAACTGCACACATAGGCACCGGAACGCGTGAATGAAATGATTATATTTACAACGGTTGATAGAATGAGTGCAGTGGGCCGGGAGCAGTAGACGGCCAGAAGCTTTGCTTATGAAGCTGTGCCGCTTTCAGATGACCAGAAGCGCTCCAGGGAGTGGATAACTTTTCAGCAGCATAGCTGGTAAGGGGCAATTTTGTAAGCATTAAATTACGTACAGACATGTTCAATGCACCTTCAAAACTAATAAATCTTTTAAATTTCGCGACACTTGTGGGTTTCGAGTGAACAACGGTAAATTTGCTTGTGCCTTAGGAATTAGACTCATAAACGCCAGCTGGCACATTAGCGCCAGATCGGGTGCAATGGCTGATAGTCACGTGACTTTTGGGCATGCACGGTTCGGTCCATAACCCGATTCTAGGGGAATCAGAATCTGATAGCTTCGCTCATAGGAATCTGGGACTAACCTTGGCGTGCTTACGGACGCGATCGTCGGGCCAATGGAGTATGTTCAGCTGACGGCACACAGGCAGAGGAAGAGCTGTCTGTGGGCCCCAGGCAGACACTAGCCAATATATATTGTCCAGTGCACACTGCATCAGCTTGAACATCTGGCATAAGCACAGGATCTCAACAAGGTGTCGGGGTCTGTAGTCAATGTAATTTAATGCCCGGCTCACTCGTCGACTCGCTCTCAGCTACTAGTACGGTATACCTCTTCATCGGCAGGGCATGCTACTGATGATGGACAACAGGAGTCTGGTGTTCCCACATCTGCCTGGTCACTATCATGCCCTTCGGGCCACAGATATGTCACCCCTTCTCATCTAGTAAACGCAGGTTGCAGCTTCTGGAACCACAAGCAATGATTATGCTGCATGATTTGCAGACGTTGAGATGATTCTAGATCTTGTCTGTATACCCTGAAGACGCGTACGATAGTGTAGTATACTATGTGCTTATTACTGTGATCGAGTCAGTGTTGTCATACTATCCCTGAACTCCTTTTGATAATAATTCTACATATTTCGTCCGTCCCTGCAGGCTCACTCAACATTTGCCTCCACAAAGGAGATAACCAAGTGCAACAAACCTCGTAGTATTGATGTATATTTCTTTCGCAATTTAAATTCTGAGAGATGAGTGCATAGGAGGCGCTGCAGTGAGACAGCTCAGCCATGGACCAGTGTTGATAATTTCTGTCACGGTTTGTCACAAGTAATGCTGATCAAGCCCACATCTCCCGACGGCTACAGCCAAGCGTTGATGTTGACCGTGCATCCATACATTTTGGACCAAGAGTGAGGACAAGGTGTGGCAGCTCGAGTGAAACAAGTCAGTACTTAACAGAATTAATCGTGCATGAGGTGTATTGCAAGTCTTCTGAATGCGTGTCTTGACATCGTCGTGGTCTGAAAGTTGGAGGAAGTCAGGCAGAGCAGACGTAATGGGTTATTGGTTCTCAGAGGGGACCTGAGCCATGTCAGGCCGTCTCTGAGCACTTGACCACCAACTCTCGATGAGGCAGTATGCACGGACTGTAAATGCTGCTCTCTGCGAGCCAACAGGTGCTAGCGCAATGCCGGTCTTGCCAAAGGCAGAGACTGAACATGGTCACGGTGAGGCGGATTTCCTGTAACGCTATAGCAAACTTGCACACAGCATGGCAGCTACGGGGCACGAAGCATATCATGCACATTTTTTAAAGTATCTGTACATGTTGTGAATGGAATCGCGCAGGCAGGGGATTCACGAGTAATCAAAGATAAATTCTAAGAATAATACTACGTGTCCTTATATAGCTCATCTACTTCCTAATATATTCAGTCCAATACTATGTACACTGAGGAAGCTGAGACTAAGGGAAACATAGCGGGGAGTGAAAGGGCGCCAGAGCCGAGTGCGCTCTGCGCGCGTCATATCTAAATCTGGTAAGAGGGCGATGACATCATAGGGTGGCAGGTTTCAACGGTACTCCAGCTGAAACCTGCCAACCACGTGACCGTGGGAAACGCCTCAATACAACAGTACAAAGCATAGAAGGCTCACAAGACTCCATAAATACATTGGCTCAGGAGATCTGGTGGGATCTAGCCATCTATGAGCGCTCTGACGTCCATTTGGTGTATCGCACGGAATGTTCAAAATTCCTTTCACTCAACCTTTGGTATTTTGCCTTGATTTTTGCTATATTTGTAGTAGTTTATACTACCTAAATAAATAATCCCCATCCCAACAAGAAAGTGTAGCTACGGGGGGATGCAAATTATCAACACTGTCCCATTTATCAAACGTGGTACAGGGATAGTATGGACTATCGGATGACGCCGGGGTCAATGGCGTAGGAACGAGTCCTCTAATTTTTCGCCTCTGTGAGAATTTCAGGCATTGCGGAAAATTCGAAAGCCAGAAGCCTGACCGCAAAAATAGAGGACCGCCTAGCCCTGTTCGTGGTCACCCACCGAGCGAACTCCTCCTTGACTCTGCGCCTTGCCAAACCGACCAAAATTTCAGTTAACACGGTCGCATCGCAAAGACGCTGCAATCATGTACCCTCCGAAATCAATCGGATTGTGATCAAATCACTGTTGCCTGCCATTCCCTATATCGAGGATGGTGAGGAGCGAGAGACATGCACAACCCCAACTTTGTCTTAGCCCTTCTCTCCATGCACTGACGGCATATACTACAGCATACGAGCTCGTCTCAACAGATCCCGCAGGACCATGGACCCCTCCTCAATGCCAATGTCCCAAGTGTAAGGTCTCACGCAGCTCGCCAGGCGTACTGCGGTGCTAAATGCAGACCACATAACTGCCCTAGATATCTGCAAAATTATCTGCGCCTCCTTGGCACCGGTAGGCATCCAACGTGTGCGACATTCAGCAATTGACTTCGATAACCTTAGTTATACTGTACTATGACCACGCAATCACATTCGATGACGAATATTGGCTTGTGTGGCGAACTCCAAATAGTTGTGCCTCCGTTCTCTTCCTCGTCAATCGCTACTTCTCGTTCTTTTCGGTAAGGTGTGAGAGACTGCGTGTGAACACGCACTGACAATACATCCAGAACATTATTGTTACTGCGGGCAACTTCTCTACATTCAGATCCGTTCAGGTCAGAGCTGAGTCGTCACTTGCATGTCCAACTGCTAATATCCTCACGCAGAGGTCAGCTTTTCACCTCCGCTGTTAAATATCCACTGCTAGTCATTAATCGTGAGGAGATCTAGTTGCGCGCATTACTATACATTCTACCGACAGTTGAACGTATTCGCCACACAAATCATTGTTGCGGGTATGACCTCCCTGTTATACTCCTTTGACTGATAGCTATGACCATATTCAATCACAGTTATACAATTCCTGAGGACATATGCTCTCTACGGACGCGACCGCCGATTCGCCATCGTCGTGCTTTCCGTGCTAGCTGTCCTCGTAGCACTCTCGATTGTACGTGTGTTCAACTTCGCCCGAGAGGTACGCGTCCTGATAGTGATACACATCCCCGTAGTGGGCTGTCATAGGCCAGAAATCCACATACACAGCTGTGCAAGGATGTCATGCAGCGTCTTCTCGGATATCGTACGTCGTCTTGACTTCTCGATGATAGGCCCGTTTGAAAGCTTCTCGCCTCATAGAGCAATACATCTCGCCTTCGGATGGGAAGCTTTGTTCGTCTGGGATATGATAATCTTTTTCTTGACTTTCTTCAAGTCTGTCAGGAATCGTAATCAGTACGGAGGTGACAGCCTTGCCAATTCGATATTTCGCGACGGTGAGCGCAACGTAGTTATGAAGCTTATGGAAGCTGACGAAGCGCCAGGGGCGATATATTTTGGGTGCGTATTCGTTCCTGGGTGGTCTCAAGCGCAATTCCTCAGAAACTCCAGAGTGACGGCGTGCGCTCAGTGCTCGAATACGCTGACCTTCTATGTATGTACCCCAATACCCTACACAAGCATGATCTTATCCCGCCTTTTCAGCTCTCTCCGGTGTGTACTAAACAAGCGGTAAAGTCATTACACTGCAAACTTACAACAGCTCGTTCTTAGCCCGCGCTCCGTGGCTGTCTATCAACATTTGCGAGCAAGTGCGCACTGTCCCTCTCGCTTTCCCTACTCTCGCTAACCACCAACATCCTGCTGCGTAGCATATCTGCAACGATGATGTCCCGTCTCATGCTCAATCTGCATCGCACTGCAACGGACCTGTCACGCAACTGCGGCACCACAACGATGGAGTTCAGAAGCACTGTCTTCATATTGCCCTTCGGCACGACGGGCATGCACGCAAACAGTGTACACGAGGAGGACACAACTTAGAGTTCCCGGGGTAACGATGGTACTAGAGCCACAGGAGTTTTATAAGGTGCATAATACGCGGACGCTGAGATGATATTCGCACTTGTATACCTTGTCAGTGAGAGCCTGGAGTCTCGTACCGTCGCCCGGGTTGCTGCAGTCACGATAGATGCACCCATTACTAATATACATGAATTAATCAAGACTTCAGTGGACGAAGTTTGTGTTGCCCCGAAACCAAACATAGTGAGATATTGCACAGAAATATGTATAAAATAACTCAGCCTCTCCATGCGGGTGCAGACGGCGCTGCCTCCGAGCTATCGATAGGCACCCTCCTCGCTCCCCCACGTATCTTCTCCGGTTTCTTCCCTGCCTTCGGCGGCGCGGGCTCAAGCTCTTCGAGCTCGAGCGGCGGCACTACCGCCGGTGTCGTGCTCTTGCTCTGTCCAGGCTTCGCGCTCGTCGTGCGGATTGACGCTCGCGTCTTCTTGATCCCGCCGCCGATGACGGTGGACCGCCTGCTGACCTCGCCTTCGGCCGAGCTACTAGAACGCGTCCGCACGCGGGACGCCAACTTCGCGCGTGTTCGCGGGCTCCGGCGGACGTTCTCCTTCTCCTTGGGCAGCCCCCGTGGCGACGCGGGCTTCGGTTTCGTTCTCGGTCTCACCCTGCCCTTGGGATCCGCCTCCGCCGTACGACTCGCAGACGGCTTTGCGTTCACAGCTATCCGGGCGGGCGCAGCGGGTTTCGAGACGTGGACAGCGCGCTCCTTCCCTTTAGCCTTGTTGCGGATGAGAACCTCCACCTCCTCCGCGTCACTCGCCTCTACCTCCTCGTTCTCGTCCATCCCGCCGTCCGCGTCCGCCTCCTGGGCAAGGCCTAACCTCATGTTCCGCCGCGCGGGCGTTGGCGACACTGGGCCACGCATGTCTTCGTCCTCGTCATCGTCATCGTCGAAGTCCATATCGTCCTCCGCTTCTTCTAGCACCGCGCCAAGTTTCGGGATGGGCGGCTCCTCGGGCGAGTCAGGCGAATCCGCGAGCATGAGGATGCGACTTAGCGGGCTTGGCTTCACAGGCGAGTAGGCGTGTGTCATGTGTGGTGCGAGTGGACGGCCGGTGTTGTTCGGTGGGAAGATACGCCGCGAAGGCGTTTGAGGGACAGCGGGGACTGTGGGAACAGAGGGCACGCTTGGTGCGGATGAGGTTGTGGTTGTGGAGACAGACTTGCTGGCGATCGGAATCGCAGGTGCAGATACAGGCTGAGCGACGACCGAAGGGGCAGCAGCTGGAGGTGCCGGTGCAAAAGGGTTCTCATCAGTACTTGGTACATTTTTGCTTGCTTTCGAAGGGCCCGCTTCAGCAGATATCTGCATTGACGGCAGCCGAGATGCGGGCGATGGTGGTGGGAGAACGAAAGCAGGCAGCGCCGGAGGCTTCGGAGACGGCGGTACCTCGACATAGAACGCCTTGCTTGCAGGCTTCCGCTGTATCGCTGCATTAGACGATTTCACCGGCGGTACAGCCCGTTCTTTCCCCTTGCCCTTCGCCACAACAAGCCTCGTCTCCTTCTCAGCAGCCTTGCCCCTTGCCCTCGTCCTCGGCGAGCTTGTTGCCACTACGCCAGTGCCGAAGCTTCGCACTGAGGCGGTTACGACATCCTTCTTCGGTGGCTCGACCTTCACCCTCTTCGTCTTCGCATCGCCATCTGGCGACACGGCGTCCGAGGCTTTGCGCTTCGCACCTGCTTTTGCACCCAAGCGCAGGGGCGACGTCGGCTTCGGATTTCGCGGTGAGCGCCGGACAGGCGCGGGCTCAGACTTTGCGGGGCGCTGCACGGGTTCATCAGTGTGGGAGAGCGCCGGAGAGGGCGGTGGCAAGTGTGCAAAGACGTCGTTGTCGTCGTGTCCCGATGGAGTAATGGTCGGCTCAGACTCAGCTCCGGGCTGCGGACGGAAGAGGTTGTCCAGGGCTTGCTTCGAAGATGACGCGGCCGCAGACGGAGGTGGCCGTTTTGGAGGCTGGCGTTTGGTCTGTTTTGGGGGCTCGGGTTGTGGTGGTGCGTGTGGTTGAGATGGCGCAGCGTCGACTTCCATCGGCATGGGCTCGACCACGGCGATTGGAGCGGAGTCTGGCTGCGAGCCGTAGATGGAAAAGGGTCGCTTCATCGCCTCGACTTGCTTCGAGAGGTCAGTGAGCTGGATCTGGGCAGCATATGCCGACGCCTGCGTCCGTGCTTGTTCTGCGTATAGATTTCAGTTCCGAGGGTCTCATGACACAAACTGGCTTAGACACACCGAGTTCGCTCTTGAGTTTCTCAATCTCTCCAGCCTGCTTCTTCATCTCCGCCTCATGCCGCAGCCGTTCCTGCTCGCGCTCCCTGTCCTTGGCGCTCAACTGCTTGCCGAGCAAAGCCATCCCGTTTGTCTCGTTCGACTCCGTAGTTTCCATTGCCACCTTCCTGCTAGCAGCTAATGCAGTAGCGGTAAGGCCTCCATCAGCGGTGATGCGACCCTCGGGATCCGCCAAGCTTCGTAAGGAGTCGCGCAGTGAAGCCAGCAAGATGTTCACGATGGATGATGCTGTGCTTGGGATCGGCGGTGAGAGAGGGAAGAGGGCGAGAGAAGTTAGTACCTCAGGCTATTCAACAGCAGTGCCATTAGCATGGTGTTGCCGGGGAGTTTAGGAAAGTCTCACCTCTGGAACTTCTATGTCATGCATCTCCCTCCTGATGCTCAGCAAGTCCGCGACGGCGCATCGCGCCTGAAATTCGACATTCTGTACTTCATTAGCAAGGCGCAAGAGGATGGTTTTCAGAGCCCTGTTCTCGTCTGCAAGTTCCTGACGATGGCGCATGGATTCTTCGAGCGTAACCTCAAGGAAGTCGCCTGTTCCTTGCCCTGGAGGGGCTGTACTTGAAGAGTTGAGTGGTATGGGGCCCAGTGTCGTAGGCCCACCATAGTGGCTGACGGCGTTTTCGTTCGCATACCGTATGCCGGCGACGCGGGTGACATACTGGTGCTCAGAGAGCTTCGTGACCTTCTCCAAGAGCTTGTCCTTTTCCTTCTCGAGCTTCTTGAGTTCGGATTGGTGCGTGGCACGTACAGATTGCAGGGCGGTGCGCGTGCGTTGCAGCTCAGCTTGCGAGGACTTGAATGAGGCGGTGGTAGTATTCAGGGTCCGTGTAGTGGAACTGGTGTAGCAAAGCGTGTTAATATAACATCAAAGATAACGGACTAGGAACGTACGCCAGGCGAGCTTTATGAACGTTCATCTCCCGTTCTGCATTGGCCGCCTTTTCTGTTGCCGTCCTGTACATGGACTGCAGCCTTTCGTGGTCGTAGGACAATGTTCGTATCGTTGTTGAGAGCTCTTCAGTACGTGTTATATCTCCCTGTATGGAGAGATTCGCGATGTCGATGGTTTGCTAGCCGGGTACATGCAGGGCGAAACATACCATTCTCTGGCCCAGCATCGAGACCAAGCACTTTAAGACCTTCCCCGCCTCCTCCTTGCTTGTCCCCTCCAAAGATAGACCAGGCTGGTAGGTAAATCCATGCGCCAAAAGCTGTGAATTCACATATTGTAATGTCGCGGTGCTCTCCTCGCTGGATTCGGTCGACGATTCGTCTTCGTAGTTGCCAGGTAGCTTCAGTGAGGGCAGAGAAGGTGATCCCAAGGTCTCCAGAGCCCAGTGCACCAATTTCTTCGCCATCTAAACAGCTTGAGAGCGAAGAAAAGGTGCAACAGGAGAAATTGCGTCGCAAGTTGTCGTCGAGGCTTGACACCAACCGCGTCGACGTCACGTGATGGACTTAACATCAAGTAGGGTTAAGGTTATAGCGACGCGCTCTCGAATGCGCCACAGTTTTTATGAGCGTCTACTCGTATTTCTGCCCTGAACCGCTTCGTTACAGGCGGAGAACAAACGCTCTGCGTGTCGTAAAACGTACGTACATCGACTTTACCAGCTTAGATTAATTTCTAGGGATGTTCGCAACGAGGTGCTGAATACGACTTCACGCGGAAGGCGATGCTGGGTCGTGTCTGTGTTCACTGGACACTACCTGAATGCCCGGAAAATTGCCCCCGTTGTACCCATTATTGCCGCGTTTTCCACCGCATGATATGTCGAAGAGGATACTTACGAACTCACACACACCTTGTCTCCGTGCGCTTCCGGACAAGGGGGAGGGTCATTTCAAGTCCGTAACAAAAGCGAACGCCCGAACGTGATCCATAGTAGCATTAAAGTTGACTTTAGGTGACTTCATTTCTTCATGTCAACGGGCTTCTCGTTGGCAGAAAACACAGCGTCGGCCGTGGCACACACGGCCTGTCCGATGGCAGGTAAGCCCTATCCTTTACACATGCGCTCTTATGGTCCGTAACTTAACTTACCAGTCATGGAAACAGCGCGGTCATTTCTGGAATGCTTGCGCAGCAGTCGGTACGAACGCGGTGTTGGCGTGCGCTGCCGCGCCATGTTGAGAGCGGTTGCAACGCTAATGGCTGCACGGTTGTCAAGTCGCTCCGGAGAGCCACGCTGACTTCATTGACATGTGGAGCATCGCTTTAGCCGGCTGCAGGTAACAATGCCAGACAGAACCGGTCGCAGGTCGTGCATGCTCACAGCGTGCCACTCATCGAAGGAGTTATCACCACGTGGCCGCCAGACCAGCCTAGATGCCTTACAGTCGCCCCTTTCCGCTCATATACAGCTAACCCCACGTTTTGCGCTTCTCCCGCGTTTTTGTACAGCAGGCCCAGACTCGCTTGTGAGCATAGCGAGAGATGCAGGCCTGTGTATGGGAATGTACGGGAGTGGGCGATCATGATCAGAATGAAGCCGTGCCTCGCTAACGTCTACTCGTCATCATTCAAGAATAGAGCACAGATGTCGTGCGGCAGTGTCTGGCAGTGAGTCGGAGATTCCCTATTATTTCTCTATTGGTGCTTCACTGCCCAGTGCTGTGTCCTTGGCCGATCCGCGGACGGACTGTCTACCTGAGTACGTATGTTCCTCTGCTTGCTCCATAAGGTGAGTACATACCCGTTTTTCATAGTAGGTGCAGAAATCCAGAAATCTGCATAGGAGCAGTACACGAGTTTATGGAATTAGGGTGCCACCCATTGCTATCCAGAGTCATGGCAAGATAAGATGTCCAAGATCATAGATCCGTCTCATGGGTTTCATGAACGGGCCTGCTGAGGTTCTTTAATACTAGGACATCTGACTGCCGGCTCAGCGCTATGATCATTTGCAGGTGCACGAGATTTATCGCTTTCATCGGGAGCGGCGACCCCACTGTCTACTTGCACTGCTCCGCTTTTGCGGTCGCCTAACTGCACGGACTCTCCTATGCTCATCCACGCCTCGAGGTTTTCCGCTTGTAGCCCTTTAAAAGCTTCGTTGTGCCGAAGTGTACTCATTCATCCCACTCACCCTCACGTCCTCCTTCTCACCCATCTCACCCAATGCCTTCCTCTAGCCAAGACGAGTCCCCAGAGACTGGTCACCCTATCTATAAGCGTCCACGAAGACGGGCGTGGCACCGTCGGTTCTTCTACGATCACCCCGGGTACGAACATGGCGACCCGGATGCCTTCGCTGGTTTGGGGCGGACACACGACAAGGTCAAAGTGTGGTGCAAGCGGTGCTTCGCGCAACGCCTTGAATACGAACTCGCGCGGGACGCGCCTGCGGAGAGAGAACAGTCCGACGAGCCCGCTACTATCAACTTCCGTGAGTACACATTCCCGCTGCACTTCGAGGTCAGGTTCTGAACGATCGCAGTGTGGAGTTTGCAACCCCCGGACGCAGGCTGGATTTCTGGTCGGCCGGCGAACTGTCTGGTTCATCTCCGCGACTGCGAGCTGCAGGACAGCCATATCCGCCAGGAGGCGGGGGCGCAGCACAGGAGCCCCGCTCGGCGGCGGAGCCAAAGACAGGGCAGTGTCTCCTCTGGTGGTAGGGTCAGTCCCCCGGTTGACCGGCGCAGGACGCCGGCGCCGGGCATCATACCCAGCCATGAGGCCGCTGAGCCAGGTCCTTCACGCCTGATCCCCTATGACGATCCGCGTCCTTCACTTTCACCTTTGCCCCCTTTGGCCTCCTTGGTACCACTTCCGCATGCGTATCACGCATCAGAACACGGGCAGTACTCTGGCGTGCACCCCCAGTTCCAAGATTGGGAACGCGACCAGGACGGAGCCGTGTCATTCTCCGAACCAGCTACATACACTGCCGCTGCAGCGCCGGAGCCGATCGAATACCCTGCTTGGGCCGCGCCTGTGCAGATGCTTGAAGAGCCGGTGTTGTCGGGGAACGTGTTCGGGGTAGAGTCTCAGCACGACCACGAGGGGGTGCGTGAACACATCCTTCGATGCGTGCCCTGTGCGCTTATGCTTCTTTGGCTGAAGACCTGGGACGTAATGCCGTACCATGCCGGACTGGATGCCAGCACGTCCATGTCACTGCATCCTGCGGACAACCCGATCCCTGTCTGGCCTGACAACAGCGGGCTCTATAGTATGTGGCAGGACGCGCCCAGCAACGCAGCTCAGGAAGCACTAGGCGCTTAGTCATAGTTCTTGGTATACGAAGCTGTGTTGACACGTACAGTGGCTTCTCGGGTGATGGCGTCAGCTTTAATATCTATAACTACTACGCTCCTTAGCTTACACTCTTTTACATCACTTAACGTGTAGATCAGGCTGACGAGCCATAAATCAGCCGCGACCGCTCATTATGATAGCTATACTTTTATATATTCTATATTAATTTATAATGTATGTAACATGTTTGTTTTGAAGCCTAAAGCTTCAGAACCCGGAGCAACGCCTGACATCCTCGCTTTGTGACTTTTATCTAATCTGGTTTTGATCCGCTGATGGCATCTAATCTTTTCGTGCCGAAAGACTAGCAAAGCGCCAGGCCGTGTTTTTCGAAAGTTGGACCCTTTCGCCCACGTCTTGCACCAGTCCTCTGCCACCGACGCATTCTCGAGATGTCTGATACAGTACCGCTAGTTGCGGGATCGTCAAAGTCGAGTTGGCTCCCTGCCAAGTCATGGCAACACTTTGTCGCCGGCGGGTCAGTCGAGTCCCTAAGTTCATATCCACCGAGTAGCCTGTGCTGACTGTGACGGACGTGTGCCGCAGTGTGGGTGGTATGTGCGGTGCCATCGTCACGAGCCCGTTTGACGTCGTCAAAACACGCCTGCAGTCTGACCTTTTCCGCGAGAAACACGCTACTCTGAACCTCGCCGGTGCGGGCAACGGGACTGTAGCCATTCCGAGACGAGCGAACCTCCTCTGGCATTTCGTGGAGACCGGACACATTCTGAAGTGCGTAACAGTGGCTTTTCGACGTACATCGGTTCCGATCATGCGCCTGCCAACAGGGACATATACCAGAAAGAGTCGCCACGAGCACTGTTCAAAGGTCTTGGCCCAACACTCGTCGGTGTTATCCCAGCGCGATCAATAAACTTCTTCACATACGGCAACGGCAAACATGTCATTGCGAACAAGTTTAACGACGGCCAGGAGGCGACCTGGGTCCACCTCTGCGCTGCCGCCTGCGCAGGCGTCGCGACCGGCTCGGCGACAAACCCTATTTGGGTCGTGAAGACTCGCCTGCAGCTCGCGGCGGACGACCGGAGGAACGTGCAGCTACGCAGAAAGAGCTTTTTTGGCGGGTCTTGGGATATGATTAAGAAGATTATGCGTGAGGAAGGTGTGCGAGGGTTCTACAAGGGCTTGAGCGCGAGCTACCTCGGCGTGACCGAAGGCACGATCCAGTGGGTTTTGTATGAGCGGCTGAAGAAGATGTCACAGAATGTCGAGGGCCGAGGCGGCTTTGCGGAGTGGGCAGGTCTTCTTGGCAGTGCGGGCACAGCAAAATGCGTCGCTAGCTTGATAACATATCCGCATGAGGTGCGTCTTCCTTTGTAGCTCACGGACAGCTTTCGATTTATATACTGGGAGCAGGTCATCCGCACGCGACTGCGACAACCTCTGGTAGACGGCAAAGTCAAGTACACCGGTCTTGTCCAGACACTGCAGCTCGTCATCCGGGAAGAAGGCGCCAGGTCATTATACGGCGGACTCAGCGCACACCTTATGCGTGTCATCCCGAACGCCGCGGTCATGTTCTTCATCTACGAAGCCGTCCTTCGCTGGGAGACTAAGTAGGCGCATTGCTACCGGCCTACATTCTCAGTCTAGCGCCGCTCCCGGGCTGCACCGCTTGCCCCTATGCCATCGTCTATGGTTCTCTGTCGGGATCTCTTTGGCTCCTGCCATCTTATGCCCATATAATGCCTAAGTGCTCTCCACTCGTCGCCGTACGATTAATATCGCACGACTGCCGCCCACCCCACCTCATCCACTGCCAAAAGTATCACTGCATGCATTCTATACCACTTGTATGTTGTCCGCTCAATGGACTGGCACATGCTTCGGGCCTCAGTACTCAGTCCCGACCTATTGGCTTCAACGGTGACGACTACGCGTACGCGCACCGCTTGAGCCAGTTAAGTAGATTTCCTTGGAGTTCAAGTAAAATAGTACACAATTATTCCTATCCTCCTCTCCGAAGTCTGTTCGTCGTCCGGCTTCGTACGTCTAGTTTTCGCCGCGGCCGAGCTTGTCGAGCGCGCGCACGCCCTGCTCGAACCACTCCTCTCTGCTGACCCAGAACTCCTCGCGGTTCTTCATGATGTCCGCGAGCACGGCACCGCCGAGGAAGACCATGTGTTTCCGGCGCGGCGGGTCTTCGATGCGGATCTTGAATTTCTGCATCCAGAAATTGTGAGTGAGCAAAGATGTGGCAGAGGAAGCGCCTGGAAAGGGCACGTACGTTCAAGCGCGATGGATCGCCGTTGAGGACACGCGTCAAATAGAGCTGCTTCATCTCCTTCTCGAGGCGACTTGGCAGCCCGGGATACATGGACGAACCTCCGGACAGGACGATGTGCTTGTACAGCTCAGAACGAACGTCGACGGCTGCGTTTTGGATGGTCTGGAAGAGCATCTCTGTGTGATATCGACACATCGTGAGTCCGTAGTCTGAGGTGGGGCGTAGATTGAGCGCGCACCTGCAACACCTGGCTGCTCGACATCTACGAGGTGTGGCTGGAACATGCACTCAGGAGCTTCGAAGCGCTCAGAGCCAATCTTAATTGTCCGACCGTCTGGAAGCTAGACGACAAGAGTAAGTGACAGAGATCGAGCTAAACACTGTTTGACTCACATTGTAGCTTTCGACGAGCACAGTGGTCTCTTCTGAGAGCCGGGTGTCGAGGTCCAAGTCGTAACTGGCGCAGATATTAGGCGGCTATGGTGTGTAGGGCGTGATATCACGCACCTGACATAACAGAGCTTCTCCTTGATCTCTCGCACGGTCTCAAAGTCGGCTGTACGGTTGAACGCGTATCCGCGCATGAGCAGAAGCTTGATGAGATAGCGAGTGACGTCCCGTCCAGCAATGTCGAGTCGTCGCGTGAGGTGAGGAAGCGCAAAGCCGTCATACACAGGCACAATGTGTGTCACGCCATCTCCAGAGTCGACGACCACACCAGTTGTCAAACCTGAGGGTCATTAGCAAGGGCGCTGCACAGGCCGGTAGTGCTAGAAAGCACGAAGAGCGGGGATAACACGCACCTTGCGCATAGAGAGTTAGTACTGCCTGAATTGCGACGTATACACCGCCGAAGCCATAATCCTCAAACATAACCTGACACATCCGCTGCCTGTTCGCCTTGGGATTCATCGGCGGCTCGGTGAGAAGCACTTTGCGTCCCTTTGGGTCGATCTTGAGCTTCTCGTCAAACGTGTAGTCCCAAAGGTATTTCATGTCTTCCCAATTGCGCACGATGCCATGCTCCATCGGCTGGGTCACCTGCAGGTAGTTACGGTTCTCCGCAGCCTCGTCGCCGACCATGATGTCTTTGATGACAGACGAGCCGACGCGCTCCTCTGCACGTAGAATGGGCCGTCCAACAATAGAAGGGAATACTATGTGTCGCTGTCTCAGCATCGCATGTCTGATATCCTGCAAAGTGCCAGCTTTGACGTACCATGCTCAGGGAAGTTGCTGCCTGCATAGCCCACTTTGACAAACTGCACGAGGCGGTAAGAGACAGAGATGAGTCGCCATGGCATCAGCGACACTCACACCTGTACCGTTGTCGACGACGATGGGGACTGAGGGATCCATAGTGGCAGATGAATTAGACGATGCACTGGCGTCACGACAGGAATCGATATGGGCGCCCGACAAGTTCCATTTCAGGATATAATAACAGGAATTTCCGAATTAATTTCGGACTGGACGCCACAAAGCTGGCGTCTGGGTCTCAGTGATAGGCTATCATGCAGAGCGAAGTGCACGGTGACGACACACCACTCACAAATTACAGTATGCTACATCCGTAAAATATAATCGTAAGTTATGCACAACTTTACAACTACAACGGCAAGTCTACAACAGAAAGTCCAAATTTCGACCGTGGAGCGAGACTAAAGTACAAAATCACGCACAGCACCGATAAGGGGAAAGGGGGATAGGGAAGAAGCCTCAAACTTCCCCAAAGAAGACACATTCCTTGACTTCGACTCGTTCGGTGCCGTCTTCGTTCGTTAGGAGTTGCTTCACCTATAGAGCGCCTGATGTCAGTGAACGAACGCACGCAAATATAAGCTAGCACGTACAACTCCAGGGGGACTCAAGCCTAGGGCTTCTGCTCGTCCCCAGCGTTGAAGGCGACTGACACCTATGCAGGGGCCATACTGATAAGAGCTATAACGAGTGCAAGTTGAGTATATGCGCTTCAAATTGTATGCAAGGGGCTTACAGATCAAAAAAGCGGAGGATATGATCTTCCATGGAATGGTTTTGTGCGTGAACTAGAGCTGCTTTAGCATAGTGATTTAGATAGACTGGAGAGAAAGACACACTTGGCTTGACGTTCCCCTGCTGCGCACGGACATAACTAAAGTACTCCCTCATCTTGAGTACATCCACGTGCTTCGCAACAGCTCCCTTGCCGTTCCCCTTGGCGGTAATCTTGATCTTCTTGCTCTCCGTGGCCCAGTCAGCCTCTCTGTTGCCCTCTGAGTTCTCAACACCCTCGCGCGAGCCGAAGACGGACTTGGCAAGAGATTTCTTCCCCCTAGTTCTCTTACCCTTGCCCTTCTTCGCTGAGGGGTCAAAGCTCTCCTCGCCCTTAGGAGGAACCTCGATAGAGGCAGCCGCAGACTTGGCAACCCGCACAGAGACCCGACGTTTCTTCTTCGGCCGCTCCTTCTCTTCCCCCTCGTCCTCTATACCATCCTCCTCCTCCTTCTCTTTCCCCTCCACAGACTGCGCCGCACGCTTGCCCGCCTTCGTTCTTGACGTCAGAGTGCGTTCAGGTTCGCTGTCGGAGACCTGCTCCGCCTCGTCATCCTCTTTAGCGAGGGTCGCAATATGCTCGACTTCTTCAAGATCGGATGGTTCATAGGTGCTGGTAACGTCGTCAACATCTGAGATGTCGGCAGTCGTTTGTAGAGGAGTCGCAGAAGCAGACGACTGAGACTGTTTCTCCTTTCCGCCCGACGCTATGTTCGACCGCTTTGCCGGGAACGACAGCGATGTTTGTTTGAGTATTTTCGGTTTTATAGTTCTGCGAGCCATCGTTGAGGACAGCGGAACCCAGGTGTTAACCGAAATGCTTGACAGTGAAGTTGTAGGAGTTGTAGGAGTTGTAGGAGTTGTAGATGGAGGGAAGAAGGAAGCTGTCTGGAGGGATATCAATCAACCGACCAACATTAGTAGGCATTAATGGGGTAGTGGTAACCTGGGTCGTTGCCATCGACCCGCCGGGGGTTCGATTCCCCCTTAATGCATTTTCCCAGGCTCACTTTCTACTTTTTATTTTCTCGTCTTGCGGTCATCCAGCGGTCATCTACCAGGAGTCAGGACTGACTTCTAAGTATCTCGCCGAATCACTAGCTTTTTCAGCCTTCGGTTTCCTAAGTTCCTGCTTCGACTCCCCTTAAGCTTCATTATGAATGCCTCAACTTCAAGCTCCCATGCTTCAGATATCAGGTCCCAACGTTCAACACTGGTATATTCCTCTTCTCTACAGTCTCTTCATCCTACATCCTTACATGCTGGCTCTATGTTAGAACACTTCTGCACATCGATGACATCCGCAACGTTTGCAGGTGCTCGCGGGGCCGTCCGCTGTCGCCAACAGTCGCGGTATATCGACGGAGGCCAGTCTTTGTCGTACATATTTCTGTGGTATCTTAGCAATACTACTTGTCCAAGCGTATCGAAGAGGCTGTGGACATTAAGGACACCGCCAGTCCTGAACTATCTGACACACGCCTGAACTTCACACAGTAGGAGGAGATTAACAGCCTTTTCACCAAAGTCGGCGGTACACCGAATAAGAAATTTCCTGGTTTCTTCAAGCCGATGGCGGCAGCTACGGCTCGTCCCACTTAGGGGGCGTACCTCTGTACCAACTCATCGCTGCCCCGCCTTCAGCATCATTAATGGCAGCTCGCATGGCAGAAACAAGCTCACTTTCCAGAAGTTCAGAGGCGGTAAATATGTCCACGACCTAAAAGGCCTCGACACAGGTCCAACGAAGTGGCAATCGGGCAAGAAGTTAGCGGAGCGCCGCTTGCTCCGATACCTTCAGAAGTACCCAATCGAGTTTGAAGATCTACTCAACCAGGATGGCAGGGTCAAGTTCAAGGTAACTCGGGCATCGAATCGCTGCGGAAGATCTCATTGGCACTAACCCACGACGCATCAAGATTGAAGAAGAGGCGGCAAACGGCCACTTGCTCGAGGTTCACCAGATCTGGACAGTATCATAGATGACTTAAGCGTGGTTCCGAATCACATTGATAGAGTGATTAACAGCGCGCAGCAAGCGCAATCAGATGGCTATGGTGATACCAAAGGCACATTCATCGCGGACTTTCTTGTTGGTCTTGGCCTTGGACAGATAAAGGCTATTGCCCTGCCATGAATCGACGCGTGGCTAGGAACAGTGCTCAGCTTCGCATCGAGTACGCCGTCGAATCCCGCTCTGGGTTGTGTTGCTGACGTCAATCAACCAGGGAAAGCTCGGAGGCGAGTCCCTTTCACTCACGAGAAAGGCTTCTTAGCTGCCCATAGCTCACCCGCTCTACTCAAGACGTAAAGAGCACTCTGTATCAAGATCTGCAGGCACAATTCGCTAGCTTTGTACTAGCAACTTTTCAATCGATCTCTGTCATTCAAGGTCCTGGTCCTACTTACACCGCTTCAGGTTTCAAGGCTTGGCGACTGAAGAGAGCTGATTCAGTTCGGCGCGGCACGGCTCAGACACCGGCGTGGCTCAGACATCGGCGTGGCTCAGACGTTACCGTGGCTCAGACACTGGTGTGGCTCAGACGTTACCGTGGCTCAGACGTTACCAGACACACGGTGTCTTAGCCACGACCGTGTCTCAGCCAGGACCGAAGGGCGCTTATGAACGGCTAGGCCGGTGCAATGAAGAACATTGATATCACGGACAGCAATAGGGTCTGTGCCTCTTTAGGCCGGCGCCGGCGCCATAGACATCACACATCTCCTGTCTCCGTGCTCCAATCAATCCCAGTTGTCATACTTAGAATCCTGTTGGCACAGGTATGCCCGGATATGGCGGCGTTCTGGACGTTAGCATTGGCGTTTCCCTTCTGAGTCGCCCAATGATAGGCGAGCAGAGCGAGTACATAAAGCTTGAGATGGACTGCTGCTACATTACCCCACCCAACATCTCTACTTGATTCACCGCAACCATGGAGAGCAACGTATGCGCTGTCCGCTTCTACTCGAGTTCTCTATCCACTGACTGCTCATATTGCAGAGCGCCCAGGCACTACCGAGCATTGATCGTCCAGACCAGATGCTTACGGTATGTATCATTACCTACATCTCCGCCTTACGCTCATGCACTTCCTTTGCAGTGGAATCAGCTGAAGGAGCAACTACAACATGAGTGCGAGCACGACGCACGCATCAGCCCTCTTCTTAACGTTATTAAGGCTGTAGAGGCTCCAGAGATCGATTACTACAGCCCGGAAGTGCAGAAGATCATCGACGACATGTCCGAACTCGACAAAACGATCACTCCCGCGCCCACTCTCCCGCCTCCCAAGTTCAAAGTCGTGCCCTTTATCCCAAAGGTAGAGCGAGACGTCCATGATCTGGAGAACAGAGTAGAGTCCTTCGTCGACAAAGTCGAGGAGAAGGTCGAGGCGTTCTTCGAAGCGGCGACAAAGCCCTTCGTTGGCGACCCGGCGGTGCAGCAGATCATTGGCGTCGACGAGTTCCAGAACTGGGGGAAGAACGTCGGCTTCCGTGCGAGCTATCAGCTCGTTGTGCGTTCTATCGACGGCGTGTGTAATGTCGTCAAGTGGGCCGCCTCCCAGGGCAAGAGAGTTCGCGTCGCTGGGTTCCGGCACAGCTGGAGGTTTGTCGTCAGCCTTCTATTCCTTCTATTTCTCTGACAATGCTTTCTACAGCGAGGTTTTTGGACAGAACGGGGACGTTATCATCATGTTCCTGCCATTTGATACGCTTGTGACGCTGCCGTATAAGAGTCCGCCTCCGGATTGGAAGACCGAGCTGTCTGGAATTACACCTGCTACTAGTGTTGCTGGGAGGACACCTTCGCCTGGGCATTCATTCTTCAAGATTATGGCTGGTACCACGAACGATCAGTTCCGTCAGTGGTGCTTTGACAACAAGAAGCACTGCTTGCCATTTAATGTTATCATGGTCGAGGTGAGCTAATCCAAATACTAGCAGTATGCAATTCACATCTAATTTTTCTGTCGTCCAGGTCACCTTTGGCGGAACGAATGGTCCGATCTGTCATGGCTCCAGCCTGTCCTCCACCACTCTTTCAGACCTCGTGGTTGAAGTCGAGTACGTCGATGCCAAGGGCATGCTCCGCAAGGTGAACGATAGGAACGAGCTCCGCGCAGCAAGCGGCGCATTCGGGCTCCTTGGTATTGTCGTAGCACTGACGCTACAGCTCGACGACATGGGCGTGACAGACATGATGCCCTTGAAGGTGCCGATGCCGCTCGCGATCCCGCCGCCTCCGGGCTTCGACATCCCGTCCGAAGTGAAGAAAATAATCGCCGACAAGAATATCACAAATGAGGATCTGGCGAAAGCGCAGAAGGAATTCGAAAGGCGCTGCGAGACAGACTACTATCTCGAGTGGTTCTGGTTCCCCTATCAGGACGACTGCTGGGTCAACACATGGTCGAGTGAGCTGCGCTTTCTCGGTTGATGTGGACACGACTGATGTCGACTGCTTACAGAGCGTCCGAGAACGGCTCACGACGTGAATATCCAAGCGTACCCAGGAGTCGGTCTTCTGGATGGCGTCAAGTCTCAGCAGGTTAGCCGTGTCTACTCCGTGGCCTCAGTAGTTCTCGCTGACACGTCATCCTGCAGATCCAAGCGTCCTTGGCAGAGTCTGTGGTGAGCTACACGCCCTTCCGGTGGCTACCTGGCCGACTGCAGGCGTTCACGATGGGCGCCGCGGCCATGCTTGCGCTGCCAAGCATCTCGGATCCGGCAAAAGCTATCCGAACCCTCCAGAGTGAGGCAGAGCATTTCCGACGCGGAATTCGTGGGTATACCCCCTATATATGTGCCCCATGCTTTGCTCACCAGTGCGGCACAAAACAGAGAACTATAGGTGCTGGGACACCGAGTGGGAAATACCGGTCCCCACGGTTCAAGGGAAGCCGAAGTACGAGGTCATCCAGCGCGCCTGGTGAGTGATTCCTTTCCCCACACTTCCCGTGTGCGCGCCAGTACTCACACAGCGCGACAGGTGGGATGCTATCGCCGCGATGTACTCACGCAAGGACGCGCCGGTGCGCGTCGCGCTCGAGATGCGACTCACGGGCGGGTCAGACGTGCTGCTCGCGCCACAGCGAGGCAACACGGCGACGTGCTCAATCGAGGTACTCACGACACTGATCACGCCGCGGGATGACTGGGCGACGTTCATGCAGCAGGTTGCAGACAAGTGGACGGCTTACGACCTGCGGGATGAGCAGGGCCGGACGCTGTACCCGCGGCCGCATTGGGCCAAGCAGTGGAAGGGCCTCATCGTGCGTGGGAAGCCGGTTGAGCAGTATCTCAGGGAGGACGCATACAAGGAGGCGTTCGCTGAGTTTAGGGAGGCGTTCAAGGGTATTGTGCAGAGGAACCAAGGGACTGTCAAAGAGACTCTAAGGGTATTTGGAAATGACCTTATGGTTAGATTAATTTTCCCGTGAGCCCACACCATGTCCTCGTCTAGGCAAATTATGCACTTGTATCACGCGGCGACCCTCTGTATGACCTTGTATCTGACCCAACGTATTTAATTCACAGTGGTTTCACTCTGACTTGTGATATTCGACGTGGCATGATGTAGGAACGGCGGAGTTCCGCGTATCAAGCTTTCAAGTCCATACTCTCACATCTGTACATTTGCACAGCAGAAACATTTAGCGGCGCTTCGAAAAACTTAAAACGACCGAAGCGGGCACGAGAGCTCTACACCCTGAGAACAGCGAACACTCGTTGAATGCGTCACGAATCACGAGTGCGACGCCGCTATGCCTTCTGCGGACGAATAGCCTGTGGCGCAGGCCACCTGTCGCAGTGCCCAGCCGCTTTGTATACGATATTGTAGTCAGACCCGTCACCCTAGCATCCAAGGATCCGAGATGAGCTAAATAACTTCTTGGTAATGACAGCGGGGACGCTTACGAAGAGTGAGTATGGGAAACCCTTGTTGAAGGGCACCGTGTCGGTCAGTAACTTCATCTGCTCGGGACTGAGAGAGATGTCGAGTGCCTCGATGTTGGCGTGCAGATGCTCGATCTTACGCCCGCCAATGACGGGGAAGACGCGAGGGGCCTTCTGCATGAGATACGCGATGGCGACTGGTTCTTTAGTGAGCAGAGCACGCTCAGATAGTAGACAACGGGCGTACCTGATGTGATGTTCTTCGCCCCGACCTCTTCGGCGACCTTCTCCAGAGCCTTGCAAACTCGGCGTTCTGTCTCGTTCCTGAGCCAGCCGTCTCGGAACTGTAGCATTGTGCGGCCGCCCTCGCCTGACTGCATCCGTCGCTCCTCCTCTGCGTCTGTTCGTATCCTGCCGGCCACAAGCACGTTCCATGGCGCCACGGCCATGCCTATTCCAATGTCTTATTCAGCACAGTATTACAAGACGGCGCAGATCCGTATACGAACCTTCGTGGATGCACATGGGCAGGATATCGCGCTCGAAGTCGCGCTGGATGATATTCCACTCGCCCTGGTAGATCACAAACGGCGTCTTGCCACTCATGCGCGCGTAGTTGTTCGCCTTCGAGACAATCCACGCGGGTGTGTCGGAGATGCCGAGATATAGGACCTTACCCTGCGCGACGAGATGGTGCAGCCCGTTCATGACCTCCTCAACGGTACAGTTGTAGTCCCAGAAATGCAGGTACAAAATATCGATGTAGCTCGTGCGCAGCTTACGCAGCGAATCGTTGACCGAGACGTGCATTGATTTGAGGTTGTTACCGACAAATTGCGTCTTCTGCGGGATCTCTTCGAAACTGGCTCCCCGCTTGTAAAGCAGACTATACTGTAAGATTGTCAATGCGGGATATTTCGCAATGCTTTTGATGTACAGACCTTGGTGGAGACGACCATCTGGTCCCGAACGCCCCGAGATTCCATCCACTCGCCGATGAACTCCTCAGAAGTTTCATCTTGGCTGGTTTCGGTTTAGCGATCGACGTCCATACAATCCGTAGATTGAAACTCACTAGACGTTGGCTGTATCAATGAAGTTTCCGCCAGCCTTATGATATGCATCGAGGAGCTTGAAGCTGCTTTCCTTGTCCATCGTGCCCATGCCGACACGATGCCATTTGTCGCCAATGCTCATCGCGCCGAGCTGGATTGGGGACACATGAAGACCCGCCCCAACCGCGAGCTGTCTATGGCGACCAAGCTTGGTCGGAGGCTCAGGTGCAGGTGCCCAGACGCTGCTCATATTATAATCAGAGGTGGTACGGCGACAAGGCAGTGCTAGTGACGGGGGAGAAAGTAGTATCTCACAATACGTTTGACAGCTGGTGTTATATGCCCCGCAGGCTACAGCCTGGAACATTCAATACAACTAACCATGCTGTGAAATTTGTTACTTCCTCTTTCTCCCGTCGGCCGGGGCTTTTCCAAGCTACACGTTGAGGTGCGCTGTTCCCAGTGTTCCGGGACAATTCAAAAGTTGAGATGTTGATTTCCTGAGAACAGGTAAGTTCCAACCTCCTGTTGTTACCTAGCGAATACTATACCTTTGATCCGCATATCTGTTTTGCGTTCGTTATGAACGAATATGAAGAGCTCGTGAGAAAGAGCCAGCAGGAGATTCGTCACGTGTTCTCGTCTGCTCTCGTCGTTTACTTGGGTTAGGGGTTGGTGCCACAAAACTGAAGTACTATAGTAGGTTCCGCATTCGGATGCACCGCCTTAACCCTGCCATACAATTTGAAGTCCATGAGCGCTCCTCTCATTTGCTCTAGATCTCCCTCTCGGCTTCATCGTCATTTGGCACTCCCGTCACACGCCCCAGCAGTTTCCCCCGCCATCTCTTTCCCCGACGCGGGACCTCTCGCGCGGGGTTCTCCGTCTAGCTCATCCGGGGAATGGGGAGGCAACACGCTGTCGCCGTCGCTTTCTGCATTCTGCAGGTATCGTTCGTGATCTCCGGACGTGTCGTGCATACACTCGATGTTCGACAGGTGCGAGACATTCTAGACAGTCCCTTGTGCAGGGCACTCCGGACGCTTCATCTGCGCGGTAGAAGCCGATGGACTGCAAGACATCCTGCGCACTTTTCAGCGCGAATGTTCAGCGCGAATACTATAAGGAGAGAAGGCGCGACGAACCGAGCCTAATTATGATACTAGACTAATGCGCAAGTGGCGAGACCCTTCGGGAGAGACGTTGGCTGAGACTCATGATCTCCGGGAACAGATTAGCCAACGCGGTGAATGACCTACGATGATAGATCCTCTGCTGCCGCAAACAGTATCAACAACGTACAGGGCGTGTGGGATGCACCTTGTCATAGTCTAGCCTCATACTATTCCACCACTCGACTAGCCACGGATACAACTTAAGCCGGGAACTTCCCACCCCGTAGCGCTCCCCTGTCATGAATGTTTAGCGTAGAGAAGAGAAAATGACAATTTCTAGCGCAAATCCAACAGACATCTACAGGCCGCGTTGCCTAGGCCCCTTGCCCCACTTCTCAACCAAAAAATCGTGCATGAACTCGTACACCTCGCGATTCGCGCCGCGCTTGTATATTGAGTGGTCGCTGTCCGCACGTTAGCCCCCGACGCCTCGCCAGACCGCAGGACAACAGCGGCAACGCACCTGTCGGTAAACATCCGGAAGCGGAACCCGCGCACCTTCTCGGCAGTAAGCATGTCGAGCAGATGTGCCGAGTTGGCGTAGTGCACATTATCGTCCCCACTGCCATGCGCGAAGAGGAAGTCAATGTTGTGGAAGCCCGTGACGTTCGAAATGGAAGCCGTGACGTAGCCATCGGGATTTACTTGCGGCAGGTCCATGTACCGTTCGGTGTAGATAGTATCTAGAAAGTGATGTCAGACATGCATGTGCTGATACATGCGGGCTAGGCGCACCGTAGAGTCGCCAGCTTGTTGGGGGCTAGACTAGTGGTAAGCACGCAGGAAGGTGGTTAGCGCACACGAACACGCACAGCAACAGCCATAGCCAGCGAATGAACACCAGCATTTGCTTCAGCAATCTTGCAGCTCATGAACCCTCCGTACGACTGAGAGGGTCAGTGAGCGTCAAATCATGCAATGCAGAAAGGATAACCACATACCCATCCCCAGATACCAATTCGCTTCGGGTCGACGTACCCCTTCGCAGCCCACAACCTCCAGGCAGCTCGGTCAGTACATGTTTGTCTAGCGGACCTCGCACGACTCACTTCGCAGCATAGATCTGGTCAACCGTCTCCCAGTGTCCAAGATTATCCTTCAAAGGATTCCGCAAGTGCCTGCCCTTGAAACCGGTGCCGCGCCCGTCGACGGTGACGACGACGTACTTGTGGTACGCTGCGAGGAAGTGATGCCAGTCCATAACGTAACGGAGGTCCACCAGCTGCGAGCCTGGGCCGCCGTAGACGTAGAAGAGCACCGGGTACTTGGTCTTGCCCGAGTCGTCCATGCGTGGTGGGCGAATCTCGCGTACGTTCAACTCTGCGAACGTCAATGAGTGAGAGACAGCCACACAAGTAGAAGCCAAATACCATAGCCGTCGTTCGTAATTGTCGTGTGGCTGATCACGGGTAGCTCGTACTGGGCGAGAGTAGCGTTGAGAGCGCTATTATCCGTGAAAGGGTAGTTGAACGCTGCGAAGAGAAATGTAAACAATAACATGAGCTTCTCGCAGTGCTTCCACCTACAAGCGTTGTTCGCCTGAACCATTCTTTGCCATGGCGCATTCGGACCCTGGTACGTCAGCAGGTAAAATTCAGCCTGTGGAGAGAAGCTTGCAGAATAGTATCCAGGCATTGCGTGACTGGTCAACGCGTTCGGTCCCACTATGGTAGTGTTCGTCTTGGGTATAGAGGCAGAATAGAGGTGGCGCTCTAACGATGATGGGTTTGTAGCAAGGAAGTATCTGTTATATTTGCAGTTAGTGGTGGAAAAGACACAAGCATTTGGAGTATATGCGCACACCAAACTCTTTCTAGAGTCCACGGCAAGGATCTCTGTAACTTCCCATTCACCAGAAGTAAGAAATAGTGGCGTGTTCGATGTTGGGGGATGGAAGAGGGCGACATGATTATAACCCTCCTTCGAGGGAACAATGTCGAGATATCCAGCAGTTCCTTCAGCGGACATGCTTGGAGGCAGGGGATGGATGGCATGAATCTGGCAAACACATCAGTACTATTTACTACCGATGCACACACATTACTTACGGCCTCAATCCAACCCTCATCCCCTTCTTCGCCCTCCTGCCCGAGCGTTCTGACGACCTGGCCACGCCCAGTAGCACTCCCCTCGAAATTGAAGAGCACAATGCTGCCATTGACAGCAGAACGACCCAGTTCCTCTACAAGTAGCGTAGAATTGCTCACCCAAGCGACGTCCTGTACAACCCGACTTTCGGGTGCAAGGCGGTGATCCCACGTCAGCTCGAGGCTCGCCTGCGCGACTGCGACAGCTTCGGCGTCGCCTGCAGCCTTCATGTTCTCGTACTGGTCAAGCCCAAAGACGTGTATCGACACCAGCGGATTGCTGTAGCCCGGCTTTGGGTACTTCATCGTGACGTGTCCTGGGTAGGGTACGACCTCGGACGAGTTCTCGGTGGGGTTGTAAATTGGGAAGGTATACTCGTCTACGGCGGTTTCATCGAAGCGCAGGTACGCGAGCTTCGCGGAGTCGGGCGACCACCAGAGTGCGAAATCGGCTGCGAAGACTTCTTCCTCATATACCCAGTCCGGCACGCCATGGAAGAGTGAAGCGTTCCCCGAGGAAGTGATCTGAATGGGCGTGCTGGATGAGGGATGGGGAAGGATGTATAGGTCATTCTGTGTAACGTATGCTATAGCCTGTCCGGTTGGTGACCACTTGGCGTAGGCGGTCAGCGGCGGGTTTGTTGGAGCAATTAGTGGGTGAGTCGTTTGGCTTGTTAAGTCGTGAATGTAATAGTTGCCAAAACTTGAGTGCCGCCATAACTGTATTGTCTAAGATGTATGTTTTGCAAGCTTCAGGAAGGAGCGCACCTTGACGTGGTCCGACTTGATGAGGATGTACTTCATGTCCGACGATAATTCCCAACTAGCCCACGATAGAGGGATATCGTGAATCTGAGAAACAAATTAGACACGAGAATTACTCCTGCCGTGCAGCTCACATCTCTAACGTCGCTCATCGTAACTAGTTTCGTGGTCTTATTCGACTTGAGGTCCACAAGGGATATGTCACCATATTGACTGATTGCAAAGACACCGTCACCAGCTGAGCATGTTATGAGAGACTTCCAGGTACCAAAGCTAACTTGTACACGCACCCTCGGGGACCCAGCGCACGGAACCAGTCTGAGCACTGAACGTTCCGTTAAAAATGTGCTCCATCGTGATGTGCTGCGTCCCGTGAATCTGAAACGAGGTACCTCTGTACGACAAAGCGGCGAATACCCCTATGACTGTAGCAATAGTTACAAGGGTCGAAAGACATATGACAAGCCAGCGCAGCGACGACGGTCGATGATGCTTCTACGGGACCTAGATGTTCAGCATGCTCAAAGCGCAGCAGCAACATCCAGCGCACCTTCCCACCTACAACCAGTTCTCCGTCTTCATCCCCTAAGATGTCTTCCTGCTGCTCCGCATCTCCAGGAGACTTGCGAGAGAGGCTCTTCTCGAGCAACATCTCGTCTTCATCGTCCGGCGAACTCGGTGGATCGAACTCGCCCTCGTCATAGTATGTCACGGGTTTAATGGCTTCTGGAGGATATTTTCCGTCTGCCTGTAGGTTGTATTCGCGGTCTTCATCCTGCGGGACGGGGGAGTAGTCCGGCGTTGGCATTTGTGGTGGACGTCAAAACGCTGCAAGGCGCTTCCGCCTCCCCTCGCCAAAGCAACATGTTTCAGAGCAAAATTGTCCAAAGAATTGCGAAACAGATCTCGCCTATAGATGAATTATGATGACCATAAGACGAAAGAAGCATAAGAAAAAGGCGGGCGATAGAAGTGTCGAGTAAAAGGCGTGCCCATTGCCCAGTAAAATGCATTAAGGGGGAATCGAACCCCCGGCGGGTCGATGGCAACGACCCAGGTTACCACTACCCCATTAATGCCTGTTACATCGGCTAAATCAGTAGCTAATATCTCGATGTCCAGCGGTCTCTGGATTTGTCACTTGCCTGCCACCCGCCCACTAGGTCACCACCGGCAATGGCGAAGCAGGGCTCGTCGACTGGATGGGATCCTGTACTCGTAGTATCTCAAATAATATCGATGCAGACCTTGCATTACCTTACTCTCGCCTTTCTCACTCCTCCTCTTCTTACTCTCTTCGCGGAGCCGTCCTCACTAGAGTATGAAGGTGGCGCAGCCAATGTTGGTATGCCCTCGTCCTGCCCATTAATCCTGATGCTCATTTTATCCAATCATTGGCTGGCCAGGGATGATAATGGACTGGAGACACATGGCAGGAAAGCCAACGTCAACAACGGCGGACCCGTGGGCAACCCTCAACAGTGTATGGAGTGGTGGGAGGCAGGTTGGCGTCGGTGAGGTTGAGGACCGTTGGAACACTCAATTAGACCCCAGGCGAGGTTGGATTATTGCCGCATGCTGGATTGGCGCGTCCTGTGTGAAGTACGTATTCTTCATCCAGGCTTTAACGGCACTCTGACGCATCGTAGCGTGTTCTACCTCTATACTCTTGTCCGCCGCCCACGCCTTATCCTCGACTTCACGTTGACACTACTCTTCAACCACTTGCTGCTGACGACCTACTACACCGCATCTGTGCCGACCTCTCTGTTCTTTTGGCTCATCATGGCTGCGTGCGCGATATTGATGGTCGCCGCGACTGAGCAACTGTGCGTACGCCGTGAAATGCGCGAAGGCTTAACGGTGATTTCGGGGACAACCTCGCGTGCCAGGGAAGCTGGGGACGAGGTCGAAATGGGCAGCCTATTGCGGAGAGACTAGACTTTACAACTTCACGGGATGTACGTCCTTCCGCATTACTTCTGTTTTACCTCTTAAAACCTGGCCGAGTACTTCTAGAGAGATGTAATCTACACTGAATTTGGTCACGCATATTTATTTAAGACTCGCATGTTTTTCACTGTCTGGGTTCGGAGTTAACATCAACGCCTAAACATCTGCTCGACTACACCCAGCTTTCAGTAAGACCTTTTCCAAGAAAAAGAGAAGTCCGCAATTCTTAACGGATGCCGCTTGGTGCGGAAGCAAATACATAAATCTTCTGCCTGCAACAAGGAGGATTGAACGCATATTTGCGGCACTTGTGTTGGAATGGTGTGTGTACATTACTCTTCTGCTGATGAATGGTTGTCGCATTCAGATGCTTTCCCATGACATCCCCTTAGAGTGCCTGGTACTGAATAGGCCGCGGTCTCACTGTATGTTGTGTCTTGATTGACGGTGTGCGGACGCTGTAAATAAACAACTTTCACCCGTTGCCTCTCGTTGCGGAGCTCCGCGTGCTTTCTGGCGACTGGGCTTGAGCTACGCTCAGGCTTTGGCTGGAAACTGAATCCACTGTTGTTTCTGTTTGTGTCGCGTCCAATGACGAACCACCCAAATCTGAAGGCAATGCCGGCTGGTAGTGATATCATGAATCATAGGGATCACTCTGTCCCCGGTGTGGAACATACTGTAATGTGGCGGAGCCGCAGTGTGGCTATTGATATGAAGATGGTGGTTTTGTAGCGCTTGTTTGCCCTCACTATTTCCCGACGATCTTAACCAACGGTACTTCTACAAAGCCCAGCATCTTAGCCCACATGCACCTAAATCGATATCTGTACATGTAGGAAGTTTCAGCGAGAAGTTTACATAAGTGTAGTGTAGTGTTTTAGCGCAAGTCCTTACATGGATTGGCAATCTTCTAAAACGGCTACATTTGGTTACATCCACCCCAGTGAGACTAGAGCAACCTCAGGCCCTCATGTAGCAGTAGTTCTACGGGCCTTTACGAACAAACGGAAAGAAAAGAGACTAGAGCAACCCGGAATGCGTTATACACCAAAGACCCCCCTCCTTTCCTCATTGCGATTATCCCGACACGCACCACAAAGTCCCCTGAAAGAACAGCTTTCTTCCACCTTGGCATGTAAAAGTAATATCGGGACATTCAAGATCATTCATATCGCATATTTCAAGTGCGCCAGGAAGCCGCAGCCAAGCCTTGACTGAGACATTTCAGTGTGGATGAGCCGCCTCCTTGCGAGCGCGCCATACTTACGTAAGGCGGCCTGGAAAGACACCCCTGGGTTGCATATAAAGCTCACCGTGACACCGGCAGCACATAGCAGCTCATTCAACGAAAACGTAGATCTCCAATCCTACATCGCAGCTTAGACATCAACATTCAACTCTGGCAACATGAACGTTGTTATCGTCGGCGGACACGGAAATGTATGCACATTCCGACTTGCTATCCTTGCATCCCTTTTTGCGCGAAACTCATACGGACACAACAGGTCGCGATGCGTCTCACACGCCTGCTCACACCTCGGGCCAATACGAAAATTGTCTCGATCTTCCGGAATCCCGCGCACTCTGACGAGGTTTCCGCTACTGGTGCAACGCCGCTCGTGCTCTCTCTCGAAGACGCTCCTAAGGAGAGGTTCGCTGAAGTTTTTGGAGGAATCGATGTCGTGTATTTTTCTGCGGGGGCGGGCGGCAAGGGTGAGCCTGATCGTACACGCAAGGTCGACTACGATGGCGCACTGAAAGTCTTCGACGCCCTCGAGCTCGTACGTGGCCCCAAGCCGCGGCTGATTATGGTCTCCGCATTGGACGCTCGCGACCGAAACATTCGTCCGCCTCACTACGTAAGAATAGCTTTGATAACGCTAGGAACGAGCAGCAGCTGACGAGAAACGTTGCAGACTGACGAGGACCTAGAGCATTCCGTCGCAGCCTGGAAAATGCTCGGGGCGTATATACAGGCCAAATACGACGCAGACAAGAATCTGGTCGGGCGTACAGCGTTCAAATGGACCATCGTCCGTCCGGGCGCGCTCACAAACGAGCCAGGCACCGGACGGGCGACGGTGGGCAAGGCGCCCCTGAAATCCGTCATATCTGTGAGTGGCGCTGTATTCGCGATATTTTGTGCACGAACTGACTCGCGTATAGCGTGATGACGTCGCACTAACGCTGGCGTTGCTGGTAGACCGACCGGATGCTGCTGGACTGGCCATCGACCTTAACGGCGATAATGACGAGATTGAACAGGCGCTGGACGCCTTCATCAAGAAGGGAGAGACCGACTTTCTCGGCTGACGTGGACTTATGTAAGACGGTAATTATCGTCGATTATACCAGATAATAATGTATTACTAGTAGCACGCCTACGATCGCCCTTTCATTATCTGCTAGTGAGATAGTGCTTAGGCAGCCATTTTGGAACTGTCCAAGCACGGTCCAGAATGCTGCTTGCTATCATCCCAGCAATGGCTTCAGCACTGCAAGCATGGAACGTTAGACCAAATCGATAGATGCGCACGGAGGGACTTTACCAAGCAAAAGCTCGGGGCATGCCATGTCCCGAGAAACCAGCTGAGAGATACTGGCCTTTGAATACCTTCTCGTTACCCGAGGGGTCAATGACGGGACCAACCTAGTAGTGGCTTGTTAAGGCGTACACCACCGGACCAACTGTATACGCACCAATGGATCGCTGGTTTTTGTGAAGCCCATTATACCGGACTATGAGGTCAAATTAACAACGGAATGCACGCATATATAAACCAAAACATACCCATTCAACCTCAGGCTCTCGGCCCTCTTGGTACTTGCCCGGGAAGACGCTTGGCAGAAACATCCTCATCGCCCTGCCAACCTCCTCATTACACACCGAATCGTCGACCTCGTACAGCTCGTACTGCGGCTTCGCAGTCTCGCGCCCACCGCCGAGGGTGACTAGCGGCGCCACCTCGCCCGCCTTTATCGGCCGCGGAAACCAATATTCAAAGCCCTCGTTGCCGGACCACGCAACCTTCGTGATCACGTCTGGGGGAGCAGCAGCGCGGACCGCGAGGACCTGGCCGCGCGTCGGGATAACGCCCTCGGGTCCAGACAGATGCGGAAGGAGGTGCGAGACGTAGGCGTTCGTAGCATGCAGGACATACGAACAGGAGACGCTGCCCGGCGGCGTTTCGGCTGACCATCGGCGGACGGACGAAGGGTCGCTTGTGTCAGACAGTCGTTGAACGGAGGTGACGGGTGTGTGAGTATGCAGATCCATAATGAAATTCGGAGTGTGGTCTTTGGTGAGGTTGTAAAGCAGCCCAACGGTCTTCAGAGGCGATAGGTTGTTGCCTGGCAAGCGCACACCCGGATACGATGCACTGTATTGCTGTTGGCCTACGTCAACGGGGTGCGCCGAGAACAGACAAGACTAGGGTCGTCACAAGTGCGGCCAAAAATCAGCGTACTCACAGCCTGGAGATCTTCCTTGATCGTCCATTCGACGTAACGAACGTCGACGCCTGTCTTCTGAGCGGCGGCAAAGCCTGCTTTCGCGCCGACGTATTCCTTCTCGCTAAAGAACAGCTCTACGTGCCCGCCGGATACGACATCTAGCTCGGCTTCTTGCTTGGCTTCGCGGACAACCCTCAGCAATTCTGCGATGTTGTACCTTTGAAGGGCAACTTCAGGCAGTGCTTCGTCTCGACCATAGACCTTTTCTCAGACGGCAAAGCCCTCATACACAGCAGCAGTGAGATGTCCACCGTTCCGCCCTATACAGCACTTTACATGACGTATGCTTTGAGGGACTGAGACCCGGAGCCGGCTTACCAGTCGCCCCAGAACCTGTAACACGCTCCCGGACATCAGACGCAGACTCAGGACACGAGAACGCGCGAGAGCTAACAGAATTATCTTGCTTCAAGTATTACAGCTTTAACAGGCCGCGGGAGGCCGTTCTCTCGAGCGAAGAGCTTCGCCAGATGATATGCTGCGGATACACCAGTGATCCCGAAGCCAATAATGCAGATATCCGTGTCATTTGTGAGCGTCCCATCGCCGCCAAAGTCCGGTGCAGGTATTATGTCTCGGTCTCTCTGCCAGAATGAGATAGTAGGATTTGGGACCGGGAGAGCCTTGCAAGGAGAAGGGCTAGTTGCTGCGTCTTCAAGAACGGCTTGCTGTTCTGCATGCACGTTCAAAGGTACGGCAAGGCTCAGATGGGGCATATGCATGCTTAGAGGTTAGAGTTCAAAGCCTATCGACGTGCAAGCGCGCTGGAGTATCGTCACGCATCACACGGCAAAGCGAGGGTGACCCGAGTGACGCTGAATGTGACAGCGACGTTTCCGCTACGGTCCTCGGCTCGCCAGACTTGTCTACTGCTTCCTCGATTCCTCCTCCTCCTCTGATACCCATAATTGACACTCGTTTCAAACGCTTGGATACTCAATCTTGACGTAACTTATATACCTGTAGCTTCCTGCACGACTTTACGACTCTGGAAATCTGTCGCCAGTACTTCTAATTACAACCGACGATGGCACAACCACTATTCAACGAGCATCCTCTTCAGGAGTACTTTCAAGGCACGTCGCATACTTAGTACGGTAGTCATATACGTCACTAAAATTCAGGTTGAACAGAGACAGGCGAAGACTCAGAACCTATGCCCGGAAGCGACGCACAGTTCATCGTAGAGGCGGGTCCCAGGGACCCGCTTCCTCAGGAATCGGTAGCTGCTCAGCTCGTCACGAAAGCCCTGCAGCGCGTACACGTGAGTCCTAAAGCACTGCTTGCCACTACTCCTCCCCCCGCTTTCTCCCCTGCCCCACGCTACACGTGCTGCTGGAGCGGTCGGTCGGTCGGAAACGAGTCTCGCTTGCGGCACGTCGTGTCTGATGGGCTCTTTCGCCGCGCGTGCACACATGCATGTTGCTAAGAGATCCCCATCAGACACAGCATGACCTCGGCCTGACTATTCACTCGAGTCGCCTGCCGCTGACATGTCCGTCATGACGCCTGCAGGACGTCTACAACTCGCTGTCTACGCACCGACCGAGCTCATCAAATACGTTTGCGGAACGCTTCAAATACGACGTCATATCATCGTCGCTCCTGTCGATATCACTAGCTGCTTCGCCGAATCCGGCTCGTCGGACATTCAAGCCAGAGATACCTGGTCGTCTGCGTGGTTCCGCAGGAGGCCATTCAAGAGCTTCGAGCACGACTGAAGATGACGAAGCTTTGTCACATCATTACAAAACGGTTGAAGAGTCAACGAACGTACGGGGCACGATAACCGTCGTCTCAGTGGCCGTCGTCGCTTTAGCAGCAGGCTACGAGTTTCTCGGGCTCTTGATGCTTGCGAGCGTCCTTTACTTCGCAAAAGCGGTACGGCCAATACAGGACGTTGCGGATGCACATGCGTTGGTATGTTGAATTGTGCTAAATTTAGCGCAATGCAGCTCACCTCGTTATCACAGACATTAGATGCACTAAATGAGCTCATCTCAGCGGGAAATGTGTGGGACTCGTCAGTTAACGAAGTCATGAGCATTATTGAGAAAGAAGAGCGCAGGTAAGTTTCGTGCAGGGATGGCGATGCAAATCATTGACTGGGATTCAGTCCATCTTCGGGTAACTTCTACGGACCTGCAAGTCCGTTGTTTAGCCTCCGCATCGCTCTGCAGACCTCGCTGCATACTACGCAGAGCCAATGCGACAATGTCCGTCAGCTATTGTCAGCCCTCACTTCGCCACCACAGCTCGCGCAGCTTTCTGAAATGTATGCGCCTGCATCCCCTGTTAAGCCCTCTTTCTTCACTGCCGAGCAACCACGTCCGCTCTCGGACCCAATAGCGGCCTGGAGACGGCGAACATTGTCAACGCCTGCAAAGCAAGCTGCGATAAACAAGCGTGCAACGTGGAGTCCCTCCCGAAGCTCCCTAGCAGCTGCTGCGGAATTGAACGGGAAAGGACGAGCGGAGAAGCGGAGATCTGACGCGGGATCCGTCTTCTTAGCACCCGGCGTGCCATCCTCGAGCATGAGCGCCCCAGCCACCCCGCTATCACAACGGATGCTCGAGCATGTCGAAGAGGAAGAGCAGCGCGACTCAGACCCCGATTTGGCTTATACCAAAGAAGAAGACGTCTTCGGTGTTGCAGCATTAAATATGCAGCGGAGACGCAGGATGCCTGGTATGGAGACATTCAGTCCTCCGCCGCCAAGCTACTCCAGCACAATCCGCCCGCTGTTTGACCACCATTCGCTTGGTCATAGTCCGCATAACTCTATTTCGAGTGTCTCTTCTCCCTCGCGATTCACGCTTCTTCAGACCAATCGCCACCCACTATCTTTGTCGTCACTGCACCTTGCTCTCCACGGTGCGCTCGGAGCGAAGCGTTATGCCTGTGCTCACCTGCTCGCTCTCCGTTTCGAGGAAGACGCGGACGATGAAACGTATTGGGAAGACGTGCGCTCTGTTATGGCACTCCTGACGAGTACCTGCCAAGATGCATCAGCCAGTTTGCTATCGGCGCTTGACGAAGCGGAGAAGAAACGCATGAAGGATGAGCGTCCAAGCACCGAGTCACTGCTGGGCAGCTCGCGCGAGAGCAGTCTGTCACCGGAAGCTCCTAGCAAGCAATCAGTATCGCGATCTGCCAAGATAATGGCTGAAATGATTTCCTTCGCACCTATACCAAGTCATCTCACCAGGTTTGCGACGCATGTCGACGCGGTATCGTCAGCACTGAACGACGCGAGGGAGCACTTAGAGCAGTGCGTGGTCTCCATACGTGAAGACAAGCACCCGGATACATCGTTACAACCCGCCGGCGTTAATTACTCGCTCGATCCTTTCAGCGCTGAAGGCAACAGCGAGAATCCCGCCCTACAGGCGTACGACAGGTTGCGCAAAGAACTTGGGTATGCTCTGCGGGAATGCGAGCGCGGACGGGAACAGCTTCTAGCTATTCTGGTGCCTGCCAAGCCTGAGCCGGAGACCGACGAAGAAGACGAGTTCGCCGACGCACTTCCACCTCTCGCGCACGATCTCAGTAGCGAAGACTCGACCAGCCCCGACTCTGCGTTCTCGGAACGGAACAGCACCTTCGAGATCGCGGCACCCGACCTCGAACGCACGCCGCAACCGCTAGACGATGCAACTGAGCGCCTGTTAATGGACGCTTCGTCGCAACACCTGCCGCCATCGGGTATCGAGCAAGTCTTTGAGGCGGACACGGGCGCCTCGTCTGGCTTCACACGCGAACGCTCAAAGCTGTCGCGTGAAGAGCGCATCCAACTTGCCAAGGCGCGTAGGGAGAGCGGGTTAGCTGGGCTTGCTGTGTACGTTCCGCAGGTCGAGGTGAAGCCCCAGCGCGAGCAGTGGGGCCCTGGCGGAGAGGTTGTACAGGAACTGAAGGACGTCATCTGGAAGGTCGGTGAGAAGCGGCGGAAAATGAGCGAACGCGCAGGTAGCCTTGGTGCAGTGCAATACCCGCCCAGTCTACCTATTGATGCGTGCAAGTCGAGGCATGATGTGGGCGGCGTTGATGCTATGTCGTCGCCAGCTGCAAGTGTTGAGAGCGTGTCATGATACGCGTGTCATAGTTTGGGTCTTTGGGTTCCATAAGCTACCTTATGGCTAATATTTCGCCTTTCTCATCACATATATATTGTTGCGTCTGCACTCTTCCCATGACATGAGCACTAAGTCTCTACCTACATTTTATATACATTTTGTCTCTCTCTCGCTAGATACTAAAGACTTATTGCTTATGCCATGTACCCACCTCCAGGGGAGCGAGCTCCACTCGGTAGGTGCGTATGATGTAAGTGCGCCTTTAGCCTTCGCATATCTACTCTAGCAGTGACGGCGTTACCTACGTACCTACTAACCACGATCCGGAGACTTGCAAGATGAAGTATCCTGGTGGATGTTACTGCGGACAAATCCGCTACAAAGTGGACTTGCAATCCCTAGACGAAGCTCGCACGTCCATATGTCACTGCAAGAGCTGCAAGGTTTGTCCTTGTTGCATCCGGTCGCATGCGTCTCATATATTTTCCCAGAGATACTTCGGCACAGGCTTCGGCTTGACGACAAAGATACCGAAGGGCACGCTTAGGCTTACAGAGGGCACGCCCAAAGAGCATGTCAGCAACAATGGCTCCACAAACCTCCGTCGTGAGTTCTGTGGCATGTGCGGAACAGGCATCCTGGAATACGGCGTACGTCTCGTTTCCTCTGTGCTCTTTGCCTATGCTAACCGCTGACGTGTAGGAGGAGGCGGCCCCGAAGTTCCGATACGTCATGACCGGCACGTTCGACCAGCCTGGGGCATTTCCGCCAAAGGGCGAGTTCTTCTGCAGAGATAGAGAGAAGTGGATGCCTGAGATTTCGAGTGAGTGACAATCATACTCCGGAGGTAGTGCCGATGGTAATGGCGGTTGCGATGCAGATATTTTCCACAAGCAGGAGATCAAAGAGTAGCAAGCAGTACTAATGCTAAGCTCTTGTGCCAGTGACGTCCCTTAGTCTTGACAGTCTTTGAATTTCCTTTTCTCCCGTGTTCCGAACAGAGCAGCGTATATGATGATTGTTTACTTGGAGAGTCTTTCGACAGCCCGCTCAACCTCGTGGACGCCTAGATAGTAACACACGTACAAACAAACACCTGCAGCACTGCCTCAAAGAACATAACCTCGGCATGCAGCAGGTACGTTTCCTTCAGAATCTTGCCATGCTTCACTCAGCGTTTGTGGAAGGGTTCTATCGTTTGGATGTAAAATTTACCACTGGGGCTCAACAGACAGAAGCTGACGAGCGAAGCGCACGACAGCCGCGTAAAGATGCCAACTTACAGCAACGCCTTCTCTTCCTCGCATAGATGTGAGAGTGCATCAATTGTAACTCAGCATATTCAAAGCACTCATGGCGTGGATTGGACGTAATGCCGTTTGGATGACATCCGACACATGCTTGGTAGGTACGAACACGGATCGATGTTGGTCTTCTCCTCAGTGCACACCAAGATGATTACCCGTGAGCTGTTTTTCATTCATCGCCCTCCGGAGCCTCATCTGCGGTCCCACGACAACCCCCATCACGAAACGCTTGCCCCCACCACTGACCGCATTCGGAATTTGCGAGCCACCTGGTCCTTGTCATCGTCGTTCCGGCACCTTCCCGCCTGTCACTCGCCTATCATCTCATCGCGGGCTCCGCGGACAGCGCTCCATCATGAAGGTGTGTTCGCGCGCAGCGCCATTGACTGTTCATCACCCACACGATGTAAAGACCACTGATATCTCTCACCGCCGTCAGTCCTGAAGCCCGTTCTGCAAACGGCCGTCTCGCGCGGACTCCTCTTCCCTGAGTGCAGGCACACCAGCCGCGGCCAACGTTTTGGGGGCACTGTGCGCTGGAGGCGTGCGTGTACACGCAGGTGGCCGGCGCCACAAAGGTCAAAACCTCGGATGAATATGCTGCGCATGTCGACATGGCGCCACGCGCACCGCAAGCACGCAGTGGAGAAGCCGTGCGAAGCACCTGCCCCGCCGATGCCGCTTGTGCGCGGTGCCCGTTCTCAGGGCCCATGCTTGTGACCTGTTTCGCCATCAGGCAGAGTCAGACCTTAGCGGCCCTGGACGCGCGTGCCCACGCTCCGATCAAGGGTTGCAGCCCCGTACACTCTTATCGGTACCGTATCGTACTGTTCAGCGTGCGTTTGGACGGTGCGTGTGCAACGCGTGCGACGTGCGCGAAGGCTCTGAGCTGCTCTCCCAATGTCAAACGTCGCGTCTTCCGTCCTTTGCCGCTGTCTCGCGGAGAAAGCCTGTCTGGGATCGCATCATTTTCTAGCCGTTGTGCGCCTCCTGGCGCACTGAATACGCAGCTGATCGGCGCCGCCCACTGTTTCGCGGCCAGTACGGCATCGCCAGGCCTGCAGCTCGTGCCCTGAATAAGGAGCATTTTGGCTAGTCAGCCCAGAGTACTCCCGCGAAGCCGACCGGAGGTGAGAATAAGGTTGGTTTCTGGGGGATGTCTTACATACTGGCCGCAGGCCATGCTGTAGCCATCACCGAGGCTCGTCTCGCTCGTCGAAGGCCCGTGTCGTAGATCCCTTCCCACTAGCCAATGAGGACGTCCTGATCAGCCCTCAAAGACCGTTCAGGACGGGAATCCTCCAAGGTATTGGGATGCAGTGTTCCCCGATAGTATTGGGGCGTTGGTTATCCAGGCGAAATTGCTTATTTCTCGCTAGGAGGAACGTAACAAAGTGCAGTGCACGGCTCTGGCAGCACTGCTCCGACCTCCGACAGCGTGTTGTCGTGATATTGAGCGGTATTGGGAGCACGCATCTGGCAGACGCTGACCCGGCCGCCAATGATGCTGGCCCTTGTATAACTTTTACAGTAAGAGCCTCAAGGTTTCGGGGCGGTGTACGTATGCACGCCGTCCTTGTATTTGCCGGTGTGAAGATATTGCTACCGCGGGCCATTTCTTTGACAAATACCTCTCAGATTCGCCCACCACCGCCTCGCCTAGCGCAGCCGTGATGTGCTCCGCTCGAAGCAGGCATCCGCGCCACAAACACTCTGCAGTGTTAGGAACAAGGGCAAAATGGCCCGGGGAAGGGCTGTTATGGTGCCGGTCAGACCACTCCCAGGCCCGCAGAACGGTTCTTGGCCCCAGCTTCGCCGTCGGGTGACTGGATTAACGACATGGCGGCCTTGTGCGGCTTGCGGAGTACATACAATCGCTGTAGATTAACAAAATATGATGATATGTTTTGGAGAACAGGCCAGGCATGAGAACATTTTTGATTCCGTGATGATGGGAGGATGAATCTAGATTCGCTTGCAGGCGTTACGCGCAGTGAAAACGAGGGCTCGCCGAGGCTGAACACAACCACGACCACGCCCACAGTCGACAACCCCGACGACGTGCTGACGGTCCCCTCATCGCCATCAGCAGTCTAGACGTTCCTTCAAGCGTTGTCGGCATCATTCCCGTCGTTTTCGGAGACGCACACTGCGGCTCGGTTACTCGGGAAGTCAGAGGGTGTGTGTTGCATGTCCTGTTGATCTTAACGGCCGGAAAAACCCCTCCCAACTCGGCCCTGGTAGTATACGGTGCGTATGCCCACGCCTTAAATGAAATGTTTCTTGTTTCGCTGATACGAATCCAGACGCAGAAAGTCGCCCCGAAAGTCGTTCCAAAGCTCGCTGCAGGACTTCGCTACTCCTTTCCCTTTTACCTCTGAACTACGCGCGAGATGTCGTCGGGAGAGGCCCATCTTTCGTCTCAGCATCAGCAGTCTCAATGGTCCCAGCAGCCGCACCTGTTGCCACCGCTGCACACCCAAGCCTCTTTCCCTTCCCCTTCCACCCCCTCCTCTTCCATCAGCGAGCAACATTACCCGCCGTACTACACCCAATCTAGTCAGTCCTCGCTCAACGAGCCCAGCATTGTCGACCAGAGACAGTCCACCTCGTTGTCGCTCAATCTGTCTGGGTTAAGCGTGACCTCGCCAACCAACTTATCCCCGATTCACCCGTCCGTATCACCCATAACTCCCATCAGTCCTTCCAATGCAGCTCTCCACCAGAGTGCGCTGACTGCCCACCACAGCCTGCATCATACCCACGTCCAGCAGCCGTTCCAGTTCGCTCCTCCTGACCAGGGCGTCCGCTATGATGAGTCGCAGTACAACGATTATCCAGGCGGCCGGCGGATCACGAGCAGCCGTTCTTCGTCATCATCTGAAAAGTCCGTCCCCCGAAAACGCAGTTTCACCTCGGGAAACGCTCTGGCCCCTCCTGCGGAAGAGTCTGCCGCGACACCTGTCTCAGGCACGTACGACCACTCTAACGGCGCCGGGCCCATGGATACATCACCCTATGACGAGGTCGAGATGAGTTATGGGGGACTCGACACGGAAAACAGCCCCATTGATGGGAGCACGAGCGGGGGAGAACAGGACGAGCAGGCAAAGGCATCGGAAGGACAGGGCGGCGCAGGTGTATCGACATCTCAGTCCGCAGGGCCGTCTGCGCCCGTCCCCAAGCCGTTGGGCACGAATAACTTTGTGACGAAGCTCTACCAGTAAGTGTCGATGACGGCGCGATGGGGACGAGTATTCATCGTACGCAGGATGATAAACGACCCCAAGTCAGCTCAGTTTATCAGCTGGACAGAGCTGGGCACTAGGTGGGTCACTTGTGCTATGACTATACTGATGGCTAACAGCGAGGTCCAGTTTCGTTGTGTCCAATGTCGGTGAATTCAGCCGAACGATCTTGGGCTCGCACTTCAAGCACAATAACGTACGTGGCGCCTTCTAGACTGCGGTGGATATTTTTATGAAAATTTGCGACAGTTTTCGAGTTTTGTGCGCCAGCTGAATATGTACGGGTTCCACAAGATCAATCGCGTAGGTGATATCGGTCGTTGAGTGATTCCAGCGATCTGACCGCATTTTTCACAGACGCCGCGCGCGCAGCGCACCTCGGCAGACGTACAAACATGGGAGTTCTCCCATCACAAGTTCCTGCGTGGGCGACCGGACCTGCTTGAGGAAATAAAGCGTAAGGCACTCGAGCCTGACCCGTCCTTGAAGCAGCGTGTGGAGCTTCCGGGAGAGGTTGCAGCTCAGTTATCGCAGATGCGTGACGACAATCGCAGGCTGGTCCAAGCTCTCAACACCGAAAGGCAGAAAATGGACCGTTTAACGAGTGTCACCAAAGCATTGTACGACGTTATGGTCAAGGTCTTCCCAGGGCATGGTATGGATATTATGTGCTATTATTGACGCATGAATTCACTTTTTTCTCCTTTTTAGTACCTGTCGCCTTCCCGGCAGACCTGCTGGATGCCAACGACAGCCCTAACATCATGATCACGTCTCCGACTTCGACAGGGATGCATTCGCACTTTCCTCCGTCCCTGTCTTCCCTCAGCAACAACCCCTCGCTCCATTCGTTGCATTCGCTGAGCCCGGGCTCGTCCCCGACCGCACCCGAGTTCCCGTCGCATAATCACACGCCGCACAACCTCTCGCGACAGCACTCATTCCAGCATGTCACTGACTATGGCGCCCCATCGATGCACGGGCACCACGGCATGCCCACGTCAAGGTACGACTCTGCCATGGCGACGCCTCTGCCCCCTTCACCCGGCCCGATGGACGTTTTTGAGGATGCTCAGGGTCGCAAGCGGCAGCGGACGAACCCGGAGGATGGTGGCGCGGGCAAAAAGGGCAGTCGCGCGCGCAGCGACTCGGCGCCGCTGGGTGGGTATGGGCTTACCTCTGGCTGGCCGCAGACCAGACCGCGCAGCGGCAGCGGCATGCAGTCGAACCGGGTCAACCCCGGCCGCCGCGACGAGCTCCCGGTGCCCAACATTGGGTCGCTCTCCCGCGGGCACACGCTGCCAATGCTGTCAATTCCCGGAGTTGGAAAGCCGTCTCAGTCTTCAAGTTAAATATGCTCCTTTGCGTTGTGGTGTACGCTGAAACGTGCAAGCTGCTGCCTGTGATCTGGACGCTATCGTTCGTCTTTGTAGGACTATCGGGTGCCTTCCGTTCTTCTCACCTTCCTTTGGCTGCGAAATCGTCGGTCATTTCTCTTCTCGCTATCGTGCACTCGCTGGCGGTGTCATTGCTCGCCTTACCTCTCACTCTTGTTTCTGTGCCCCCTGTGCGTGCGAGGTCGTTTCGTCTGTCTGGATCCTTGATTCCCTCTACCACGCATACCACATCTACATCGCTTCGTCGTCTCGCTCGTCGATATTCTTCACCTACTCTCACTTTGCTCTCCTAAGTTACCCTCCAGATACCCGTGATATCTTCTTGTTGCACTTGCGACAGAGTTGCTCATATACTGCTTCGGCTCTCTAGGGTTGGGTTTCGTTCGTTTGTTTTGCCATCTTAAATCACATAGATGTACCAGTGTCATGAAACAAAATATCTCTCACAAAACATGGATCGACACTGGGCTGTTGTTGTACTCGAGTTTTCAAAGCTGTCTTGTTTGTAGTACCGTTCATTTGCAATTCAGCATATTAGACGAAGAGGGTCGCGGCATGTCTCGTCCGTGATTTTCAACGGATGCTGTGATGCACGAGCTACGCAAAGCCCCAATCTATCTTTTTCTTCCACATCTCCAGACCCACACCGCATCCGAAAGGTCTCGTGAACACTCTAGCGAAGTTGACGATGATGCCAGACGTGATATACTGGATGTAAACATGTTAACAACCCAGAGCATCTAATTCACACCGGAACACGATAGAGTTCGAATGGCCGAGGTTCCTTCTCATTGGAACGTTTGTAGAGCTGAATTAAGGCTACGGATCTGCGATAGTGCCTCACCCTGTGTGTGCGGCGGACACGCTTCCTCGCTAGAAGCACCATCTTCATAATGTACATCTCGTCCCCGCATACACGAGCATGCGCTACTCCTACGGATAAAGACGGCGCCCTGGGCCAGGCCTGTGCCGGGCAATGATATGCACCGACCTCATGCACATGCGCCGCAGAAAAGTGCGCACAATGTCGTGCTCGCCTTTGCGGGAGAGACATAGAGACATCAGGACATTTCCGCTTGGACCCCACTCGGGTCTGCAATTCTAGCCGTGATGGCTCCTCTTCAGGCGGACGAGCATCACTGTGGTCCTTCTGGCATCTATGACAGGAGTTTTGAGTACCTGAGTACCTGAATGCATATACATCGCGGCACACGACTGGAACTCCCGTCTCCAACTACAGCACTTGCCATTTTAGCTTCGTCCTCCCCGAAGCGCCAGCACTAGCTCCTCACGTTTTTGAGCAGGCCTACGTGCGTGATTTTGGTTCAAGGGTGAGAGCGGAGAGCCTAGGGGCTATGGTGCTTGGGCTTGAACTCTGATACTATCAGGATCTGCACAATAGAATAAGAGGCATCCAGAAGACGGAAGCCACGACGTAACGCACTAGTCCGCCAAGGTTCATCTTCATCGCACTTGAATTCGACATTTTCGTGTCCATCAAGAGCGGAAACATATGGAAGTCCGGGCGCAGAACCTCTGGTTCGTCTTACACAGAGTTTCATTAGTGGAGCAGGATCGTATGGTACATCTGAAAGGGTATATGTCCGGAAGACTACAACATCCTGAACAAACCACTATCAGAATCGAAACGGTAGATTATGTCAGGTAGTCCACCTATGCATGCCCGTTCGTCCCGTTTGTTTGAGGGACAGAGTCCTGAGAGTGTGTCCTACTGGGCGGATGCGGTGGAAGGGCTTCTGCCTGTGGAAGCGGCGGTGCCACGGGAAGCTCGTATTGAGGTCCGCTGAGCGTCATATAATGCGCCGGAACAGGGTCTTGCTCAAGATACTGCAATAGTGATGGCTGCCCTGGCACGGCGATGTCCACTGCATCCAGCAAGAGGCTGCAAGCACTATAAGAAGACGGGCTGAACGGAGTTTGGGCCGCACTTACTTGCACTCGTCTTGTAGCCGCTTGATCTTCTCATTGGCAAGTGCTAGTTCCCTCTCATACTTTTCATGCGCCTGTGTGCTGTGTCGTTGAGAACGCTTCCTTCAGAGGGAACCGAGGCGCGTGGCGTAAGGACCACTTACGGCGGTGACCACTTCGTATCTCTCCTTCATAGTCAGAAACCTATGACAGTATAAAAACGACCAGGTAATACGATAGGGAAGCGGCAACATACTTTTCCTTGTATCGTGTCGTTCTCTGAAGCGGAGGAGCCTGGCAAGCTGTGCTCAGTAAGGTCAACTTTCAGACCAACCAGATAGTCGCGTACCGGGGGTGCCTTCGCTTTGTCGCTGTTGTCTACTCGTGATACAGCACCATTAGAGTCTGTACGATCTATCTCAGGCCTTGAAGAGCATGCAGTGCTGTCCTCCATGTTGCAAACGGTGGAGGCTGAAGATAACAGAGAACGGATAAGTTTCAGCAGAACACGGCTTTGCACTTGGCGCCAGCGGGCTAATTCCGTCTCAACCTTCGACCATCATCTGCTCCCTGTAGGCTGTAATTCCAAACCAAATACTGGCGGCGACGGCGACGTATCTAGCTGAAACTTCCTACTGACGACTCTGCTGCACCTGTGATCTGGCTCGTGTCCGAAACGTGGCTCTGGCTTTGCTCTGGCTTGCTGTCTGGTCGTCTGGCTGCCTTGTTCTCTTGCCGTTCCGTCTAGTGTTCTCAACTTTTCCGCAAGAACACTACGATGCCAGCGCTGTTCCGAGGAAAAGGTAACACGGATGGCCCAGACTTACCTGTGGGCTGAATAGCGCGACAGCCCGCTTCAGCCCCTCCGTGCCGAACATCGTACAGGTCGCCTGGGGTACGTGAACCAGGAGGAGACGTACTCAGGATACTTAGCCAGCCCGTTCTACGATTTCATAGCCAAATGTGGTGGTACTCTCGCCGGCGAACACACGTTAGGCGTTGACTATTTTTTTTGCGACGGGAGAATAGACCCGTGGTACTCCAGGTGCGCTCTTGACTATCTTTGCCACGTATATGCGTACTAAATGGCGCCCAGATGGACTGAGAAAACTATAGTGGTCAGTACGCTGCTTCCGGAGTGTGCCTGTCGGCTTCAAGGAGCGCACAGGTCTTCCATTGGAGATGGGTGTCGAATGCCGCCTTCGCGAGATTTCCGGTACCTATCGCTCCATATGTTCTAAACGGTACGTCATCCAGTAGCCTCCTCTACGACCATAACAGCGTAACAATGAGGGTTCAGGCTACAACGACACAGACAGGACGATGTTGGTAGGCACTCATAGGCTATCTCGAAGTGAAGAGCAACCGCAGGAGAAAGTGAAGACACTCGCAGAAGATCACCAACAATCTGTCTCTTTCGATGAAGGAACGTCCAGTGTCACCTTGGTAGACGAACTATCTGTAGACAAGGCTGTCAAGATTCCCTTTATCGACTTTACCAAGGTCAAAGCCTCGCGCCAGAAACCTGGATCTCGACTTCGCATCCACAAAATTCGTCAAGGCGAGCGACTGATAGTTAAACGGGAACAGCCGTCTGTGTGAGTGTGTAGTTATGTATCCTAGGGACCTTGGGCTTATATACTGCTAGTGCTCTGCCCTTCCACTCCGGGATCGGCCTTGTCCCTCGACTATCTATCCACGATGCTCGCCGATGTCTCCGCCACATTAAGATCACTAAAAGCGCACTCGTCATACACAACGGCCAGCATCTCGGCAAGAGACTACGATGTGGTTATCCTGCGAAGCCATCTTCCTAGCACTTTCGCCTTATGTTCTGTCGTCGCTGTCCAGCATCCGCTCTCTGACTGTCCTTTGCATGTTACATGTAGCCTCTAAGTGTCTTGATAATGTGAGCTTTTAGCAATAGATGCGTTTTCAGTCGTGGCAAACTCCCTGTTCTCCTAAACCATCAGCCTGTCTTTCTGAACGAAGATGCCTTGCAGACAGAGTTGTCGCTTTCGAGCAGGACTGAGTCGTGGCGAAAGCTAACTTAGATGCGATGGACCGACTGGCCAGGCTCGTTCCCAGGTGGTATTGCAGGCACAACGCGCGCATGGGTCTGGACCACCCGGTCATGTATGTCTATACCGGCGGACTATCGCCTCCGCAAATATCTCATATTGAACGCAACTACGAATCTGCCAGAAGGAAATGTCCATCATCCGTTACAGGCTGCATAGATCACGACCTGCGGCCGCAGTGTTTCAAAATGATGCAGTTACTATAACCTGAAAACGGTTGTGCTTACGCTTTTCCCGAGCTACGATGTTTGACCAAAAAATGTGACATACTGCCCTTCGTTCGCGCGGCCGATAAGCTCCCTTTACTAGAAGAGTTGGAACCGAGGAACCGCAAGTTATCTAATATACGACCCATCGTCGTGCAATCTCCCAGTTCACACCCGTCTGCCTTGGAGCTGTGCGAGGGCCGAACTTGAGATGTCGACGGAGATCGCCCCGGATGTCGAGTGGTTCTTGGTAGATGGCTCGAGCATCCGGTGGAACCATGGGTGGGGGGGGGGATATACACACACCCGCTCTCTTAATACACCTGGTGCATGGCCATTGGCCGCTTAACCAAGCTCCGTGGGCTCTTAGTGGTCGAGCAGGACGTGTCAGGGCTCCGGGAGGCGCTACTGTCCACGCAGCAGGACGACGCTGAGCAGGTCATATGGCCCACACTGCAGCTGCGCTACGTTTCGTACACAGACGACTCCAATGAAGACACCAAAGGAAGACGGGTGCGCTGATCTGAGCGGAGATACTTTGGCGAAAGAGGGGTGAGATCCGCATCATGAGTAATATGCTTGTGCACGAAGGGGCTTGCAGTTTGCCCCCCGCATGTTGAACATACGCCACTGTCTACGGGACGCCGAGCCCCTGCAACAGCTCTCGAAGGGCAACGAAGGGCAACGGCGCCTCGGAAATAGCTGCTATAGATCGCAAGCGCACAATAACCTGGAACACTGCAGAGCAGAGTAATATCCTGAGTTTGAGCAAGATATGAGCATAGTACGTTCTCCAATGGCGACGCAATCCATACCGGGAAGCTTAGACAGAGCACGATGCGAAGCTGAATATGTACACTGCTTTGATTGCTAGCTGCATGTGCCAATCACTTCATTCCCCAGTTGCGCAGATTATGAACTCTGAAGGTCTGGCTTGCAAGCCAAGGGTCAGTGAAAGGATACAGGGCAACCCTGTGAGCGCCGAGTCACTGTGAGCACTCTGTCCGCTGGCGAGTTAGCACGGCCGCGAACTTCTCAAGTCAGCTCACCAAAGAAAACTATTTTTCTAAGAATGACCATGCATGCTTATATAATGCTGAAATCGGTGTATTGAGTTTCGCAGCTATACGAGGCCGTCAACATGACATATTGCATGGACATGATGGTCGCATTCAAGCTGTAGTCGCGAAAAGCCGGAGGAGCCCGGCAGCAAGCGCGCTGCGTCGGGCGCTTCCTGAACCTTTCCTGCAACAACGTCCAGCCAGCTCGTCTGCAACCCCCACTACCTCCATGGCATCTAGACTTGCCATCAACGCTCTTAGGGCATCTGGTATGCGTACGCTATTGTTTTGAAGGATGTTCTACTTAATCTGAGTTCTTAGTGCGCCCTCAGGCGACCTCTGCTGTTCCTCGGGTCCTCACGTACGTGCAGTGGTCTGTAGATTCGCAGAGCATATTAACATGTAGGAACGATTTTATACGCACTGAATGGCGCGTAGCCGTGGTATGGCAAGCTCCCCCAACCAACAACCGCCCGCTGAGCGTGCCTCCGAGCTCATCAACAAGCTCCCTTCTTCCCCTGGTCTCATCACCAAGACCGGCTCTGCCATCCTCGGTACTGGCCTTCTCGCCACCGCAATTTCCCAGGAGCTCTATGTCATGAACGAAGAGACTGTCATTCTTGCTGGTTTCGTGGTGCTGGTTACCTTCATTGCCCGTGTAAGCACCTCCACGCGGTCGCAAGTCCGGACACGAGTTATTCATGTCTTACGCCTTGGCAGAGCATGCGCGAGCCGTACAAGGAGTGGGCAGAGGGTCACATCAATCGCGTCAGGGACGGTCTCTACAGCGCCCGCGCTGAGCACACTCAAGCTGTCAAGGATCGTATCGCGAACGTTGAGAAGATGAAAGATGTCGTCGAGGTCACCGAGGGCCTCTTTGCCATGGCCAAGGATACTGCTCAGCTCGAGTCCGATATCTTTGTCCAGCGTCAGAAGGTTGCCCTCGCTGCTGAGGTCAAGTCTGTCCTCGACAGCTGGGTCCGCTATGAACAGCAACAGAAGGAGTCTGAGCAGGCTGAACTCGCCAAGACCGTCATTGAGAACGTGCTCAAGAGCATCCGTGACGAGAAGACTCAGCGCGACATCCTTGCTGGCGCCGTTGCTGAAGTTGAACGTGCGTCTATGCTTCTATGTCTTGCTAGCTTATGGCTCAATATGCCCATCTATAGAGCTCGTCAAGAGCAAGGCAATTTAAAGTGCTACATTCCTTGCTATGTTCACTCTTTAGACAGGACCTTATGTGAATTCGCAACATGCTTTCACTAGATGTCGTCTTCGTGAGGTGAAAAATATACGTTCCTTGCGTTCAACCTGGCCATTTAGGTCCATCATGAATCGTCCCAATTAGATCCTTTTAATGACCTGCCATAAAAGTGGCAGCTTTTATATTGTCAGTGTGAGTCTTTACCGAATTATCTGCCTGTCCAGTCATTGTGCAGAACACGTTGAACAGTAAACTGGTGTGCATTGGTGCATTTTTGCTGTAGATGAGCCAGTACGATGCGAGATCCATATGCGAGATACTAGTGCTGGAACAGCCGTTGCGCCTGCTACTATGGCGGTCGGAATAGTTTGCTGAAGATTCTGACTGGCCGCTCTTGAAAAATCATAAGATCGGTTTTCCTGCTGATAGCAGACGTTGATGCAATCCAGTGTCCGCTTGCCGTTTGCTTACATATTGTCGTACGTCACCCGAACCACATCGACTGTCACGACGTTTGGATTTTCCCACGCCGCATCACCGCGGAGCCTAGCATCGCGCCAGCGCCGTACTCCTCACGATCTTACCTGGGCCGTTCGGTTCGGGTCAATGAATTGCACTGACGAGAAATAGCCCCCACTGTTTCAAGCTGGCAGCACCCAGTCTCAGATTGTCTCATTCTCCGCAGTGGAGTCAGGGGTTGCTATAATTGATCAGAGTGCGGCATGAACCACATCCCTCCTTGACTTCAGCTATCATCAGTGAGCTCGCATACTTATTTTGTGCCACTGCTCTAATTATCCTTGTGTCAGGTTGAATATGGCGGCAGCACCGCAAACAGCCAGACTTAGAAACACCTCTATCGGAGGTCATCTCCCCAGGATGTCTCCGATAACCAGAGCCAACATCGAGGAACACGTACGCAAAGGACAGGAGGCACTCACTTCGCTCAAGCGCGTGCTCAACACCGACACCTTAATTAACCGCCTGCATGACGAGCTGTTGCTCGAGATATTCCGGTGCTACATCGCCTGCCTTAAGAAGGAGCGGCACGAAAGCCTCAGCTTCGCCGAAGCCATCAGGCTTGGGGAGCACGGTAATTTCAAATGGATACGCCTCACACACGTTTGCTACCACTGGCGGCATCTCGCTCTCTCTTACCCTACGTTCTGGGCTGAGATTCAGATGGCGCGTTTCTCGTCAGCGTCCGCCTTTCTATCGCGCAGTCAGCAAGCACCCCTATCCATTCACTGTCGCCTCTTATACACCGATGCTGTGCAGCGCACGAAGAAATATCAACTGTTCCAGAAGATACTCGCCGAGTCAAGTCGCATCCGCCGCTTGACCTTGTCGTACAGCAACATCGATACGCGGCAGGCACCTGCTGAGCCCGAAATGGGACGCTGCGAATTCCCTGAGCTCAAGACACTCAAATTGACCCTGGAGAGCGGCGACGAAGGTACCGCACCGTCGTTCATTGCCCGCTGTGACTCGTTCCCGCGACTTGAGGAGCTGCGCATCCAGAATTACGACCTATCGCTGACTCAGACGTTGGCGGCGAGGGTACCGAATCTCGTGCGGCTGTATCTGAATACAGCCAGCCGTGGGAGGACGATGGATCGGAGGTCGTTGCTCAACTTTCTGAGTTCCCTGCCGCAGCTGGAGAGGTTGAGTTTATGCGATCGCGACGAACCTCGCCCCCTGGCCGGTCTGAACGTCAATGCTCCTTCCACGCTTTCCTTCAACACTGTTATCGCCCTTCCCAAGCTGTCATATCTTCGTCTCGCTTGCCAGGTCCAGTCGGCACCAATACTCCTTCGGCACATCTCACACCCCGCGGACACTAAGCTCAAGCTTGAGGTCGACCCACCAGTAGGCCCGGTCGATGCTATAGGAGACGAGCTCGCAGCATTCGCGTCTGCTTTAGGTTTGCACATGTCTGGTAGTAGGATCACTGATGAGGCAGACCCTATCCTGTCCTTCAATATCGACATGCCCGCTGAAGCAGGCGTACGTATATGCGCATGGACGGAGGCCCTTCCAATCGATTCCCTGGCCGGCGACTCCACATACCATTCACACGCTGAGAATGTCTACTCGCGATCTTTGATCCAGATACATTTCCTTTATTACTCTGCTGAATCGATCTTCGAGCTCTTCGTCAAGGCCCTGCCTCTGAACACCGTCCAACGCTTATTTGTCGGCGGGACTAACAGGGCCCAGAGGCCGTTCGTCCCCACCGAGCGCGCGTGGAAGACTGCTTTCACGAGTGCTATCAACGTCACAGAGTTGTCGGTGTACGCACAGTCGGGGCGGAACCTGCCTTCCGCCCTTTGCCCCACTGTCAGCGACGACCACAAAGACTGGCAGGTTCTCTTCCCGCGCATTGACATCATGCGCATTCAACACGTCGAATTTTCGAAATCGGACGCCACTCGGTGGATGACGACGATGCCTATCGATGGTTGGGTGCTGGATCTTCAAGACGAAGAAAGCGTCCGTCAGGTTGCTCTGCGCATGAGGCTCACGAAGCTGGTCATCCGTAAGGCGGTACATATTGACCCTGCTCACGTCGCCCTACTAGAGCGATGCCTCGGTGCCGCGGCGGTGGACTGGGATGGCATACAGCGATGGCGGGGGACCGCGCCGGGTCAACAAATCGGAAGGGTCCAGTACATCGATCACCGCGACCCGGGCTGGATAGACGACGACGCGTAGCGGTACTCCGGAAGGGGCTAGAGGGAAGAATAGTATATTTGTACATTTTTAATAAAAGGATTCTCACTTGTATCGATATTTTGGGCCACCTAAGAGGGAGACAAATTGGCTGATGGACCGACGCAACAACCCAAAAGGGCGGGATCCCGCTTTGTGGTTGTCCCCGGCGCCCGATATGTCTTCTCTCATCAGATATCTCCGAATATGGGCTTGATGTTTGAAATGCAACAAAGAACTACGCGCCGCGGCGACACGAAGCTTGCTTTTACACCTATACCTTTCACGACGACGATAACAACGAACCGGACGCTACCTACGTCCACCAGTAACGACCATGGACGCCGACCTCATCAAGCTGGTTAACAAGCTCCAGGACACGTTCGCGAACCTTGGTATGTCTTTCGCCGGCGGCTCTAAGTCTGGTGCTCATGCGCACGTTCTAGGAGGTGAACTGGACATGCCCCAGCTGGCCGTGGTATGTTTCGCGATTAATGAGACGAGAGTCCGGACTGACACGAGACACTTAAGGTTGGCAGTCAATCGGCGGGAAAGTCCAGTGTCCTTGAAACGTACGTTGCAAACTTCTCTGGTTCGGACATTAACTTGACATGCAGTTTAGTATCGTCGGCCGGGACTTCCTGCCGCGTGGACAGGGCATTGTGACACGGCGACCCCTTGTCCTCCAGCTCATTCACACACCTGTACCAGAGGACGGCTCACAGACATACACGGAGTGGGGCCAGTTCCTACACATTGACAAACGATTCACAGACTTCGACGAAATTCGCAAGGAGATTGAACAGGAAACATACCGGGTTGCTGGTCAAAATAAGGGTATCAGCAAACTCCCTATCCATCTTCGGATATACAGTCCAAACGTCCTCGACCTCACTCTTGTTGACCTACCAGGTTTGACAAAGGTGCGTCCTATATACCAACACTGCATGCCTGAGATTGACTCCGTATATCCCTGTAGATTCCCGTTGGTGATCAACCAAGTGATATCGAACGTCAAATTCGCAGTCTCGTCCTCGACTACATCTCCAAACCCAACTGGTGCGTGTGTGATTAATGCGACCTGAACCGTGTGTACTGAGGAATTCGCCATAGTGTCGTCCTTGCTGTCTCTGCAGCCAATGTTGACCTTGCCAATTCCGAATCCCTCAAACTTGCCCGTTCAGTCGATCCACAGGGTCGCAGGACCATCGGTGTCCTCACGAAGCTCGACCTCATGGACGCAGGAACAAATGCCTTAGATATCCTCACTGGTCGGGTTTACCCATTGAAGCTAGGCTTCATTGGCATCGTGAATCGCAGCCAGCAAGACATTAACTCCAATAAGTCTATGATAGACGCTTTGGAGGCTGAATCTGAGTTCTTCAAGAGTCACCCTGCGTACCGGAATATCGCGCACAAGAATGGTACCAGGTACCTCGCGAGAACCCTTAACCAGGTCCTTATGAACCACATTCGCGACAAGTTGCCAGACATGAAAGCGCGGCTGAACACCCTGATGGGCCAGGCTCAGCAGGAGCTCAACTCGTTCGGTGATGCAGCTGTCTATGGCGACAGTAACCAGGTAATTTACTCGAATGATGCGAAGGGCGCTCACACTCACCGTCGTGATAGCAAGGGGCCCTCATTCTACGCCTCATGACCCAGTTTGCGCGCGACTTCGTTTCTTCCATTGAAGGCACGAACCTCGACATCTCGACCAAAGAGCTGTCGGGCGGCGCCCGGGTATATTACATTTTCAATGACGTCTTCGGCCAAGCCCTGAGCTCGATTAATGGGACGCACAATCTCGATAACCAGGACATTCGGACTGCCATCCGTAACTCAACGGGTCCCAGGCCGAGTCTTTTCGTACCGGAGATCGCATTTGACCTACTCGTCAAACCCCAGATCAAACTCCTTGAAGCGCCAAGCTTGCGTTGCGTTGAGCTGGTGTACGAGGAGCTGGTGAAGATCTGCCATAATTGCACTAGCGCAGTAAGTGGTGAACTGTATGCGGCTGTTGCATCCTTTTGATACACTGGGCAGGAGCTGCAACGCTTCCCAAGGCTGCACGCGCAGCTCATCGAAGTCGTCTCTGAGCTCCTTCGTGAACGCCTTGGCCCTACCACTGATTACACTCAAAGCCTCATCGACATTCAGACCGCATACATCAATACCAACCATCCCGCATTCATCACAGGCTCCGCCATGGCTGCTCAAGCTGACGCTTCTGCTCCCGCTAAGCACGTGCCGCCTCCAAGAGTAAGTTCATGAACGCCAAGATGTGCTCTTTTACCTGACGCATGTCCTAGCCATCATCTACGGAATCCATGAACGGTTCCATGCTTCCCGAAGAGGATGAAGAATCTGACGACGCCCAATCCATCAATGGCAATGGCATCGTTTCCAAACGGGGCAGCGATGCTCGGTCTATCTCTGGACAACACGACCGTACGCGTTCTACACCTGGCGGACCAGCGTCCTTGGCTGGCCCTATGCGCCACCCCAGTTCTCCCAAACCTTCTCACCACCACCACTCCTCCCGACATCCGCCACAAGCACCAGCAGGCTCCAACGCGGCAAAGGAGTCCTTCCTCAACTACTTCTTTGGTCAGAATGGTCCTGGCCCCCTCGCTGGTGCTAGCGTTGAGCGGGCAGTGGCTGCCCAAGGCGCTACAGTGATCACTCCTATCGGCCGTGATGTCTCTGGAGGTCAGCCGCCAGCGCAGACGGG